TTTTTTTTTGGTCGGCAGTTGCGACAGGGGAGGCAGCAGTAGCATTTCGACTTGAGGAGAGGGTGGTTTCGGGGGAAAGTGACCGTAATCGTAGACATGGGATTGCTGTTGTCGTTGTTGATGTTCAAAATGTTTGGGAGTTTTACAGGACAGGACCAGTTACTTTACAGATTATCATTTCTACAGATGATCCGTTGCGAATGCTCATAGCGCGCACTGCTCTTGTGTCTTTTCGGAGGACGTGCATGTTTGATGCTTTTAAATGACCTTCGTAGAAACCCATGTCAGGCATTATTAAGCAGGGTAAAGCAAAGTGACAATGACAAACCCGTTTTGGATGAATGACGAAAAGGAAACCGCGGTGACGAAAAGGGAACCGCAGAAACGAAAAGGAAAGAACGTAGCACAAGTAAAAAAGAAAGAACTAGCCGAGTGGAGTGACGGCGTGAAAGCGTAAACAAGAAGTAGCGAAAAGGAAAAGGAGGAATGGAAAAGGAAGAGCGTAGCACAAGCAGTAAGGAAAGAAAGCATGAAAAGGGGTGAAGCCGCGGTTGTCATGGCCACCACTGCATGTGGGAAAGCACTTCTTCCGATGGTCCATTGCTCTGCTGGCTCGGGGCACCAGGACAATATAAATACCTGAAGCAAGGGGTACTGCTGTTGTTTTGCTTTTCTTTTCTTCTCTCTTTTTCCTACTTTACTTTTTACTTTGCTAAAGTTCTTTTGCTGCTTACTATTGCTCTTTCGACGTCCTTCATTACCGTCTGCTCACGCTTGCTCCATCCCGCTTTACGCCAGTCGAACATTACACGTCTTTGCCACCTTCACTTGCTACAGCTGCTCTGTCCTTGCCGTCAACAGAACGTTGCTTTTTCCTGTCACTACCGTCAATCGTGCTGGCTGCCATCTGTAGTGACGCTATTCTGCTCTCGTATATGGCGCCCATTTTGCGCTGTTACCTGCAATACATATTCGCGCTCACTTTGGTTTTTTTTTGGCTGTTGTATACCTTGACTTGCTCCATCTCGCAATTCTCTCGCCACCTAAGATCGTGGACGTGTTGGATATTCTACTCATTGTACAGACGAATTCTTTTCCTTGGGTGTCTTGAACTCTACCGGACGTATTTTGTGGCTCTACTTGGCGTCTTTGTTTCCAAGGCTCCTTTCTGGACGGACTTGTTTTTGGTTTTCCTGTGCTTAAAGATGCTGTGCATGGATGCTCCAATAGACGACGTGCTCTTCTCGTAGCTTTCCTGTGTATGCTTAAGCTGTATGCCTTCATCCGCCGTTTTGGATTTATTAAGATCAAGGCTGAGACTGTGTTGGTTGCTGTGGTTCTCCATGGATGAACTTTGCTTTTTTCTATCACATGCGTTTCCGTTGTGGGCTCCTGCCGTGCTTGCCGAAGTTATGATCCACATGGTAAGTTTTTCTATTTTAGAATCTCCCTTTTCTTTAGCTGGTTAGAACTTGTGAGGATTGTTTTCCTAGAAAGCAAGAATGTTTAATATGATGAACGAGTGCATGTAAACACGCGATCGTTGACGGCGGCCACTGTGGGTATTGGCGACGGTGGCAGAGGAAATTTGGTTGAGCAGGCCATTCTGTTTGTTTACAGAACAGATGCAAGGCCGTTGATTGTGTAACCATATCAAGATGCTGTTGGTGTGATTAGGTACTTTAGGTACTTTACGTTTTGGTGTTTGTGTATTGCTGGATCAGCTTGAGCCATTCTCTAATTTGAGGCTGTGGTTTATAAAGTAGATACTACAGTGTAAGAACGTCTTTGTATCATTGTTACGTGTGAGGAACCAGGTGAGTGGTCAAGAGTGATTGCTGGGCAGGATATGTTGTGCTTAGTTTAATTGTGGTGGATGAGTGATGTGGATATATAATTTAGAGTGTTGGTCTTTGTTTGCTGAAGGCAACTGTGTTGGACTCTAAGAATAGAAGTAAATAAAGACGTTTCAATTTTAAAAGGAAAAGCTACTGTTTAAGCGGGTTAGAGGATGTGCTGTGAACGGTAGGTCTTTTGTCGGATTACTTATACGATGGATGGTGTGAGAGCGCTAGTGAAAGAAATAAAAACAGAAGGATCTCTATTTATAACTCGGATTACCAGCGTATACATATGGATAGTCGAACAACGACATATGAATCTGACAAAGACTATACTGAACCATGATCGTGCTGTCTTTGAGTGACTATGCTGCTGAAAAAGAACAGCACATCTCTAAAAATAAAATCTTTTCTTTTTTTCTTCACCAAACAAAAGCATGAATATAACGAACGCTCCACACCATCGATCGTACAAGCACCCCTGACAACTCACCATACCTTTCGACTTATGTCACTGACACTGTGTGCTTCTCACGAACGTTTGCATACAACGATTTCTCTGGACGACGATTAGCAGATCATCTCGCCTGTAACGATATAATTTATACAGAGTTGTTGATCACGCGTTTTTATCATACCAAAGTGACACATTAAGGCGGCAATTGTACTCACAGCACTCGAACATATATAAAAACTTTGACGAAAGAATATACAACACACATTTTACACAATCGTCAGTGATCATTTCAATCGCTGTCAAAATCGGCATTTTTTGATATTAGCAACGCCACTGCACATACAGAGGAACTCGTATGAATATGTTCTATGCCAGCCGGTACTTTTTTTCTCTTCTTGTAAAGAAAAGGAGAGGTACACAGCACCCACCGCATGCACGCAGTTTTCTCTGCTAAAAATTACACGCTAAATCTTTTTATTTGCAAAAGTTATCAGTTTTCAAAACCAGCGTTAGTCACTAATTTTGTTAACTTTCTTTTTAGCTGGCATTACTCTCTTCCCTCTATTTAGCACTGACTTACGCAGAGCTTATTGCACTCATCTCACAATGTCAACGACCCAATCTTCGAACCACTTTAGGCATTCAACTACTCTTCCATATAAGATTCCCGAAAGGGATCTCTCTGAGTGGAATATCTTCGTCGCGTTGGCTTCGAGGGGAACTCCTGAGGAAAAAAGCGGTCAGTAAAGATATGCCGATACCATGCATTGTAATAATAGTTTTTACTGCAATCATAGAGTTGGGACTTCCAGAAAACTTCGAGTTTACCAACACCAAGGATCAAACTCTAAAGGATCACTTCAAGGACCGTAGCGAAGGTGCGAAAACATATCTTCAGCAAAGGGTGAAGGATGAAAACCAAAAACGATCAGCGAAGCCGAGTAATCCTGATGACCGTGCAAAACTGGCAAAATCCTTGAAGGATGAACTTTGTGCATTGCTGCACCAAGTGAAGGAGAAGCTCGATACGGATGCAGCTGTAACGCTCAATAGTGATCATCCAGAAGACTGGGACAACGAAATGGCGTACCATAATTCAGGTACGTAAAGGTGTGATTATTTTAAGCATACACTGAACCTTACTCTGTTTCTAGGTGCCTCACGTCACGCCTTGGCGACAGGCGCTATGTTCTCGACGTTTCAATCCAAATGTAGAGGTGAATATCTGAACAATCCCAACTTGTGTAAATAATACTCACTTAGATCCATTATACCTCTATATAGAGCATAATGGACGTTCCGGTAAGATATGCAGATGTTTACAAGTAGTGATGCTTTACTTTGATGCTGTTATTGCTGATATAGAGTCGATGAGACAAGAGAATGGTACAAGAAGCGCCAAATCTGGACGTTGTTCAAATGCCACGATGGAGAGTGTTGGCATAATAATGCGAAATTTGTACACTAAGTGGAGTTGATAAAACATCAGACCCTTATAGATGTGGTGAGCATTTAATATCTTTTAGAGGAAAAGATGCAAAAGGAAACGCCCAAATTTCCTTGGGGTGAGTTCAAGCGAACTGCCGATGATGCTGGGCTTACCGCCCATTATTACAACGAGAAGAAGCGGCTTCGATTGGCTGGGTTCAATTTCGGAAAGGATGAAAAAGACCAATACCATCCAACGGCTCTCAGACCGGTATTATTACGGGATGGTCAGTTAGCCCAACTGCATAAAGGGCTAAAAGATGAAGTTGTTAAACTGCTTGGAGATGGTAAGTTTGTAGATCATTTAACAATTGATTTTTGTGATAGAGGTAAAAAGAATAAGTTATTGATTCACGAGGTAGATGAAACAGAATAAATGAGTTTTTTGTTTCTCTCAGCCTTTGAATAGCTTGTCAATAAATTGTTACTTTTTTATTATCTGATCTTTTTCCCTTATCGCAATGCCACCTAAAAAATCACAATATACAATTAAATACAAGGATCATGAAATCCAACCTGAGAATTTCAGCACTGGGTACGAGCAGAAAAGAAACAAAAACGGCGACGCAGTGTTTAAGAAAGGGAAGCCAGTTCTTGTTCCGGTTAGAAAGCGACTCGCACAGCCAGACGATGTGCAAACTGCACATGCGAGCGATGAAAAACGATTTCGCACTGAGACCTCTTCTAGACCTACGACAAGTCAAGATGGTATGATGCATGTGTATACCATTTATTGTAACATCTAATTATTAACAGTAATGTGGTTTAGCGAGTGCGTGGGATGATTATGCAGAGGAGTATGACGTTGGTGACGATGATGAAATGAATATTCCTCTTACTTCGCCACCCACACGTACCAATCAAGGCCCCGTAGAGAGAGTCAAGGAAGCTTGGGGAGAACTAATGCCAAAGCTTACTCAAGCTTATATTGCCTGTTTTGAGGGCGACGGTCCACAGTACAAAGCGACAAACCTCAACACCACAGTAGAACCTTGTAATGGATGTGCCAAACCTAAAATGGTGACGCGTAACGTTGATTGCGTGTACATGACTGGTACAGAGTGAATTTGATCAGTATGATATATGTTTGACATTATCCATGCATTACAACTAAATAATCGTTCCGATATGTAGGTATACAAAAGGGAACGCTCATTTATCGCAAACAATGTTATCCCGATGAACCAGTATACCTTATGAGGCATCATTTGCTTGCAGCAACACCCACGCAGCCAGAAATGGCGTTTCACCTCTGGAATTTTACGCCACGCTTCGAGGGTTTGGACAGACAGCTGTCCAAGCATTTGGAAGCACCGTATCTCACGTTCATGATTTCCATGTTAGTAACGCACGAGGAACAATCATACATTGGTTCAAACGGCACTCTAATTGCGATTAATTACGATGTGTTTATAGAAAGATGAAACGTTGCGTAAAAATCTCGGCCACTTCAAGTATTTAGAGATTGCCACGCTAGTAGAAGAAGAACTGGTATCGGAAAATGAATGGGCAAAAGAAAAATACGGATGTCCTGCGTGTCCTCCAGTAAGAGCATCATTTAATGTAGTATTGTATGTTATTACATAAAGCTGATAAGCATTATATTCGTCGCTTAGAATCGAATGTTTATCGCTATCGATGGCAATATGCAGCTTAAATGTTATAAAGCAAATGAGCACGACAAAGAAAAATATGTCGAGAAACGGAATTATTCCGCTGACGAGCATCAAGCCAAGTATGACGATCATACCATCCGTGAAGGAGTTAGTGATGCATCACGTAACTGTGACAGCAGTTTTAAAGCAACCGCAAACGCTTCTCGCGGTGATCCCCTCTGTCATGAAAGTGGTTTAGTAGGAGCTATCTGCGCTCGACATGATATTCCTTTAGAATTCACAAATATATTTGAATCTGGAGAAAAGTAAGTAGTGACAATGTTAACTGCTATTATTCATTGTTTTGTTTTTCCATTTACTTACGATATTGCTTGAAATCGTCGAAAATACAGATTCAAGTATGCCCTTGCCATCATTGACGTCTTATTGCAAAAGCCAGGCGTGAAAATCGAGGCATTGATGTATGACATCGCTTGTCGAATCAAATCAGCCATACGAGTATGTACTGTAGCATAACGATAATTTACTATACTACTTCGAGGGCTACTTAGTGTGCTTTTCTAACATTTACGATGATGTTTGACACATGTAGAGCAATTTTCCCGAGCTCAGGGACGAAAATAACACGAAGATCGCAGTTAGCGTTTTTCACGCGTATGCACATTCGATAAAGTGTCAAGTCGACTATAACCCACGTTATGTCAAAGGGCTTGGCTTGACCGATGGAGAGGGCATGGAGCGACTTTGGTCGTATTTGGGACAGTTCGTTTCCATCACTCGACCAATGAGCGCAAAAAACAGAGTTCTGACGCTGTGTCATGCGATATCACACTTCAAGCAAATTCGTGTTTCGACTTTACGTAAGTTTTTTCTGCAAAAAAAAATATCTATTTGTTTCATCAGCGATAAACCTATCACGGCGCAAAAAGCTTGCAAATGAAATACTTTTAGAATCACTATCGTATCTTGACGAAGAAGTAGCAGGAAAAAGCAATCAAGAGCTCCAGACTGAATGGGATAGATTCTCCCAAAGAATACGCAGCGATCATGCAGTGCTGCGAACTCATACGTTCGAAGTCTTATTATTTACTATGATACAAAGTAGGTTAATTACATAGTCGTCCACACGTAAACCTGTCGATACTCATTATGCACATGGCAATAAGGAATAAATCCGACGCGGTGATCGCAGAATTGAAACAGCCACTATCGCATGAAGAAACTCTTGATATCTTGACGCAGCTTCCTTCCTTTGAAACATCTTACTCAAAAGCTTTAAAAGATGTGAAGTCATTTGAAAATAAGCTTGGCATCGAAACCAGATGGACCAGAACTTGTTCCGCATTCATTAATGTGCAAAAGCGAATGTTGGAAAGAAGTCGTGATATTGCCATAGAGAAGTTGAAAACTATACTTATTGGGCAGACAATGTTAAAAGATATTCTGCATCGGTCGGGCAAGCTAGGTAACGCATAAAAGTTTTAACAAACCTCTAAATACTAATAAATATATTAATAGGACATACAACAAGCTCACAGATGCTTAAATCCGTAAATAATGCAACAGCAAAGGCGAAAACAGCATTAAATAACTATAACGAAGCCAGTAAAGCGCTGAATTCAAGCTTTCAGGATGTGAAGTTCAATGACATCAAATCCTTCGATAATAGTTCATTTTGGGAACCAGATGCGATAACAGATGTTGACTTCCGTGCCCTTCGACAGTTCATGAACGTAGAACGCGCTACTGAGGAGCTTTTGTTGTTATCGGTAAATTTATTTTATATAGTATAAAGACGTTAGATGTGGTTAATGTACTGATTACAATGTAAAATTGCATTCTAGGATGAAGAAAAGCAGCTTAAATCCTATGCTTTGAATAGATGCAAGCGAAGCTATACAGCATTAGAAGAAGAAAAACGGGGGGAAGCATATCGAAACCTCATTTCCCGCAAGTTACCAGCAATTGAAAAACTCTACAAGAAGGTGCACGGCCATTCCTGGCAATATTACCAGCAACAACAAGAGCAGTATGAGCATCAGCAGGAGCAGGAAGAGCCTTTGGGTCTTGAGGGAATCGAAGAATGTCCTGAGGACAGTTTGATGATATCTTTCGCGGATATCATTATGGGAATGATGCGTGCGGAGAGCGGGGAAGAAAGCATCGAAGACTTGCAGCACGAGCTCGGCATCCACGAAGACGTTGACACCAATGATGTGCCAGAGTAAAGACCTGTACTATATGCTGATAATCAATGCTTTACGTCTGTACTTTTCTTTTATTCCGTATTTGATTTTATACGCCCTTACGTACCATTATGTTACTTCTCATATTACAATTATCCAAAGAATCCATTTTCTATAAGCCATTAACTTGTTTATATCTCACAACTCATAAATAAGCTTATTTTAGTTCTTCTCACATTTTTACCATACAACAATGAGCAAATACAGAACTACCACTAATTTGTCTGTCTGTTAGAATCAATAGATAATAAGCTGTAGTATATTAATCCCATTCATGTTCTTCCTACCAGTTATATACATACGATCATACCTTTAAGCTGCTGTATCAAAATTATCTGAGAGTAAAACAACTACACATTGTATATGATGACATACAATAAGCAGGTGTTTCTATCAATTTATGGAGGCGGAAAAATGGCCTCTGGGCAAAAGGGGGTAGTCAGCTAAATTGAAAGTTAGCAACGTTAGTGACTAACTCTGGCTTTGAAAACTGCTAATTTTAGCAAATAAATGGTTTTAGCGGGCAATTTTTAGCAGGGAATTCTGTGCGCCAGTGGTGTCACAATGACCCATTAAAAAAATGTTTATTTTTTTGGCAAGTAGTTTTTATATTGAGGGAATCGACGCCGTGAATGCTGCTTGTACGCTATTCACACAACTTGCAGCGCTTGTGACCACAGACATTATTGACGGACTTGTTGGCGCATGCGGTGTCTACGGAAGTTTGAAACAGTTAGTACAAATGAAAGTGGAACAGTAACAATTGACAAAGATGTATATACCTGCTGTATGGTGGTTGGCGCCAGATTCTGCAAATTGGTCTGTTGTGTGCCTTGTACCATGCTATTGCTTGGAAGTTGCAGAGCTGATATATGCATGTCTATGCTATGATTCGTACTTTGACGCTTTAACTGAAACTCTCGATCCTACAGACAACACCGAATGGATTAGTACAATATGATAATGTCAAAAATAAACACAAAGGATAATAAAAACATACCTCCACCTGTGCTTGACAGTAGTAACAGAGCTGGACGTTGCTACCATATTCACTACTAGTTTTTGTTTCATTGTCGATGATGACATGTATCTTTTGTCGTAAGCAGCCACGATGAGTGACAAGTTTGCAAAAAGATTTCCTTTTTTCGAGGTAATCTCGAATACTCGGATTTTCCTCGGCTTGTATTGCCTTGTTCAGATTTGTGGAAAACTTTGTTGGATTGTACAGTGTACTGACGAGTAGACATTCTGCTGACTTGCCGTCCCTTCCAGCCCGTCCGGTTTCCTGTACGTAGTCGATAGACAAGCATAGGTGTCAATGGTCACGTGGAGTGAAAAGCCATGAGAGTGTGTAGACGACCATTTAGCGAGACTGAGATATATAATTCGTTAAAACCGATAACAAGGCCGCGGTCTATGAGCTTGTTTTTAGGTTGTAAGTCTGTATATAAATTTCCATCTAAGAAACAGAAACAGATTTACGTCTATTGCTATTGGCAGGCAATGGCTTACTCAAAATTGGATGATCCGAGCTCTTTACCCATTTCACAGCGTTGGAATGAACTCTCGCGATATCGTCCCAATTGGCGTTTTCGCGACGTTTTTAAACGAGATCACTGGTACACGAGGACAAGATATGGTCATGTACAATGAGGCTTGCCCGTTTGGTGAGCTCGCCCCGCTAGCAGTTGACGACCGTCTTTTAATAAATTGACAAAAAAATCAATTTGTTACCCCTCATCATCCATCGAAGGAATGACGTATCGTACTTTTGAAGTATACAGACGCTCAATCAATACTGGCCTGGGTAGCCAATATATTTGTAAATTAGGAAGAGTGCAATACAAATGGCGACGGTAAGAAGCTGCTGTACAAACTCAATTGAACTGATACAAAGCAAAAGGGCTTTTTAATTCTTTGAAGAAACTTAGTCATTGATATTATGATCGCATTTGTATATGTAGTAGCCTTATACGACAAAACATCGAAAGGTGGTCCGAAGCTTGAGAGTCATCATATCGTACTGTCCCACGCGTCCGTGGGCCAACTAATTACAGCCATTATTATGTTCCATGCCATATGTGAGCGACAAGTGAAAGGTATGCCACGACAGCTATTTTTATCAAAACTGTATGGACAAGCGGGATCGCGGAGAAAGAGTAATGAAGAAAAGCGTTGCTGTACATGTGTCGAACTGCCTCCACCTGAAAACATATCCGGTGCTCCAAAGGCAGCTCAATCTCAGGCGATCTCCTAAACAGATAGGCACATCCACGTGGATTTAGGCTTTGATAGAAAGCCATTCGAAACGTTTGTAAAACAACTCTAGTGGTAAGTATGAGCATTACAGTATTTGGTATCAAAAGATTTGATCTTGGCTGTAGAGTGCATGTCGTGCAGATTTTATGAGAAACGACAGTTTAAGCACACAAAGCTTGATCGACTTGTTCCAAGTCCAAAGAGTTCCTGCTGTTGCAGGAAATTTTCTGATGTGAACAGCACTGATATTGCTACGCAACGTGTTTCACAACAATTTGGCATTGTATATTATGGTCTGTGCATTATGCTTGCTTCAAATAGTTGCCTAGATAATATGCTTAGAATCGATCAAATCATTGCAAGGTAAAAGTAATTACGAATCTGATGTAAGCCATATGACATTGTCGGCATTGTATAAGAACAGGGACATAGCACGCCAAAACATGAGTTCTTTCCTAACTGTCAAATGAAGCGGCGAAGACGATTGAACACAGTCAGGAAGAAATTGCCATTGCAAGGTCAAGCGACACGTAAATACCTTCACAAGTAAAAAAAATCGTACATAAATCAGTTTGAGCAGGACATAAAGTAAAAGAGCAGGTTTTTATTCATTGTAATAATAGAGTAAAGAAACATTTTATAAAAGACAAAAGTTATCGTTATGAATATCAATAGTCGAAGGGTACAAATTTTATTAAAAGAACACAATCAGTGGACAATAAAGACAAATGATAAGAACGCGATTTTACAAAGTGACCTCAACAAGCAGTTCGCACAACCTGCAGGCTATACAAAAAGCATGAAGAAAGCAAGAAGAAACAGAAGAAGTATGTAAAAGGGGGAGGAAAAGAAAGCCACCAATGCCTCGGCCTGGGAGTCCCAGTCTCCCAATCATTTGGCTGGGTCAATCAACCACAAACCCAAGCCATCATTGGTACCAACCAGCGGGAGCCATGGCGTACACTTCGTTTGAGAGTCAAGTGCAAGCAATCGGTTGAAGATTGCTTGTGAGTGGAGAAAGTGGAAGGGGAAGGGGGAAGGGGGAAGGGGGAAGGGAAGGACGGAAGGAAGACGGAAGTGAGACGGAAGGGAAGGACGGGAGGAAGACGGAAGGGAAGGACGGGAAGAGGAAAGGGAAGGGGAGAACGGGAGACAGAGGAAGAACGGGAGGCAGAGGAAGAGCGGGCGACAGGAAAGGGTTTGGCTGGGGTGACGCCGGTGGGGACGAACCCGCACGAGACAGAGCACCGAACTCATCATCATAATAGCCGAGGTCAATGTTGAGAGAGGACTCGGAGGAGAAGACGGGCTCGGAGGAGCGGTAGGAAGCGGTGGTGGGGTTGTCGAGGTTGCTGTTGAAGCAATGGACAGGCGAGATGTGCGGAGGCGAGTTGATGGTGTCGAAGGTCGAGTGCACACTGGCATTGACCTTTCTTGCTGCTATCTCAGGTGCGTGAGTCATTCTATTCTTTTATTCGCGTCATCAGTATCAATATAGAATCTGCTTCTCACCGTATTATACAGCAGTCAGTCTCGTAGCGTCACGCACACGTTGGGTGTCTGTCGTACCGGAGGGTCTCCGAGCTCGGCAAATCACGACTTGATCGCTTCTCGCCACCTTCAACTTGAATGCCGAGATGGTTGAACCATAACACTTTGAAATAGCCGTGTACAAAGACGCGACTAGTGTGTACATGTAGCCTGGAAGGTGCACAATGCAAAGGGAAATGTCAGGCTGAATGCCATTGCTTTGGGAGATGAGCGACGCGTTGCTCTACGTGTCCAGTGTGCTTGTGTAACCTGACAAGACCTGGGTTGGCAGGTGATGCTGTCAACTTCTTTGTATCCATTCCTTTTTTGGGGGGGGTCAGCTGATCCACTATAGAATCACTGATAAGATATAAACGCTCCTCTCTCATTATTTACTCTCTGCTCACTTTTTCAGTGCTGGGAATAGAAAGTAGTTACTACTACCTCGAGCCCAAAAACTAACGAAGATACGTGCTGGCCCTGTAACGAAAGTGACAACGACAAGCAAAGTGACAGACAGAGACGTGGTGAACAAGTCGAACAATAACAATAGATTGACCGTCTCCTGAGAGAGTGCGTGTGTAACCCGAATGGTTTTTGTGTAACCCCAGAAAGACATAAAAAGGCCCAAATAACTTTTCCCTTTTTTTTCCCTCAATCCTTCTTTCGCTACATTCAAGATGAAATTCATTACAAAGGTCAGTGGAAACAAGTACATAAGCAAATTGATCACAAAGATCAAAATAGGCCGGGGCGGTCGTGCCAAGAAAGTGACAGTGACTGCGAAGAGTCGCCGCCGCCATCGCCGTAACGCAACCACCACCGCCACTAGCACCAACAGCAGCAGCAGCAAGAGCAGCAGCAACAGCGATGACGAAGAAGAACAAGAAGCAGCAGCAGCACCGGTGGACGTCTCTCAGGAGGAGAGAATGGAGAACGTTGGTGCCTGGCTTTCAGGCATCGTCGCGATGTAAGCTGTGCCTTTCCCGTCCCAAGTCTCCCTCTCCCCAATACTCTAAGTACATAGTCTTTTCTTCCCCATCTCCCCTTTCCTTTCCTTATAATAAAATATCATTTAAAAAAGCTCTCACTTTAAGCTGTGAAAGAAACCCCAAAATCATCGTCATTTTCATTTGTTTTCACTGCACAAGCGTGCGTCTTGTGTGCACGTATCAGTAAATCATTTTGTTGTGTTTCCATGCAATGTCGCACTCTAGACGTCCTATATACAATGGAAGTCATGCTCGCTTGCAAACGTGTCGGTGTCGAAAATATGTGTATAAGATATTACGTAAGCTGGTCAAGTCAGGGCCTACGTACCCTATGTGGGATACATGCCACTGCTTTTTTTGCCTCGAAAAAGACCGTGAGTAAAGAACGTATGGACTAACAAGCAGCAAAAGTCTAAAACTTACTCGATTGACAATGACGTTGACATCCATTGCAAGAAGTGCTGACAGCAGGAAAACATAGTTCTCACCGACGTTACACATCATATATGCAGCAAAACTACTTTTAATTACAACCACAATGAGCTCCTCTATCTTCAGGCCTTCTCCAGCTGTTTGACGAGGCTTTCATGGCATGCTGAAGGGCTTCTCCTATACTCTGCTGCTGATACGTTTTTATAGCAAGAAGTGTAGTATTATTGTCGTTCTCTCTGTGCTTATTGGTTGACAGCGTCATCTGCCAACGCAGGTCTAGCCATATTACACAAGCACACTGGGCATGCCGTAAAAAGCTTACTATGTAATCGACCATCTATTATTCACTCTCTGGTTCGCGTTGGATGTAAACACGTTGAGTAGAAGTTTGGATATGTACCAATGCTATATTATTGATGGAATATTACGAAAGAAAGAAAAAAGAGCGAGAGTGATGATACAAATAGAAAAAGAAATGTGAAAAATGCTTGAGAATATAGATACAAAATGATAATAAACAGCTTTTGTTTTGTCTAGCGACGCTTCTTGTTTTTGTTTGAGGGTCGTGCATTCTTTGCCTTTCGGTTCTCTTGGACTTTACGCTGCTTGCGAATCTGTTCAGCCGACTTGAGCTCGCTCTCCTCACGTTTGCGTTTCTGAGGAGCATCCGTACGGTTATGTCGGAATTTTCGCGTATTGCCGTGAGCCATATGCTTGGCAGAAGACAGCTCTTGCTCACCAGTACGCGGGATCGCTATCCGCTTCTTCTTGGCCCACTCTTCATATCGACCGCTCTTGTAAGTTGCTGAGATCAAAGCACCGCTCTCGGTACGAATCATTTTTTTGTTGTCAGAACCAACACCAGTACCACGCACAAACTTTTTCTTTTTGGCATCCCATCGTATGGCGTTACGTCGTCCCTGATTCATGGCGTCATTGTCATCACCAATCAGGTCAAGTGTTGCTTTGCCTGCCTGCTCGACAAAGTTACCCGTCTGCATCGAATATCCACGTTCCGTGTCAGCGTCCTTTTGCGTGTAGTGCATATAAAATTCCTCGTCACGATGGCTAGACTTCTTTTTATCTATTTGTCATGTTTGTTAGATTATCAGCAGTCCTTCCGTTACTAGCACATATGAGTGATACTTACCATTGCTTTCAGCCGTGGACATATTGAAAACATCTGCCAAATCATCCTCCTCGACTTCGCCGCCTAGTCCATCCACATCAATTTGTTTCACAGGCCCGCTTGAATTCAAATCTTCCAATTCTGCAGCGGAAGCTGCTGCTCGTTGTGATTTGGTAGCGCTGATGAGTGATCCTAGATTTTCTCGCCGACTGCGCATAAGCAGAGTGGCTGCATCAGCCTTTTTAGTTCCGCGACGACCCACTTCAAAAATTGTCTAAAATAAACAGCCTAAGTTAACACCATCGACCGATTCATAGCTTGATCACCAAATAACTACCTCAGATGGACGGAAACCAGAAATCTTGCTAATGAGATTCAAGCGCTGCTTTTCGGCGTCATTTGTGAACTCGCCAATTTCTAAGTGCAAAAAAAAATATAAGCAAAACAATATTCCAAGCCAACTATGTGCCTTTGCCAACTATGTGCCTTTTCCATTTACCTAGCAGAGGATGTAAATCCTTGAATGCTTCTTTCTTCATCAACTCTTTTGCTCGAGTATAACTCTCGGCTGCTGCTCTTGGCTTTGTTCGGTTGAACAATTTATATGCATTGTTTGCAGTAGTGTACATGCCCTCCAAACTTGCGTCTCCTGCTACACGCTGTCGCACCCATTCGGCATCGTCTATCAATGCATCCTTGGGCATAGCACCAATAATCAGCGACGAGGTATAATCGGCACCCAGCTTTTCCTTTTGTCGGGATCCAAGCACCACTTCACGCGTTAAAAAGAGACCAAGATCAACAACATAGGGCAACTCAGCAGCGGAAACAAGTGAGTAGGCCCAACCACGGCGACCAGCACGAGCAGCACGGCCCACACGATGGATATACACTTTGGAAGATCCAGCAAAATCATAGTTGATGACATTTTCCAAGATAGGAATATCAATACCACGTGCAGCGACGTCCGTTACTACCAACAAATTCGTGTAGCCCGAACGGAATCGATTAATCTGGATGTTACGCGCCGTCTGATCGAGTGAGCCGTATACATATGAGACCTGATATCCGAGTCCCATCAAAATGTTGGAAAGATATTCGACATGATGTTTTGTTGCAACGAACAAAATTGTTTGGCGATCCTCTTCTGTTGCTGTCAATCGTTTTTTCTTTTTCTTATCGTCAGAGCGGCCGGCATTCGCCTGCGATGTCTTTTTCGGTAATTTGATAACATTACGAAGCAAGTAAAGCAGTGCTGCTTCTTTTTCGGATTGCTTTACAGAAAAGAAAGCCATCTAAATTATCCGATCTCACGAAGTTAGTATTTTACGTACATTCGACCCAACATTTTAAGAGAACCATTTCATCTTTCTCTGTTACCTCCAAGTCTTTGCTAATCTTGGTGTCCGCATCCAGACGAATCAGCGTTGGCTCCTGCAGACCGGCCTTAGCAAAATCGACAAGCATCTTGGGAAGTGTGGCCGAGAAAAGTAGCGTCTGACGGCTCTGTGGCAACCGAGACAAGATTTCATGAAGCTGTACAGCAAAACCCATTTCGAACAATCGATCGGCTTCATCAAAGACGACGTATTCGATAGATCGTAAATCCAAACCCATTTCGACAGCCAAATGAAGCAAACGGCCAGGTGTTGCGATCAAAATATCCGGGTTGCTTGCAATCATGCTAAATTGATCATCCAAGCTGTCACCACCTACAAGCACACAGCTTCGCAGATCGGTATGTTTGCCAAACTCCTTGCACACCTTCTGCGTTTGCAGGGCCAATTCACGCGATGGCGATAACACCAGGCCACGTGCACCCACTTTGGCTGAGTGTCCCTTGAGGCGCTCAAGTAGCGGAATCAAAAATGCTGCTGTTTTACCGGAACCCGTACGGGCCATACCGACGACATCTTGGCCTTGCAAGATAAGAGGGATCGATTTACGCTGGATTGGTGTCGGAACCTTGTAACCTTTATGCAAGATCGCTTTGAAGATCTGTTGATTGAGACCTAAATTTTAAAGTGGCAATTGCGTTTCTTTTGTTTAGTTGATCAATGCACCGTAAAAATGCCGGTAAGCTTTTAGATCCTTACCCATGGACTGAAAACCGCCAGATTTCTTATTTTTGCGATTGGCAGCCATGTTTTCGCTGGCAATAAATTTCTCTTCCTCGGAGACATCGTCCTCACTGTCACTCATATCAACTGCTGGTATGTTTTTTGTTGATTTTGAGGGTACCGCTGATGGAGCAGACGGCTTGATCGACTGGAACATGTCATAGTTTTCGCTTTCGTCGTCCATGGTTACAGAGATCGTCGAGAATAAGAGAAAAAATATTTTCGCTTGAATTACTTTTGAAGGACGCCGCATACTCCGACATCAAATTCGGCTTGGATCATCTTCAGGGCGCTTTATCCTTTTTAACAAGATGAGCAGAGTAATATTGCATGACAAGCCATCATAGAACAGAACTAGATAAATTGACTTTACTACAGTTGTCTCGCAGTATATTGTAGCTCTAATAGAAAGCGAGCTGGTAGCATTATTGGTTTGCAGATCAACAGCGATATGTCTATTTGCATGTAGTTTCCCTCCTGTTTATTGAAGTACCTGAAGATGTGAAGAACAAGAGCCCGGAACAAGTGATCTATTTCCCTACTTATATAAGCTTAGAAGAAGCTCCTTTTACAAAAGGATACAACATGCACTGTGTATGCTATATATTATTAGCTAGCACTATTATATCACTGGTGTGAGTTTCTCGTGAACACACCACAGACGATATTTATCATCGCAAACTGCATGAGGTTTTCACAATCAGCAACAGTGAGATTGAAAGCAATCAAAATGAGAATTTTCTAGCCTCGCAGAAGATCACGCTAAGAACAAGACAGGATAAAGTACTTGGCAGCCATTCAAGACAGCCTTTCATGCATCCCATTGCGATGGAATTTTCAGAAAGCAGCAAGATAAACGAGCAGCAGCACAAGGCAGATGACGATACCTTGACAACTATTACTGTCATGATTTCTTCACGGTTGAGCATATTTTTAGCCAGATAGCTTTTACATAATACTGGAATGCTCATTCACACAACAATATTGGATTTGGTCTCATGACTGCAGCTTGATTTCTCTGCTCGTCTATTTTGGTGAGCATCACTGATTTTCAAATTGCTCCTCCAAGATATGCAGTTGCGCAATAGAGAGGTGTTACATGCCGGATCCACAAGGAGCGAATCGCCACATCGTACATCAATCGGGCGGTGCTCTCATCGCACACAATATACACGAGCTGTCGCGCTGGATGGAGCAATTGCTATGACCGTCGATTTCTCACTCCATTATAATATCGTGAAAGTCATCGCCAACAGGTGCATCGGCTATATATCTTCCCAATAGGTGGATAGATCGTGGAAACTGATTTTTTAAGTTTTGCTGTCTGTGACCGAGCAATACTGCAAATAATAAGCGAACGTTCGAACCGTATCGTACGCGTAAGCCTGTTCTCGGATGCTTTTAACCAGGCGATATCCAGTGTACACACCTACAAAAATTACGGTCGAGATCTCCAAAGTAACGCTTTTCTACACACCAGAAGCTGACAACGAACCAGCTTCAGCGGTCACATTACAACTACCCCCGCCGACTACTGTAGCAGAGAAACGTTAAAAATGCGCCATCTTTAGTTTAAACATGCTTACATACTGCATGATGTAACGGCAGATATGATACCTTGCTCTTCTGTTTGTTATCAGATAAAACTTGGATCACATTATGATACGATAAGATTTAGTCATCGCACTTAAAAGATTAATCGGACCAGAGTTTCAAAACACGACGATCAGGATCACTTGCATTCCGTAGATCTTATAACAAGATAAAGCTTACATACGGATCATTAGTTTTGTGGCTAGTAATATCAGTTTCTCCCTTTCAAGAATATATATAATACGATAAGCTACCTAGCTGTAGCAGTAGGTCTATGATGCAGTCACTGTATTCAAGAAGCGAGGTTATTTGCTAGAACAAGAGATCCACTAGCCTAAATGAATAGCATAGCCGAGTCAAGACAGAGACAACGAATAGCGCATCATGTCTATGCTAAACCCTCAGAAAAAAACCTAAACTCTGGATGTGCTACCGACTCCTTATGCATTGTACTATGCTTACATATAAACTCTCTCTGGAGCTCTCTTGTTGTAATCTGCTAGGGTCTTTGTCAATGATACAAAATGTGCCTTAGAAGTCTATATACAGCAATCATAACGATTAGTATGCAGAATATCTGAGATTGTTTAACCCGATAAGTGATGCATTGTATATAATCCCGAGACGTGCCGAAATAATATTAATTACAGTAAAAGCATCATTATCACTGTTAGCACCATCGACTCAATACGTATATATGTGATGCGATGGAGAACCATTACTCAAATCAAATCGAACTGCATGCAGCATTTCGTCACTGCTATTTCACCCATATTTTAGCCTTTTTTTTATGTATCGTCACGTCATCCATTGATTACGAAGTTACTCGCCTGGATTTGAGAACCGTAATTTGTACGCACGAAAGGAACATAATCATAAGAAATGCTACGAGTTTATAGAATAGCAGTTGCGGATGTTTTCCTAAGTTTATCAACTTCATTCAGAAAGTGTAGCATTTTCTTTCCGACCACGAACGGCCCTTGCCGACGGCATATGTAATACTACGTCAAGAAGTATATTTATACATGGAGGTTTACCCCACTGTGTATATATGCACATGATCACCGGTATGATCCGAGCCTTATTGCATTGATGTACGTAGTCAGACCATCACATGTGTATCTTGTCTGATACATAAAAATAAGTTTGCACGCCGCGTATATATGAACTTGAAAGAGAAAGAGGGAGAAAGGACACGGCCCCTCCCCCCATCCAGCGGGAAATTTAAGGGAGGTACTTTTGGTGCGTGAGAAATCTTTTGTATACTTTGCCAAACAAGCCTTTTTAGGAAACTCCACAAAGACATCCTTTTTCTACCAATCTGGCTAGGGCACTAAATCCAACTTGAAAAGACTTTACTATAAGGGTAAATTTATGCAATGGCTGGTAGTTTGATAGGTGGGGGGAGGGTGAGATGTCACTGTCATCCTCGTTTAGCTTCTTTGCTAAAAATCCTTCTTCCTCACTATCTCCATTGCTTGTTGAAATTCGTAAAAACGCTCGATAAATTTAATTAGCAACTGCAGAGCGCTCCCCTTAGGTATGAGTTTGGTGTGAGCACTATTATATAAATGAGCTCGGACAATGCACGAGCTGTATAGTGCTTGTCACATCCTTAAATAGGGTAGTGAGCTCAAAGACCAAATGTTTAACGAGTTGTAGCACGGAATACCTCGGACTTCTTACTGGGGCTTGTCTTGATTCAGGTGATGCTTTCTACAACGATGATGTTTTAGAGTACCATGACTACTCGCAGTAAGCTTACAGATCACTTCATCACTTCGAATCAGGCAAAGAAAATATCTGCACGGATTACGTTTATCTTGTACAGCCTGACAGTCGAATTTCCATTATAGTAGCAATGACGAACATTTGACCTTATCGTATCGTCATGAATGTACGAGGTATTCTAGTCAAAGCTAAGCAATTTGAGCGCATCATCCGTCATCATGCCCTCGTGTATTTGTTGCCTTGTCACCTAAACCATGTTCGCTTGTAATTTCAAGCAGTTATTAGCTGGGGGCAGTATCTAAAATCACCTTGAAAGAATAATGTGCTCTATTAGATACATTTATGCTAACTCTATGACTATGGCATTGAATTTAGTTGCACGATACTCTACCGTTATTCCGTTTCTCTGGCAAAACATTTAGTACTACATATCACATTGCTTGGCGAGATCAGATATATGACCCTCCAATTCGGATTATGGTAACTCTCTTGCTGCTCAGACTGGCATATGGCGTGGTTTTTGAATCTTTTGATGAGATATCAAAATACCATGACTTGAATGCCCTTTTCGATTAGATGTTATTACAGCAATAGAGTCGATCAAAAATCTAACAGATCAACTACCAGAAAAGGCCTTAAGGGAATACAAATGATTTAAATACAGTAGTATGTACAATTGCACTGCCGGCACAGAAAAGTCACCTGCTGAACCTTCTCGTATGTTGTAAGTCCACCGTTCAAGTGCTTTAAGCAAGCGCGTCTGCCGCTATGAATGATGAAGCTTAATATCAAGCTGCGTTCACACACAGGTATATGATTATGTGATTTTGGTGGATATTATTTAAAGTACGCGACAAGATGGTTTGTGCTTTATTGATTCGGCTCATTTTTATAAGACAGATTCCTGATTAGCGCACCTGTTGTCATCATCAATATAGTATTGCCGTTGTGACCTCTTTTAGCCTATAATGAGCGAGCAAAAGTTAGATAAGTGATTAGTAAAGGTAGTATAAAATATGTCATAATGAAATGCATCACTTATCATCACCACTTAAAAATCCATATGTATTCTACTTTGTTTTTAATACCTAACCACTTTCGACAAATGCTTTATTAGTCCGAATCTTCAGGGCATTTTCTTGTGGAATGGTGATAGCTGTTGCATTTGACATAACTCTGAGACCCATCACGTTGATGGAGCTCTCAAATTCGCCTTTATCGTCATTGCTCTTGTCGTTAATATGTTATCGCAAATGTCATGTGTCTCTTTCTCCAAGGATTTTTGCGCCAAAAGAATCATGGTATCATCATTTTTTAGGTTTTCAGTGGCGACGGTTGGTGATTCATAGGCGTGTTCGCAAAAGTTTAAGATTTGATCTGGTAAAAATGGTGGTGGCCTTCATGAGGTTGGAACGCGTTAGCGCTTTATCATTTCACATATACGGCAAGTCCACTTGCAAATATCCTACATAAGCCCTATCGGTGAAAGGAAGCTGACACATTCGTGGGACAGTACATACATTTTGAAAGATTTTAAATTTTTTTAACATGTTAGTGATGAGGGTTGAAGTGCGTGCTTGTTTAAGTCCAAAATATTGCTTTATCTATTGGCAACGTTCGCAGCTATTATATATTCGCCCCTCTATCTTACTCGAAGAACATCGTCGCCCTGTTCTAATGATCAGTAAAGATGCAACACTATTATCATACTCAAGTGCATATTGACTAGTATTGACAAGTGATGAGACAATGCTAAGCAGTCATGCAGCGAATTTAGATGCCCTTTGGTATTGCTTTTTACCTTGCTTACATCTAATGGATCGTCTCTTTTTCTTCCCTTTTTCATTACATATGATATGTCCAGATTACAGTCCACATCTTTATACAGGAAGTGATGCCTCGCTAGAATAGATGTAATGCAGTAAATACTTCAAAAAATTCAATATTATAAAGAAGTGCTCTTGCATGTAAAATTATTGTTACTACTGTCAACAAATGGATTGACCGGGTGTGTTAACAGCACCGTAAAGTTAGTTATATTTGACTTGATAACAGCAGCACCGTGCCCATGCCAAAAATGGATACATACTTTTAAACTTATAAGTGGAAAATTCGGAGGTGATCAAGTTATCGAGTGGGAACTGTAGCGTCCAATAGTGCCATGTTCTATTTTGTCGATGCTTTCTGAGGAGTTCGGTGAGCTAGCTCAACAAGTTCACCTTCTGTTGATAACCCAAACTGCATCGTGAAATAACACATAATGCAGGCGTAGGAATCCATCAAGTACCTGGTGGTATTTCAATATAAAATGACGTAGAGTAAGCGTAATACTGAGATCTGATACGACTTTAGAATGGGATTTGTAATTATACTGACACTACTCCAGTCATGATAACATTCCAGCTCTTGCGTACGCATTCAGTGGTACAGTCATTCCAAATCAGAAAAAAATAACTTTTATGTACAGCGTTTTATTGCGAGTATACTTGGCCAGCAAAAAAGGTGGGAGAGAAGTTCAGGAAACAATATAAGTGGGAGAATTGATAGTGAGATAGAAAGTTAAACAATAGGAGATTCAAATGGGTATGGCTAATTTACAACTTGGCGCTGTTGATGGTGGTGACGATATCGTCGTAGAGGAGAGTGGTCAAGAATTCGTCATACTTTTCGCCAGTGATGTTGGTAGCAAAGGCGGCCTTAGCAGCTTCGTACTTGCTGGAGGCGTACTTGGCACCCAACTGCTTCTTGATCTTTTCGGTCTCTTCATCCAAAAGCTGGAGCATGTACTGAGGAGTGGCGGTCTTACCCTCGGCAGTCTTGGAGTTGTGGCGTGCCCACTGGTAAAGCTGGGAACGGGAGATTTCGGCCGTGGCAGCATCTTCCATCATGTAGTTGATGGGCACACATCCGACACCCTTAAGCCATGCTTCCATATAACCGAGACCAACGCGCAAGTTGCTGCGAATACCTTCTTCGGTGATCTTGCCTTCAAAGTTCACGTTCAACAAATCGTTACGGGAGACGCGGACGTCGTCGCGGCGGATATGAATTTGGTTGGGTGTTGGCATGTTTTCGTTGAAAATGCCCATAGCGATATCAATAAGCTGAGGATGGGCCACCCAGGTGCTAATTGTGCCGGGCGATTAGTGCTCATTTCATCGTAAAAAAAGACAAATGCAATATAAGGAAGATCTGAAGTAATGATAACGTACCCATCATGACCAGCAACGACTTCGCGGAGTTTGTCAGCACGGACCTTGGCCATAGCAGCGTCGTTAGCAGCAGCATCGTCCTTGATGGGGATTTGAGCAGCCATACCACCCATGGCGTGGACACCACGCTTGTGGCAGGTCTGGATGAGCAAGCGGACATATGCATCCATGAAAGGGACGGTCATGGTGACTTGAGAACGGTCGGGAAGGACAAACTCGGGGTGCTGACGGAAACGCTTGATGAAGCTGAAGATGTAATCCCATCTGCCGCAGTTCAAACCAGCCGAGTGGTCGCGCAACTCGTAGATGATTTCGTCCATCTCAAAGGCAGCCATGATGGTTTCAATAAGGACAGTACCACGGATGGTACCGCGAGGAATCTGAATCATGTCCTGGGCGACGTTGAAGATATCGTTCCAGAGTCTAAAATCATAGCCCTCTCATTAGTATCCCTTTGATTCCCAATTCTGTCCTGGCAACCGGCTTATTGTAGTTTACCTCGCTTCAAGGTGAGACTCCATCTTGGGAAGGTAGAAGTAAGGGCCCTTGCCACGCTTGATCAATTCCTTGGCGTTGTGGAAGAAGTAGAGAGCAAAATCAAAGATGGAGGCGGAGGTGGGTTCACCATCAACCAAGACGTGCTTCTCAACCATATGCCAGCCTCTTGGTCTACAGTGATGAAAACGTTAAAGCGAGTGTGTCAGCATACAATTCCTGCGGAGTTGCATTTTCACGTGCGAATTAAACGGCTTTTCTTCTTGCTTACCTGACAAGGAGGACAGCGAGCTTACCGTCCTTGCGCAAATTGTATTGCTTGCCGTTAGGGTTGCTGAATGAGATAGTCTCACGGATAGCATCACGCATGTTAACTTGACCGTCAACCATGTTCTCCCAAGTAGGAGCAGACGAATCTACATATCATAATATGATGGACCAGCGTGAGAAAAATATATACTAAGAATAACTTAAAATTATAACGTCTCCAAGTGTACTGTTTTATACCTTCGAAATCGGCCATGAAGGTCTTTGCGCCCGAGTTCAAGGCATTGATGACCATCTTGCGGTCAACGGGACCGGTGATTTCGACACGACGATCCTGGAGACCAGGAGCAGGAGCAGCAGCGCGCCAGTTGGGGTCGTTACGGATGTAGGCGGTCTCGGGCAAGAAGTCGGGCAAGACACCACGATCAAGAGCTTCCTGGCGGTAGACACGCTTCTGCAAAAGGGCCTTGCGGGTGGGGTTAAAGATGCGCTGCAAGGTAGCGATGAACTGCAAAGCCTCAGGAGTGAGGATCTCTGCTTGCTTGGGGGTGACAGCACCGATAACGGCAACACCGGGAACAGTCGACTTGAAGGGCGTGGCGGCAGAGGGTTGAGCAGACATGATGTGTATGAAAGGAAGTGAAGAAAAGAAGAACAGAAAAGAAACGAAACTATCAAAACTAAAGAGAAGAAGTTGAGTTTATATAGGTGTTGGTAAAACTGAAATTGTGAGAGTTTTTTTCAATGGATCACTTGCCGCTTCAAAAAGTGGTTAAGGATGAATGATGATAATTGTGATTATTGTATCTATGCGTGTCTGTGTGGAGAAACACGGACTGACTAATGAGGAAAGTTTCGAGTGACGGCCATTCCACCGAGTTATGCTCCACTCTGTAATTTTTTTTTTCAGGCATTATTGTCAAAGGCAGTTATAGAAACAAAAGAGGTGAGAGACATCACATGCCTTTGTTATCATCTTCACATGGAGTAGCCCGGAATAGTATTGGCCTTTTATATCTTCCTTTATCGCCATTTACTATTGAATCTCGGTTAATTTCATAAAGAAGTCTCCTCCTGGCTTTATACGACGGATCGTTTTTCTAAAGGTTGATTATTTGGGCTATTTTTTTTTTGTTGGGCTGACCTAAAACGCTATATTAAGCGCATGGTTCAACGAAATTGATTATACCCCGTTGCAAAACAGATCGCATGGCAGCTCCAGTCCACTCGTTTGGAGTTCCGACCGGATATCCTCCTAGCGCCTCAAGGTATTTCCGTGCAAAAAAAAATCGTGTAAAAGGAAATGATATGGATGATGTAATGGGTATTATGCAAGTCTCTTTTTCCATCTCGCCCATTACCACGCACCCACATACCCCCCATTGGATACAATCTGACGGGCCATGTCCTGCTCTTTCTCCACACGTTTCCTTTTTGTCATGTTTCCCAAACATGAAAATGGGAAATGTGTAACGCTTATTCCCCGCCTCTCGCTCCGTGGAAAGCCGATCGTCTGGGAGTAGAGAGAGAAAGTACCAATCAAATTTTGCTGTGACTATTCCCTACATTTTTTTTGTACTTCAGCAGCTTATAACAAAATTTTTTCTGACGACGGATACTTTTACCTCTTTCTTCTTCTTTCCAACAGTAAAGGTATAGTTTTTCATTATCTAGTTACAAGTGTTTGACCAATATGAAATAAACGGGTCGCGTTTACGAGTTATATGGCCTCCTTGGCTCTGTGTGAATTTATGCGGAACTGTTCGGATGCACGTTTTGGAGTGGAAAAGAGAGAGAATAGGGAAAAAGGTTCTTATAGAAAGGGGGTGGAAGAAAAGGGAAAGGAAGGGTGATTAGAGTTAGTTGCTTTCTCTGCTGGGATTACACCCATATATTTTTTTTTATACACACGCAAGTTATCATTCGCTCGTTACTCGCTGGCTCTTCCATAGCCTTTGGGTTTCATTGCTACTTGTTTAGCGCTTGCAATATTAAAATCAGACGGCTGTTTGAGGACTGACGTTATACTTTCTGTTGCGTCGGACTATAGGTATGCTGTTCTACATACATATATATACTTTTTTCAAAAATAAGAAAATGATAAAATAAAGGAACACAATGGAACGCGTAGAATTTTACTTTTCTGTGGCTTCTTTACAAAAGTGATACGTGTTTCGGTACATGTTGTAATTGCTATGGCAGCAAAATTTCTATGACAAGAAACTTTCCATTGCGATAAGTTTCCATAGCAACAAGTTTTCCACAGCAGCTTTTCCATATCAGCAAACTGTTTTTTTACTTGGCAACTAATTGACGGAGCTTACATGTGCAGTTATCAGCAGCCAATTACGTCTAGAATCGAGTTTATGGCGTCATCGATCGCGCTTTGAGATATTATATAATTTTTTGACTTGTAAAGTGGTGGCTCATCTCCCTTTTTTACTTGAAAGCAATGGCTGAATATACTTCCCGTCAGGTTGGCGCTCCCAACACCCTCGACTACCGTGTCTACTTTGGTAAAGTCAAATAATATATGTTATTTTTCTTTAAGCGTGCAGCCCACCCCTGTCATGCGTGGTGTATGGAAAGAACAAAAAACTGATGGAGTAAACAATGGTTTATAGAAAAGGATGGCGTTCCCGTCTCGCCCTTCCACGACATTCCTCTTTTCGCTAATGAGGAAAAGACCGTTTTGAACATGGTTGTTGAAATTCCTCGTTGGACCAACGCCAAGTTGGAGGTATGTATGCAATCTATATCGCTATGTAAATAAAAGGTTCGACCCAGTTTATGGTTAAAAGTGACTTACACGTATTATGTAATCCAATAGATCAGCAAGGAGGACGAGTTTAACCCTATCAAGCAGGACACCAAGAAGGGCAAGCTTCGATTCGTCCGCAACTGCTTCCCCCACAAGGGCTACATCTGGAACTATGGTGCTTTCCCTCAGGTACGTAATGATTATAATAGCTTGAGGGGCAGAATGGGAAGACTTTCAAGGCTTGGCTTTGAAGAGCTTTTTTTAGCACTGGCTCTAGTGACAGATTTAGAACTTGGACTGATCATCACCCTGTTTTTCGGGAATCATAGACCTGGGAAGACCCCAACCAGCAACATCCCGAAACCAAGGCTCGCGGTGATGACGATCCCATTGACGTTATCGAAATCGGTGAGCAAGTTGCCACCGTTGGCCAGATCAAGCAGGTCAAGATCCTTGGTGTCATGGCTCTCTTGGACGAGGGTGAGACTGACTGGAAGGTCCTTGCCATTGATGTCAACGATCCTCTTGCCCCTAGACTCAACGGTATGTGTGAGAATGATTTAAGCTTGTTATGGACTTCACGAGATAGATATATAGTTGAAGGAAAGTAATCAAGTGCACATACTTATGGGATGCTGTATTGTATGATTAGATATTGAGGATGTTGAGAAGCAGTTGCCTGGTCTTATCCGTGCCACCAACGAGTGGTTCCGCATCTACAAAATCCCTGACGGAAAGCCCGAGAACGTCTTTGCTTTCAGCGGCGAGGCCAAGAACAAGGTAAAGTATCATGCTGGAGATAACAAGGCGGAGGCCGGTATGAGGAAAATAAGAAACTAACGCTTGTCAAATTAGAAATACGCCACTGATGTTGTTTTGGAGACCCACGAAGCCTGGAAAAACTTGATTAACGGCACCTCCGAAAAGAAGGAAATCAAGGCGTAAGTTGCTGTTACTGGGTGGTGTTATCGAGCTGCATAATGACATACACAAATAATAACCCAAAACAAAATTTGTTTTTGTGTAGCACCAACGTCTCTGTTGAGGACTCTCCCTTCAAGGTTGATGCTGACGCCGAGGTTTGCACCAGCATCCCTGCTACCGACGTTCAGGCTCCTGCTCCTATTGATCCCTCCATCGACAAGTGGTTCTTTATCAGTGCCCACAGCTTGTAAATAACCTAATCGTTTTTTTCAAAACGTACTAGAACACACACACATTCGCCCTGCACGCTATCACCACAGCCATGACCACCATATTCTACATCTCTACACATTTCAAAACATCAATCATGTTGTTTGTTCTAAAAAAATAAAAATGAGACAGTGACTCAGCATTATATCTATTCTTTACATCATAATTTAAAGCTGCTAATTTTATACACAGTAGTATTTCTTTATCTTCATATTCCTAATCACGGGGGAAGTTCATCTGTTGTCGCCGTTATTTGTTTCGCGAAATAATCATCTCTTTCACCTGCTGTTGGCTCGTCTGGGTGACACCAAAGCATTCTTGAAAATCTATGCGGAGCAGTTGCGGCAATGCTTGAACCAGTGCCATAAGATCGGGTTCAGTAGTGGAAAAGTGGCATTGTTGGAAAGTTAGTTCGCGTAGCTCTTGGAGTCCAAGTGTAACGATATCGCTTGTGATATTCCAATCCGTCAAGACCAAAGTGTGTACATTTTGACAATGCTTCAGCACCCTTGGAATAAATTTATGGTTACGCGTTTCCTTGTCTTTGCTGTTATAGAGTCGCAAGTATTGCCATGATTTTAAAAAAGATAACGACTGCATCGCTCGTTCGGTATCATGTTGCCAGGCATCTTTGGATATCTGTACGGATGCTATTGTTGACACCACTGTGTCACTGCTGTTGCTTGTAGCAGAGGAGAAAGGGAAAACTTTCGCTGCTAATGTCTCCTTCTTTGGTGCTGGTTTTGGATACGTACATGTCAGTGTACCCAGCAAAGGGATTGTGAATATAAGTGTCTCCAAACATGGAAACAGAATGCGCAGCCGTCGCTCCGTGTAATCACTCATCGAGGATGACAAGGTTACATTTAACTGTTTTAGGGAAGACACCGCCACACCATCTTGATGCTGTTTTAGAGAGCAAGGAATTTCCTGCACGACATTATCATCATCATTGCCGTTGTCGTTTGAATAGGGATGGTATACGAGTCTTTCCAAATAGCCCCGTTTCATGATGCCAGAGTTGAGAACATCGGCAAAAGTGACGCCTTGGACACGATGCAATTCGAGCGTTTTCAACTGAGTTCCAGCAGAAGACAAGTCCAAATCGGGCGAGATACTGCCGCCATGGCAAACTGGCGTGTTACAAAAAACAAATCATTGGTGTTATTGATGGATTTCGTTTCTCAAAGGTTAATACAGCAACTATGCGACTTACTAATAGATTTGATCGTAGTGGAATATCTTATCCATGTAATTGAATCGGCATTATACAGCACGACTGATTTGATCGGCTTGCTCCGCATATACAGTTGATACGAGTTCCATAACCGTTGTGAAGCAGGACGGTCTGCATGGTATCGTGGCGGATTACGGATATCGACACTCTCCCACATATTGGGCCAGTCCTGAAGGTATATTCTCCAATGTTTACAGACAGCCATGCAGCGCCTTCTATCTGCAAAATCCAAGTTTTCGAATATCGAAATGAAAATATGGCGTGGTACAGGGATGCTATTATATTTTTTGCGGGACAATCGTCGCTGCTGGCCAGTAGTAGTATCATCATTATCACAGAGCTGGCCCTGTTCGTTCTCATAGCGATCCTGTAAGGTGCCATAATAAGGGTCTGAACGGGGCACGGCCAAAAGACCCTGATGATATGCTTCTACGGCGTAATGATGCTGGCCGATCTGCATGTACACACTGGCCAAGCGTAGGTACCCCTTGCCGCATGTTGGTGCCAGATCAATCATATCAAGCGCATAAGCATAGGCGACCGCGTTCATCTGGACATTTAAAGCCATGGTGTACATAGGGTCGATGGGCGCGAGCAGTAGGGCATGATACCATGTGCGCAACATGGAGGAGATTGAGGAGGAGGATTGATGCAAGGTGGAGTTCTTTGCACTGTCCATAGGAGGAGTGTTGGTAGGCAATATAGAAAAGAGAGATTGTAGTAGTCCGTAAGATAGAAGAGAAAGTTTGTTTAGGAGAGGAAGAAGGAAAAAAAGGAATTTGTGTGACAGTCCCTCTTTTTTCGATTTGCGTAGTACCTATGGCAACACTGCTAGTGTTGCTAGGTGTGAGCGAGCCGAGTGAGTGTATACTACATACTAGGATTTGAGGCTTTCGCGGTTGATGCGAAGCATGGGAAAGCGTCATTAACATGTGTTTCTGTGCCCCCGTTTTCCTCCTTGCTCTTCTCGCTCTGTTACCCATCTGCACGTCTCCCGCACGGTGGGGGGTGTGTGTGTGTGTTGCTATGTGCTAATGATGTTCCTTCTACGTACTATGCAATACAAACCGCTGGGGTTCTCTTTTTTCACGCAGAGAGAGAGAGAGAGAGAAGAAAGGAGAGAAAGCAATATGGGGAGGTGAACCACGATTGCTGGATTATGTAATGGCTTTGGAAGGTAACTCAAAGACAAGCAAATTATTCACACCCGCATCTGTTGCCTGTTGCTCTCTTGGCTGCCAAGTACACGCAATGGTGACCGGAGGCGCTGCCGCGAAAACACAGATGCACACGCAAAAAGAAAGAATGAGCAACATTCCCAAAAGACAAGGGCCATCGCTAGATAGGGCGAGCGAAAGAAAAGACAAAGAATAGAAAAGGCTTCGTGCTCATGTTCGTCCCATTGATCGAATGGTGTTGCTCCTCCCCCACACCAAACACCCCCCCCCCACATTTTTTTTATTTCCCCCGAACCTTCACCCCGGAAACGCTCTTTTTTTCTTCTTTCGTTCTTTCGTTCTTCCTATTGTCCTATGGTTTTCTTTCTCCCCCTCGTATCCCTTAAATAACGCAGCAGCAGCAGCAACAACAACAACAACAACAACACCACCACCACCAGCACTAGCAGCAGTAACAACAAAAGCGAAAAAGAGAAAGAAACGGGCCAACCCCACCGAGAAAAAAGAAAAAAGCCAACCCGTTTTTTCTTTTTCTTCATTACCTCTTTTCTTTTCACTATTCGTTTTTCTCTCACAAGGCATTGCCCATCTTATTTTCACCATTCCGTCACGACCGTCATATTTCTCGAAACTGTTCTATCTGGAAGCCATGGGCTTATGTCTATCGTCCGAGGAACGAGCAGAACGGGCGCATAGCCAACGAATCGACCACTTGATTGAGGAGGATAGTCGACGATTGAAACGCGAATGCAAACTCCTGTTACTCGGTACATAAAAAACACACACGGTGTACAATACAACATTGACAACAACGTCTTGCGCCAACCTTACAACTCCACTAACTTACATTAATAACGACGAATCTTTAATGGTTTAGGTAGTGGAGAATCTGGGAAATCGACGATTGTCAAACAAATGAAGATTATCCATCAAAGTGGATATACAAGAGACGAACTCTATACGTGGCGCGCTACCGTATACCGCAACGTAATGGAGTCAGCACAAGTATTGGTTTCGGCTGTAGCAAAGTTTGAATATGAATACGAAAACTCAAAGAATAAGGTAAGTTTTTCATCAACCTTTTTGCTGCAGTAGCAATAGCGTCCATTGTAAGCTAATAATGGATTGTTATCGAACATTAGAAGCATGCAGAGCTCATTGCAGAGTACGATCTGGCTGGGCCAGATAACACCGAACGACCGCTTGATCCTAGCCTCGTGGAAGCTGTAGCCAGTATATGGAAAGACGGTGTTATTGGGCGGTTACTAGATCAAGAAGCAAGTCAATTTTACTTGATGGATTCTGCGCCTTAGTATGTCCATCTTTGCATAACACATACTATCCGTCGCGTGCTCAATTGGGCGCTAACTCTGTTATTGACAAAAACTATATAGCTTTTTTGATGAAGTAAAACGTATCGGACGGCCTGATTATGTTCCCAATGTTCAAGATGTCCTACGAGCACGGTCCAAAACAACTGGTATTACAGAAACAAGGTTTAAAATGGGTCAGATGAGCATTCAGTATGTATTCCCATAGAAGCAGGGAGGGGGTGGTGATTTGCTGTGTCATCAAGAGTGTTATTATTGCTATTTCTATATCGGTATATTGATTATGTATGTATATTGCCTCTTCTCTTTTTTCTTTTACTCCTCAAAGCATGTTTGATGTAGGCGGTCAACGATCAGAACGAAAAAAATGGATTCATTGTTTCGAAGCAGTAACATCCATCATCTTTTGCGTCGCGTTGAGTGAATATGATCAAGTATTATTGGAGGAGTCCCGGCAGGTTAGTGTTTTTGACGAAGAAACCCCTGATCTGGGTAGTAGTTTAAGGTCATTAACAGATCTACACACGCATCTTTTTATAGAATCGAATGATGGAAAGCTTAGTATTATTTGAATCCATCGTCAACAGTCGATGGTTTTTACGAACTTCAATTATATTGTTTTTGAACAAAATCGATGTGTTTCGAACAAAGCTTCCAAAGGTTTCTTTGGAACGCTATTTTCCTGATTATGGAGGTAATTTCTGAATGTGATATGTACAAAAAGCAAAAAGAGTTATCTGCCTTGTGTCCGTGTGAGTAAAATAACTCGATCTTACTTTTGATAATTAGGCGGACAAGATCCTGCGAAAGCTGCAAAGTATATTCTATGGCGATTCACACAGACAAACCGTGCCAAGCTCAATATATACCCGCAGTAAGTGTTTTTATGCAAGATCAGAACAACCGGGCAAAGTAAGCTGAAATTAAGCTCTAATTCTATTTTCAGTTTGACACAAGCAACGGATACGTCCAATGTAAGCGTTATTTTACTTCTCTTCGTAGAAAGAGATAGATTCCTTACTCACATGGCATTATTTCCTTGTTATTAGATACGCTTGGTATTTGCAGCAATCAAGGAAACTATCTTGCAGAATGCGTTGAAAGACTCAGGCATTCTGTAGTAGAGTACCTTCCTTTTCACTGACCACCTACCTACTTACCTACCTAACTACTTACGCTCTTCCTATCTTTTTTAATTTATTTTCTCATTACTATTACCGTTAGTATTTCCCTATGGGAAACACCCTCTTAATTACTTCTGTTGTACAGCATATTTCTAACCTTTACACAAGCCTATATTAGAAAAATACTTTCTCTATGTCTTCCCTTTCCGATAATGCGCTCCTTATACACCTCTTTTTCACATATCCATTAGATCATATTCACCTTTTGTCCTCTTCTTCCTCGTCCTCCTTAATCCTTCTTTTTTCTTTGTATTATCTATCTTCTACGTTGAGGAGGGTGTGGATCCTGGTGCTAAACCCCCTTCTCAAATTACCAATCAGTACTACTGTTTACTTTACAAAGCATACCTATCAGATAATGTTAAGTCATCGAATCCATTGCTTCCTTCTTTTTCTCTATTCTCTGACACATGATAAGCACTTCGTACTTTGTGTACTCTAATAAAAGCTACATTCACATGCGATAACAGCTTATCATAATTATCTTGGTACAGTAATACGTAATAATCAGTGCTATGAAGGTGTCATTTTTGCACCACCATAATATGATGATGATGGTGAGTGAGTATCATATAATCAATATAAAAGAGTTTCAAAGCTTTCAACTCCTATGTAGTAAATTACATGAAAAGCTAAAAGCTAAAACGAGTGACTTCTTTCCTCCTATTTCTGCAGGGATAGAATATTGATGCGTTGCTGATCTGGTTTTTTATTATATACTTCATCACGAGCATCATGCTACCGCTTGCTCGGACGGACAGACCACGTTAAACGTGCAGGTTTTAGGAGAATATAGTTTTCACTGTTGTGTTTGCTGATCTTCATATCACCGATGTACACTATCCTTTATTAAAGCTGCCATATGTATGATGGTACTTCTACCGTCTTGTATACGTACAGCTTTATAGATGAATACTGTAATAAGAAAAGAGAATTATAATCATACACAAGTAAAAGAGCATAACGATGTTGTATCTATAATGATATGTTGTCGCTGTACTTCAGCACTAATTCAATTATGGATGTGCGGTATCGGATGTACATAAAGTGCGTTCAGTTAATAATGTGTTCTCCATGTGCTTGGCGCTGGATCTTTTAAAATTTGCAATTAATGCGTGATTTCGCTCCATCACAGAGTCAGTGTCGCCCACTTATAACGACTGGCTCGTATCTTGATGAAGAAGCAGCCCCTTCTCCATCTCGTCCTTTTTCTGCTTTGATAAATTGGGTTAGACCCAGCATTATTCGGGACTTGTCTGCGCTCCTAATCGATATCATATGTATGTATGTAATATGTAAGCTCTTTTCTTCATAGATTTCGTTATATGATATCAAGTGGTTACACTTGACATTTGAGAAAGAATAGAACGCAAATATAGTGTGCAGAAGTGCTTATTGAAAGCGAACTTGAATGTTCTTATTGTTGGTACTGTACATAGTCAGCAATAAACTTACTACAGTAGATATGATGTTTGAAGGGATTTTCAATATCAGTCTAGCGGTCGGTGAGCATCAACTCGTAAGCAGTCTAATAATAAAGGTTGAAGTGTATGAATGGCCACGCGTTCCGATGATGATGATATGCATATCATAGTGCCGCTCGTTGCTTTGTTTTACACATTTATACTGTAATAAAAAACAAATATTCAAGCAGATGTGATTTGACGCGGGAACCTTATAAGAATCCCTCATTTTTAAAGTTATGTGGTCTAATACACCATAAAAGTCTTTTCAGAACAATATGCAGCAGCTTATGTTGCTATTAGAATTCACCAATGCAACGAGCAACAATATTAAAAGTTGTACTGTACATTAATGAAGGTCCAGGAGAGGGTTGTTCATTTATAAAGCTATTTATCTATATGGGTTTCATGGCTCATTCAGAGGATACATGCTATCGTAATCGTACATTAAGCTTGTGTTTATCTCGCATATACGATACATGTATTTGCCGTATGCACTCACAAGAAATTTATTCTTTGGTACATGGCAGCCGCATTCATCCTTGACCTTCCTTTTTTTTTGCCCTTGTTTAATGAGTATCAGTACACTGGTACGTATAGCGGTATACTTTTTCTGGGCGATATTTTGATCGCGTACTCTCTACCCATATTCTGGTGATGGAAGCAAAGAGTAATAGCCAGGCTCTTTGATGACAAAATCATTGATGATAATGTTGTCCAGGTTTTTTCAGGCAACGTCGGACGAAAGATTTGGCGCCCATCTTGCTCGCTCGATTCCTGCTGCAAAGGGAATTGACCTTAACCTTGTTATCGCCGCCGCTCTTTTCAATTTTCAGATCACCGTCATTGCTGTGGACAGTACTTTCCAACGTGCTACGCCAGGTTTGTGAGTAAAGTATATTTGAGCGTAGGGCGCGGAAACCATTAGTATGTAAACTGTCGGCCAGAAATCCGTGATAGAGATGAAAACTGATTCCTAGCTTTGTCCCAGAATTCCAGTTGTGCAAACCCACAGGCAGGGTTGTGGAGCAGATATGAGTTGGCAGCAGTAGTTTGGAAGAGCTGGCTCGGGAGCAGCACCTGTAAGGAACACCATTAAACAGTAGAGAGTGTATCCAGTGGCCTTTTTCCGTCCAATAGCATCGCTTCAATTCCATTGTCCCATTGAAAATTTTGACGCAGGAGACCAATGCGCGTCTCTTTTTTGTCTTTCCTCGTTTAAGAGAGCTTTCCTTCCACCTGAATGGCACTGGCTTTTTTGGGTGTGCATAAATCTCTGGTGTCTGAAGCACGGTCTGTGGTACGATTGAGGCATCTGTGGTTTTGAAGCGGGACAGTAAAGTTTCCCCTGTTGTTGACTTTTTGTGTATGGTCGTTTAGACGCTTGATCTGTATAGGTCACTATTAAAGACAGCGCGAACCTTTGACAACCCCAATCAACAAAAATTCCTTGCCGATACAATCCGCGAACGATTTCGATTTCATAAACACGAGAGCTCACGCCCACGAGTACTGCGATTACTTCACGAGGGTAATGAGGTAGGTGACTCGCGTAAAAATGAAGTAAAAAACTAAAGAAAAAAAGTTGGTTGACAGAAAATGCAATAGGCATTAAGAATACTGGAAGAGGCGCCCTTAAATACAGTATACATGGAACGTGTCAATGCGCTGGCGCATGCGGAGGCTGGTCCTTTAAAACACTCGGTGCAAAAGGTATATTTGCAAAAGAGAACCGATTCGCACAGTATACACTGTATGTAACTGACTATGGTCACCATTTATATATGTGTAGCTACGACGGATACCAAATGTACAGTATCATCGTTCCTTTCTCACATTTTATATGTGTAAAGTTGCTGATCATTCACTTTATATAACATAGTTGAACAAGCGTGCAGTGGCTGCCATGGATCTTCGATCACAGGAATCGAAGCGACGTAACCATGGCATTGGCGACCGCATCCATGGTACTAAAACTGTATATGAATTGGCGCGCATCCCCGAACAACTTCCTGCTTCTGGGCGACCAGGAGAGAAACCCCGCAAAGCACCCAAAATGACGAAGCGGAAGCCGTATCAAATCGTGCACACCGTTACGGCACAAGGCTTCACGTTCAAACGACTACGTGGATGGCGGCAACCTGTACAAACTGCCATGATGATTAAGGCTAGAGTGAAGAAGTTACAAGAATGGATGGACAAGGATCAATATTTGAAGTCGATGCTTGATATTCTCAAGCATGAGCAAGTGTTTTACGATGGCTTGGGAGTTAGCGACGATCAGCACGAATATGGCAAGTATTCAGTGTCAGAGAAGAAAGGTTGTGGTGCTATGCTACAGCATGAAACTGACATTGTTTCGATATGCAAATTTTTTAGCCCGACCACTCGCAGATGCACAAGACTACTACAAAACGCTTCGGCTACGAAGAGTTGCTCACTTATGGGAAACACCATCATCGTCCCTATAAAACGACTATCAAAAATTGAAAATAGGGGGGTCATCTTTATTTTGTTTTGCATGGGTTGCGACGGATGTGTCGGACCTTTTTCTCGACTTTGATGCAATGGGTCAATTTGCATGAATTCCAGCTTCCTTTTCTCCCTCCTCTTTCTTTTTTTTATCCATCACCCTTCATACGCATATACAACACGTACAACAATGGTCCGAAAAGCCCCAGAAGCTATTCCATTAAAAGGTGCCATTGGTGCCACACCTGAACAAGAGGAGCACCTTCAAAAGATCGTCAACCAATTCACCATCACACCAAAGTATCTCGAACAGATCTGCACTCACTTCATATCAGAAATGAAAAAAGGTCTCGGCGAGGAAGGCCAGACACTTGCCATGATTCCATCATACGTAGAAGGCCGCTTGACAGGTAACAAATAACGAGCATATAGATTGCATCATAGATATAAGCCGTGTTAACTTCACATATTTTTCTCGGGGTTGTGTGTTGATGTAAAACTGTATAGGCCAGGAAAAGGGTCATTTCCTTGCGCTCGACTTGGGGGGAACGAATCTTCGAGTGGTTTTGGTCACTTTAGAAGGCAATGGAAAGTACAAGACCAAGTCTTCAAAGTCACGAGTGACAGAAGAGCTCAAAACAGGCCCTATGCGGAATTTATGCGGTAAATATCATAGCATCATGTCAGAGATTAAGACTTTGATTAATTGACAAATGGCTCGTATAGACTACATTGCCGATTGCGTCGATGAATTTCTTACTGAAGAAGGATTGAGCCATGAAGAAACAGCTTTAAATTTGGGTTACACGTTTTCTTTCCCTGTTCTCCAATCCAAGGTAGGTAGTTTCTCCCTCTAAAGAATCATCCAGTGGAACAAGTACAATATTTAATGCATAAGATGCTTTAGATCAATCGTGGTATACTGAAATCATGGACCAAAGGCTTCAACTGTTCCGGTGCAGTTGGCAAAGACCCTGTCATGCTACTACAAGATGCTCTTCTCCGCAAAAACGTACCCGTCAAAGTCGCAGCGCTAGTCAACGACGCCGTTGGTACACTCCTTTCAAACGCTTACCAAAAGCCAGAAACAACTATTGGTCTCATTCTCGGCACAGGCTCCAATGGTGGCTACATTGAACAAATGAAAAACATTGGCAAATGGAAAGGCGGCAAAACAACGAGTCCCGAAATGATAATCAATATGGAGTTTGGTGCATTCGATAACGAACGCAGGGTGCTTCCAGTGACACCGTTTGACAACAAGGTAGATCGCCAGTCGATTAACCCAAACGGCCAGATTTTCGAAAAGATGGTGTCGGGCATGTATCTTGGCGAGGTGACACGCAACGTTTTGCTGGACATGGTCGATCGCGAGCTGTTGTTTGGCCCACACGACGGAAACTACGATTGCAAGTCGTGGTCCAAGGAATTATCCGGTCATTATGCTTTTGAAACTTCGCACATGTCATGTATTGAAGGAGATGGCACGTCGAATTTGTCACGAACAAGTGAGGTGCTTGATCTCAATCTGAATTTGCACGGTATCACCACAGTGGAAGGCAAGATCATCAAAAAGGTATGCGAGGTTGTCGGCACACGCGCGGCGCATTTGGCAGGAGCGGCCATCGCGGCCATCGTCCGCCATTGTGAAATCTCGCCAGAGGAAGGAACAGACGTGGGCATTGATGGATCGCTGTACGAATTCTATCCTTCGTTCGAAAGCCGGATCTATGATGCATTGGCTATTTTGTTGCCGGAGCACAAGGACGTTCGAAAAACCGTGCGGTTGAGTCTGGCCAAGGACGGGAGCGGTGTTGGTGCTGCACTAACAGCTTGTGTAGCAGCGCAGATGGAGAACCGTAAAAAGGGTACTATCGCATGATGGTACTGATGATGACGGTGCTTATAGTTTTATCTTAGAATGGTGGGCGTAAAAATAATATTACAATAAAAGATGAATGGATCGAGGCACACATCAAAGAAAACATTTTCCAGATTAGGAATTTTCGCCAGTTTATACTTGGAACGCGTTGTCGTAAAAATAGGTCCTGCTGGAAAAAGTTACCACGTACCTCGCTCATAAGCAATAATGGAAGGTGCAAAACATCCAACTACGGTCAAAAAAGCCTATATGAGATCTCCCTCCTCTCAGTACTCCCTTCGCATTTGCCTTTTCCTTTCTTCTTTTTTTTGTGCACATCCATTGTATCATACCATCATGTCCAAGGCTATATCCATACTCACGCTTATTGTTCTCGCATTGATTGCACATATTGATGCCTACGTGATTGTTAAGCCAACGCCAACAGTTGATCCAGATATCATAAATGCGATGGCTGTCTTACCTACCGCCGCTCCTCTCATCAGAAAACGGATCGTTAAACGCACAAATGTTCAAGAAACACTTAGCCTCTATCAAGACTGGGCAAAAGACTGTAATTCTGAGAATGACGAAGATATCGATGATACCGAAGTGAACGAGAACATTCGAAAGCTGTGGCAAACTGTTACCGTATACTGCGGTAACAACCATGTCAAGACAGTTACTAAAACACGCACCGCAACGGCTACAGCGACAGAAACAGTTTCATCCGATGACGAAGACGACGAAGTAGCATGTGACGATCAATGCTGGAGCGATTACCTATGGCGTAAGTCGCGATTATCGTGGTTTTTTTCCTCCCTGCATGATTGATATACAATAAGGAACCCTACCTTTATCTTCATTTTCGCTAACTACCTTAAAATTATCACTGATAGACACTTATGGTTACGGAATAACTGTTGCTCAGGGGTTCACTGGCATCACCTGTATTATCATTGGCTTGTACTTCATGATTTTTGGCTACCGCTATTTCCGTCCAACACTCGGTTTGGTTGGTTTTGTCTTTTTCGGTGAGTATGAAAACATTTCTCTTTAATAGCATTAACTCAGTACTTACATGATGATCAACTCTTTCTCTTTGTATCACAACAGCTCTCATGACCTGGGTCGGCCTGGTCAATAACGAACCCTTTGAAGGATACCCACATACTGAAATTGTCTACATATGTGTCAGCATCGGCCTTGGCCTATTAGGCGGCATCTTATACATGTTTTTCTTTCCGCTCGGACTATACTTTGTTGGTGGTAAGTAGAGTCGTCTTTATCCCTTTGTTCTTTATCAATAACACCAGTGCATTATATTTGCCTAAATCTCACGCGATAATAATAAACTATAGCTCTCGCCGGTTTGTTCTTTGCTGTTTATATCATGTCCTGGCAAGAAAGCCTGGTCATCCAGATTGTAGGTTTCTTTTGTATATTTTGTAAAAAAGATAGCACATTATGTTTATACGCGACTCACCTGTTTATGTGAACTTTGCAGCAAGTGGCACGAATCTGCTTCATTATAGGCATGGGTGTCCTCTTTATTATCCTGGTAGTATTAGTAGAGAGCTTTACCATCGTCTTCTCAACAGCGTTCACTGGTGCCTATCTATTCATTCTGGGTCTAGACTTTTTCGCCCACACTGGATTTATCAATGCATTACTCCTCATTTTCGACGGAAATCCCAACCATTACATTGCATATATCATGAATACACCAGTAATAGTGATGCTAGCGTTCGTGATTGTGCTCACTCTGCTCTCGGCTGGATGGCAATATTACTGGAGTATATACAAGGAAAACCGCCTGTTTGGCGTCAACGTGGTTAAAGAAAAACCACCGGCTGAAAAGTAGTAAACCTCTTCCATTCTTGATTTCTATCTTTCCTGCCATTCATTTCTTCATATATACATATCAATATACCACTTTTATTGCTGTATTTCTTATTATATATCTTCTTAAAACTACACACTTACACATATTGCATTTTATATCATGTCGCTCACTTTTATAAAGCTAAAAAAAATCATATATCTTCTTGCTATTAAACGAAATACAGGGAGGTAGTATATAGAAAGTCTCCTACTAAGTTTCACACACTTCGATCACGAATAAGTGTCCTACACATCGTATGTTAGCAAGTCCAGAAAAAAGATTTGAAGTATGTTTCTATCTTTGTTGTTCGTATATTTCTGCCCCGGTGTATGAGAGCTATAACCTGTGCCAACTATACAACGTAGATAGTTGCCGATTAAAAGGACTATTATCGACAAAACAAAGATTTAAACAGGTGTTCTGCTAAAATCTTACAGTGGCTCCCCGATTAATTTCAACCTCAAAGGGGGTCTATAAAGTGTTGAAACTACTGAGGGTTGACACAAAACAAGGTGATTCAGTGTTCTATGCTTAAAGGGTGTATAGAAAAAAGTTGAATTAACTGAGGGTTATCTTATTGAGAGTGAAATTAAACGGGGAACCACTGTACATACATTAAATGCAGTGCTGTATAATGCAATTGAAGGGATTCATTTTATTTACGTGTGCCCCGAGTTAACACGCCACCAAAAGCCAAGACTATTCAGCGACAGGGGGATACATATGCATATCTAATGATTACCTCATCTATTCATGTCGCCTTTCGTGGATGTGTTAGCCGTATCATTGCTCAAAACCATAGACACATTGCGCTACTGACAGTTCGTGTTTGAATTGAGTTAGATGTTAATCAGAATGTCGTATCTTAGTGATGTTAACGTGTTATCGAATCCAGAATATTAGAAGAAAGCAATGGGGTAATTTTATTCGAATTAGCAACCATAGTGTCACGTTATAGTGGCACGAGATGTGTTTTGGTTGTGAGACAAAGTAGGGATGTCGTTGTAGAATACGGGTACATTTGTATCGATGACGGCGAGTGCCGAGCACTGCTAAGACCGAATTAGCACTGCTTTAATTCTTTGAAATCATTCCCATAACGATGCACCTGTGAGAAATCAGAAGAATCTTTGCGCTTGCTTCACAGAATGAGGATTTAGCACAACTGGTACGGCTTACGTTATACTCATATGTACGTAATCGATTGACATTTTTACTATACTAAATTGTCTAACGGAATTTCACATGCAAAACACTTTCATAAGAATGCCCACATACAAGAAGGTAAAATACCACAGCAAAAAATCATTAGCCAACTTTCAAGCAGACGTAGCGAAGAGAGTATACATACAGCGGTAAGAAAGCATTATTGGAAGTCACTCAGAAAACACGTTTGAAATAATGAGTAATTATTTATCCTCTATAATAACTGTCTCAAGCAAGAAGTTAACACGAAAGTAGTATGATATATTGTATGTTTTAAAAAACAATACTGTGTTTCTTTGCCAGAAAACATATCATTACGTTACTCCGGAAATGGATCTGTATATGAGAATCGATCAATACCGATGAGGAAGAAGATTACATGACAACAAGTATTAATGTCACACATTGAACATAAACGTTTACTCAATTATTTAATTATCCTCATTAAGGAGAAAGCATATTGTGCTACTACTAGAAGCATACTTTTAGTACTAAAGAAACAGAGGATAGTAAAATCCCTTGCCTTTGCTGATAGGGGCTAAAAGGGCTCGGGCGGTGGTTGTACAGAGAACATGTCGCTCATACTAAAAAGAAGGAGTGTCATTTTAGGTGATAGAAAAATCGTGGGGAAATACCTATGAAAATACGATCACTGTGTCGTCTATGATAACATTCATAAATATCATGATTTTCATTTAATTACAAAAGAGATCACCGCAAGTGGCGAAAGTATGATTTAAAACTCGCTGATAATTTTACATGCCATCTTTTACATACATGACAGTGTTATTGCTCTTTTTGAAGGTTTCATGTTACCCAGTGCTAATAAGATTAGCTAGTACATTTAATATGTAAATGCTGTTGTTGTGACCATTTAGAAATGACGTGTTACCAAAACGCGCGTGTCTCACCGGAAAGTTACGTAATATACAGCTTCACTAATTGCGCAAAGATGACTACAATAACACTGCATAGCTAGACAACAGTAAGGAAGTCACTGCCGGAGAACATTTCAATAACCTAGTAATGCCATCCATGGATTGTTAAACAAATTGTGCCCTTATATTCAGTAAGAATTATCGTGTATATATGTGTAACCTTTAAGACTTAACATCATGCTACTACACGTCAACCTACACTATACACTTTCAGAACGTTTAAATTCTTCATCATAATAAAGTAACTCTGCATACTATTCTAGCTATCAGATTACAATTCAATGTGACTTATAGTGATTCAAAAAATGTATAAAGGTACAAATAAAAAGATGATATAACTAGAGTATACGCGAGCTCTTAAGCTTTACTAAATATGCTCAAGGCTATTTTAACCATTAACTGTCGATGTCTTGGCTCTGATAGTGTACAGATGACAAGAGACCCGAAGCTTTCCATCTGTACTACGTTTATCCATCCTTTCGCAATTCCAGCTGCTCGGTTACACATAATCAATAGAAACGTATGAATAAGACAACCCGCAGGAAGTAACTGCTGTAGGCCACCTTAACTGTTTTTGTTCCTGGAACTTTGCTCTATTGTATACACTGGCGATGTTAATGTAACAATACCAGAGTATCTCTGAATGCGTGTTTCCAATTTGCTCACATAATCAAGATATCAGGAACAAGACAATGTCGTCACTCGCTCACTCTTTGTATGATATATGAAGGGCTGTATTTTAGTAATCAACTTGTAAGCATTTGTGCTTGAGAATATTTGTGGAACAGTAAAAAAATACATTATATCAAACATATGAATACATAAGGCAGAGACCTTCAGTACATACTACACCGCACACGCAGCATTTCATACCGACAATTTCGATTTCGCAATAAAATAAAAATTCCTCGGTTTTAAGTACATATTTTGCAAGTAAGATTTTAGCGAACCTTGTATTCACTTCGGATATCATGGTCTAGCATATAATTATTAAGATAGAAGCATTTCTATTTAATTATGAAGACATGATGTAAAACATTTTGCCGTTCAGCTAACCGTTTGAAGAAAACATTGTGTGTGTGTGTACTTTCCAATTCAGCGTCGACGATTATGCTGTCCTATGTGAAATTATATGAGACACGATCACTTAGGTAATCAATACGGTGAAGAATTTCGATGGTTCCACATAAGTGATCAATTCTCAATTGTCTTTGAATACGTGCAATATCATTTGCCTTCAATTTTAATCAATTCAGATGATGGGAAAAGCAAAACAAAATATAAATACAGATCGATTTGAAAACCCAAGTGAAGCCCTTCTTCATCACAATACACCTTCTCAATTAGCAGTTATTTCTCCCTGGTTAAAACAAAAATGGTCAAGTTCCTCTCTATCATGGCTTCTGCCCTTTTGGCAGCCCCTTCGCTCGTTTCCGCTTTTGTTGGTACTAGTGGTGCTACATTCACTAATGACGGAGCATCCTTCTATTTTGCCGGTACCAATGCGTGTAAGTATTCCTTGTAGTTGTTCACAAAACATTGTGTGCTGCCGTTCTTATTATGAATCCAGATTACTTGATGACACAAACTCAAGAGAATGTCCAATCAATCCTGTCGGAGTCCGCTGGTTTGAACTTGCCTGTAATCCGTACCTGGTTGTTCAACTCGGGCAACACCGATGTTTTTTTCCAGAGCTGCAATTCGGGGGCCATGGAAATTAACGATGATGCCGAAACGGGCTTAGGACGTATCGATTATGTTATCCAGCAAGCTGCCGAAAACAATGTCAAGCTGATATTTGCACTTACCAACAACTGGCCTGATTTTGGGTAAGCAGCCATTTAACGTATGATTTGAATGATCCTTCCTTTTTTTTCCCATCCCTTTATATATTAATCTTTGTGGCCTACGTTTGATAGCGGTATGGATGACTATGTCCAATGCCTCGGTGGCAGCAACCACGACGAATTCTACACCAATGCCGATGTTGTGAACTCGTTCAAAGAATACATAACTCATGTGTTGGAGCGCACAAACGAGTTGACTGGCGTAAAGTATAAGGTAAATATATTGGCGTTCTCTACTGCTGCCATAAAATAGTTTACTAGCTGTATGCTAATTCTAAATCTCGACCGGTATAATGGTGATAGGATGATCCTACTATTTTCGGCTGGGAACTCGCTAACGAACCTAGATGCGGTGGTAGCGGCCTTCCTACTTCGGATAGTTGCGGCCCTGATATTACTACTGCATGGGTCGACGAGATCTCCTCGCACATCAAGTCTATTGACAGCAACCATTTGGTCGGTATTGGTGATGAAGGCTTCTTTAATAGAGCTGGTGAATCAGAGTAAGTCTTATTACTTCCTACAAAAAGTAGAAAGGGAGTCGATGACAAACATCAAATAACTTGGTTCATTTGTCTTAAGATACGAGTACAACGGAGGCACTGGCATGGACTTCGATGCCACAATTGCTCTTTCCTCGATTGATTTTGGAACATTTCATATGTACCCTGAACATTGGACAAAGGACAACGAGGAATGGCCCATTAAGTGGATTAATGTAAGCAGTTATAGCTTTTATAGAATTGGCTTCTTTGCGTTGTACGTTTTTCCTTATACTTATATGCAATCTTCTACGATTATAGGATCACGCTGCTTCGCAAGAATCCGCAGGCAAGCCAGTTATTCTTGAAGAATACGGACTTGCTGAAAAGAGCCTTCGTACCACTCTGTACCCGGCTTGGCATGCGGCTATTGAAGAGCAGAACGTCGCCGCTGATGCCTTCTGGCAAATTTCGGTGCCCTGCAACGAGAATTTGGACGATTTTGCTATTTGCCCTAGCGATGAGAATATTGATACCCTCGTTGCTACTCACGCATCTAATATGTTGGCCAAGAACTAAAAGAAAGCATGTGCTCTGGTAGCCAAGCTGAAGTTATAACTTATAACTAATCTACACTATACTCCTGATCAGATTGTAGTATTTCGATATGGATAGCCCCTCCCCATTTTTCTTATTTTAAATTCTACATATAAAATACTTTATAAATCTTTTTGCTGCACCTATAAACGGAAAGTAACATGTTTACTAGTTTCTGATTTTATGCTACCGTGTTTAAGAAAACTGTCAGAAATCATTGATGAGACCGTATAGCTGAAGTTCGAAACTTTTCAAATTAAACATCACAAACTACGTGTAGTAAAATATCTTTATGTAGTCAATAGATGTTTACCAAAGTATTGTATACTGACTAATTGTCTATACGTCATTCATGTTCATACGGCTTGCTATTCATATTCTTTACATCAACTGACAAAGGAAGCTTCACAAACATCAACACCATCATTGTATCGGATGTAGACATTGAAAAGTGTAAATCAGTACGACGACGTACAAACAACTTTCGCTACACATGGTAGCTGCTCGTTCGACAGGTCAGCCATTCTCGATCTTCAAATACTGTATGTAGCCTTGACGTTCAAGTGCCTGAGCGACTAAGCCTTGGTAAAAACCGCTCGTCATCCGGACACGCGATTGTCGAACGTTTCTGTTGTTGATTAAAGCTCGCCGTCTGACTATCAGCGTATAATGCCAAGTATAAAAAAATGGTTACCCTTTAAAGCAATGATGTTTCAATTTTGTTTATTCATACAAATTCTGCTGCATATTAGTTCGGCTGCAGCTCACCTTAAAAAGTAGAGCTTCGTAGACCACGTGTTACTTGTTCGCACAAAAGGGACATTTATAAGAGATGGAATAGTATTAGCAGCAAGTTTTTGTCTCAATCATTGTAGTAACAAACGTTTAAAAAACCATGCAAGCGCCTTTTGTTACGGTCAAGGATGTAGCTAGCCATGTAGACTGTCGTAGTAGAGACACAAATAATATGCCTAACATCATCATTGTTTATTTTGAAAACTCTACACATGCACAAGTACAGTCAAATGGGAACTTCTCTTCTCTTATCCTGGTGCTGCCTGTTAGTTTACTTCTCTATTTCCGGTGGAGAGCCCCTTTACCATCATGCCGCGCATCCCAATCCAAGCTTAAGCTGCACAACGCTTCTTTTTTTTACGGCGAACATTTCTGCATTCGCAGCTGTTCTATGAAAGTCGCTTGTTTCCCACAAACAATTGACAAGGTTTAATCTGAAAGGTTCGTTTTTCATTACATATACATAGTTCATTGTGTCTCCGGTACATAGGACTGCATCGCAGGCAGTACAGCTTTTCAAGTATGTATGTGTCACAAGCTTACAGGGGTGCATGGTAAAGCATCTGGTGAAACGCTGTGACGTGAGCAATCGAGGGCTGCTCCTGGTTGCATACTTGTATAAAGTGTCAAAATGTTGCTGATCACTTCTGGTCGGAGACTGCAGCTGGGGTTGCCCCCGTTGGTCGACTACATCCCTTTTTTCCTCAATGGTGAGGCTCCCGCCATTTCGTTTTCCAAGCATAACACCTAGACCCAGGGATTGAGATGCGCAAGTCGTTTATCTTATATATTTCAGTAAAGCAACTTTGGACGACTTTATTAATTGTTACGCTTCCCTACATAAATATGATATACGCAAAGCGTGGGAGGATTAAAAAAAGAAGAACATTTGTTACCAAGTTACAGAGGTCCCTTATTGTTTTCTCCTCTGATAAATTCAATCCCTCTCTTTTCTACAATGTTCAGTCGTCTAAACCCAGATATGGTACGGCATAATTTCAATACATCTCTTATTTTACTTTTAATCCTTGTGGAGGGGGGCTGAACGCTATCGAGGTATTATCTTACAAAGAAAATATACAGTATGCGCTTTATAATCACCGTCTATCAATCGTTTCATTATATACAGGAAAACGCCAGCGAGGATATCATGCACATCCACTGCAACAAACAAATACACTCGGCTACTTATTTCATACCCAAGTTACTCAAATTACAAGGCAAAATAACCAATGTTGGCAATGAAGGCGCCATCATGCATTAAATTATATTTGCTTGTACTTGTTTGATTGATAGTTTAACTAATACTGTACAATGTAACTTATATAGTGTGGAATAAATATTTAATCTGACCTTTTAAAAATTGTGGTAAAAATTGCGAAAAAAGCATCATTCTATGCCGAAACTAATTGCAGGTGTACAGACCACTCTATTATGTACGTGATTACTAAACCAACAACGAGGAAAAATAAAGATTTTCATAGAAGCTACTTACATTGAAGGAACCTTGTCCTTTCAAATAAATTATAAACAAATTGCAGATACTTTACAGATCTCATTCAGTGATCTTCCGTTATTGCATGTTTCTAGAGTATATCCTCTTCTAAAAAATATCGATCATTTAATCTTTTATTGGTTGGAGACGTTGCTCCATAGACGAGAAGTGATCGGAAATGATCGTTCATTACCGGCAAGCATATTCTTTCTACGTACCTAGTCGCCTTCCAGATGCTGCCAAAATTTATTTTTTGCTGGCCATCATAAGCAAATAATGAGGGTGAATACAAGCTGAAAGAATTTCTTTGCTTATAAGTCTCGTCGCTAGTCGGCGAGCCTCTTTTTCGTATCCCCCTGGTTTTTCCAAGTTGGTTTTGACGCAGGGAGTTACTGTAAGACTTGATTGTTTGGTTTGCTTTCTGTGCATGACACGTAATGGCCACGCCTTTGTGCAAATATTTACATAAGGATATGATGCATACGATGCTATGTAGCTTCCACAAGCTGCTTGGTGACACCATCACGAGGGCATCCTTATAAGTCAGTTTGATCTTTCGTATGCTACTGTGTTGGGCTCGTTTGTCGGTAATAAATGAGCTACATGGCTTTATGTAGTTTATGCAAAGAACAACTTATACAGATGAATATTTACATTGATGAAGTTTTTTTTGTTGCTTAAGTTAATATGAAAGACTAAATGATGTGCCGTTTGGAACATGTTCGATGAACTAATTTAATATTGTAGGATAGTATTAAGGCCACTGACAAGCAAAGAAACTGGTATTTTATACCGAGCTCACAAGTGCTTCTGGCAGGTTTTTTGCTATACTGCATGTTAGGAGGTCGAAGGACGCACAAAAACGGGTGATTTTGTCCAGTGGATTGCTACACAAGAAGAATTGCCTGTGCAACCTTGAATGTCATTAAACTTCGTTCCTGTTGTATGTAATACAAAGTATACACATTAATATATGCACATGTCAATGAATGTTGCAAAACGCTATGGTGGGAGTCAGCTTGAAGGGAGTTTTTTTGCAAAAATTATTTCAAATTCAAATACCGCTAGGGTAGTACAAAAAATTTATTCAGGAAAATCAGAGAAGTCAAGGGTTGGAGGTAAGGTGCGATGGCTTTTGTATTTTTTGGCAGCCCACTCAGCATGCTTAAAATCGAGATCCCTGCTGTAAATTTCAATGAATCTCCAGGCACGCTTTTCATAATGAATTATGTGTTGTATAATGATTCGTTGAGGAAGCTGGTGGACGCGTTCTTGAAGGGATTTGAAGGAATAATCACATTCTTGTCTAGTAATTCTCTTCATCTCTGCCCACACTCTTTCGATCCAGTTACACTCACAATGAAACTTTGGATATTTCTCAAAGATCATGTGGTGTTTGAAGCAGATCTCCTCCAAAAGGGACTTTTGTGCTTGGAAGTCTGGTTGACTTGACATAAGGTGCACTGCACAGCAATTACCAGAGTTTTCGCGTTGACAATAGCGAATCAAACCTTCAGCTGGCCAAAACCCTCTCTCCTTGATAACAGCGCTTAGCCCACGGGGAACACCAGCATCATCAACCATACGCTGAACGACCCATTGACCATCAGGTCCGATATAGCCACCGTTACGGGAAACGATTTGCTTTCCTGCTGGACCCATATTCATTCTATAGGCATTGAGAGCATCATCCGGCATCGCAGAGTGATTAGAGCTTTGGTCAAAGCAGAAGACGCCAATGCAGTCACCGTGAAGCACTTTGAATTTCTCGATGGCTGATTCAAGCTGCTTCGCCATATGCTCTTTTTTCCAGTACCCGTCTTTTTGGGCACCAGGAATAATTGTTTCGCAACAAAATAAGCCGTGGCACGAGCATCCAAACGCGCTGAGCATTATTGCTCGACCTTGACCTTTCTTACGAATGATGCTTTCGTCTGTTGCAAGATACAAATTGCGTTTGCTGTCGTTCGAGTAGAAGTACGTCTCGTCGTGAGTAACAAGGACTTTTCTGCGGTCCTATATAATTCATAACAAAGCATTCGTTGTAAGAGCATTTATAGATTGTTTCCCTATCAAATGTACCCAAATTTGCATCGCCAGTGCCTCTGGCTCGTCGTCATTATCGTAGGAAAGCATGAGCTTACGATGCTCAAGCATTCTTTTCGACCACTCCTTCCGATATTCAACAACGTCTTGACGTTCGTGACCGTCAATGTAAACGCCTTGTGCTTGACTATCACGCAGCATAAATCCCCATTTCTTCAGGTACCGTCTGACAGTGGATTCTGAAATCATGGTTTCAAGGCGGTGCTCAGGGTTGCATTCGTCAACAACAAGCTTTTCTTGAATGAACTCCTGGAGTCCGCGGACCGTTCTCTCCTCAGGCTTGAGAGAGCGAATGAACTCTAAGCACCTCGATTTAAGGTGCTCATCAGTAAGCATACATGCTGTCTTAATGTATGCACCTCGTTTCGACGGAACAAGCGACTTATTGACGAGGTACTCGTTGGCCCATTCGCGAATTCGTTGAGCAAAGCGTTTACCGCGTTTCCAAGTTCCTTCACTCAGTTGCAAAGACGCATCAACCTTGCCAGTGCCATTTAACACCTTCGTGAAGAAGTCGTACAGAGTGCCAAGACGGGCTCTTTGCAGCTGGTCGACGTCAGGCGTTTTCTTGTATGGATCGGCGTACTTTTGTAAGGCTAAAGCAGCCTCCTCCATGGTAAAGCGCTCTTGCTGCTTTTTCGCTTCCTTAGCTCTTTTCAATTCGATTTTCTGAAATCCAAAAGCTTCTTCGATGCGCTGAGAGCCTGCTGCCTTTTCTCGCTCCTTTCGTTCTTTACTCGCAATAGTACGTGGATCATTCTTATGATAGAGGGTGCCACGCCCTTTTTTATCAGCACCTTCGCTCCAGACAAGGAAACCACTGGATACCTGATTGGTGACTCTGACGAGTTCTTCTTCGGTGAAGTCAGAATAGTCTTCACCAATGATTTCTTCGTCGCTGATATCTTCATCGCTGACGTGGGCTACTTCGTCAGAGGCAGGCGCAGGCTGCTCCTCACGCGTTTCAACGCGTTCTTCTGTTTCGCGCTGTAACTTCGCTTTTTTGCCGTTGTAGTAGTTGGCTTTTCCCTTGAGGGATCTTTTGCTTGGTTTAGGCATGTTGAATTGCAATGGAGTTGTGATGGGAAGTAATGGTTCGATAGTAAATGGAAGAAGTGCTAATTGCGTTAGTTCAAAGCGAAATGGTGTAGACTTTGAACGCAAAAAACGATTGTATCCCAGCCAAATAGGGCCAAATACGGAAACTTTGAGGTGTTATTGCGCAGCGACAAATGGCTCAATCAAAATAAAATTTAGCACACCGTGTTCCTCTCATCGAAAGCTGTCGATTGCGCTATATTTCGTGGCATTTGCAGGTGATGGGAAATTTCTATAAAGGTTGAAAATTGGGTCTCAGAAACTCCCTTCAAGCTGACTCCCACCATATACTAAAACAATATTGTATCTTTTTTTAATTCAGAACTGTTTTTGGTAAGGAGATTGATGTGAGCCGGGCTATTATTCATTTCCAGTTGTGCTACATTAAATACTTCGTTTTAGCAATGCAATACACGTCCTTACACACGGGAAGGATGACAGCGCCCATATATGTAAATTTTATTCGGCTCGATAAATGCTCATATGACATTGTATTTTTTGGAGATATGCTAATGCCCGGCTTGCTGGAAGGGTTGATGGTACGTGCGTGCAGTAAGTAAAGGTATTAAGAATGAGGAAGTTAGCATAACATTCGGCGGAAAAATTAAAGCATTTTGTGGTCCGATATAGGTTTACACTTTTTTTTTTTTTTTTTTCGCGAAACACAAAAAACACACTAACACAATGGAACAGCGTAAGGATTCCGTGATCTCTCAGGTAGATCTCACATAGTTAACCGTGCTATTCAATGCAGGAGAGAATCTATATTTGCCCTTAAGCGGAAAGAAGAAATCGACAGATGATCAGGTAAAAGTGTTTCTATGTGAGCAATCTTGTGTGGCTGCTGAATTAAGGCATGACCAACAGTTTGATCAACCTCTGTTATCCGACTTAGGGTGTAACGAGAGGCCTTGTTCAAGATTATCTCCACAGCAATGCATCGACCGACAAAGTGATAAACGAAATGAAGGTTGTGCATCTCGATGCCACGGAAACGATACCGAAACACGATCCTGCAAAGAAGCGAGGCAAGCGGCTTACTGCATCAGAAAAGCGCGCGATGCGGATATACGACATACCGAAAAAGGGGGTCAAGTACGCGCACTTTGAGCCGCTGCACAATTTATGGCAAGGGTATATGAAGGAGCTCTATGGCCAGGGTCAGAATCCATCGCAGTTTGCACAGAAGTTGCTGAAGGCGGACTTCCATGGCGCCATTATTAAAGGTGCTTGCTCTACATGGAAACGACAGATTGCAACTTATATATAATTCGATGGTTACTGACATGCTTGTTGGGGGGTGGGTTTCCATAGTGACGAAGAGCAACAACCCGCTGCTGGTGGGCTCTGCAGGCATTGTTGTTCAAGAAACACAAAACCTGTTCAAGATAATAACACAGGAGGATCGCCTCAAATGTGAGGATCCTTTCGATCTTGGTTCAGAAGGGTGCTGATGATATGGATTGCTGCTAATATAAGAAACATGTATATTAGCTATACCGAAGGGCAAGACTGTGTTCCAAGTGGAGTTGGATGCGTGTGCATGTACATTGACGTTGTATGGACAGCAGCTGCTGACCCGGTCCGCCGAACGAGCAGCGAAGAAGTTCAAAGCTAAACCGACGATTGATCTATAGGAAATATTGCTGAAGAAGAAGCAAGAAGGGGATTCTAGCCCTTGTGCATCCTCTCGAAAGGCGCTTGCAAAACATGATGACCAATGTTGTCGGGGGATGGATGGGTTGGTTGGGTGCATGCAGTAAATCATTGAGGGAATTTCTGGATGTGCGCTGCAGAGCATGCGCCCTGCCTGCCTATTTTGTATCGGCGGGTTTGATTTCCGTAGCACGGACGCTTTCCTAGCAGTTTCACAAACATGGATTAAAGCCTATTCTAAGCTCTAACCTCCAAATACATAATAGCAACTTTTTTTTCCCTCTTCTTCAATAACTCTTGTTCGTACTCCCTTCCTTTCCTTTCCTTTTTCCCCCTCTTCTTCTTCTTTTATCATCCTTGCTTTTATCGCCATACCCTCACGCTCGTTCCTTTCCTTTCATCTATTCGACCAACGACCTCCGCAATAAAGTGCCAACTCAGTCATGGCTTCAGTGAACGATCAGCAACCTCCTGTTTGCATTGGCTGTAGAAACTTCATCGAGGAAGGATCCGTGATTGCATTTGGAGATGCCCTTTTTCATTTGGACTGGTAGGGGTGGTGTTTTGGCTCTTTTGTTTATTATTTACTATAGCCGCGTCTTTGCCACATCAAGGATTGCTTACAGGAGCGCCGGCGATCAATCTTATTTATTAGCTTTAACTGTGCAAAGTGCGCGCTCCCTGTCGACTGCAACTCGAAACTGCTCCTGCTCACCGATGGACGACCGGTGTGCGAGCACTGCTCATATGTTTGCGTAGCGTGCAAGCAATCCATTAGGGACGAAGCCGTCATGACCGGTAACACGAGCAAAAAGAGAGGAACAGAGCTCTCAGAGGAACAGGCGGCGGGGTGTGACCATAAATGTTTGATGAGACAAGGTTTGATTAAACGTGCAACTCTATAAATAGGGGATGAGGCCTACCATGCCAATTGTTTCAGATGCGTATTATGCAAGAAGAAGATCGACGATCTTGTATTCACCCAAACAAGCAAGGTTAGCTTCAGCTCGAAAGGGGGGGAGGAGGCGAGCTTATAGCCGTTGATTGGCAGCATATTTAATTACTCTTTTCCAATTTTTCAGGGCATCTATTGCACACCATGTCACGAGCAACGCAAAGCAGAACGACAACGCAGACGAGGCGACCGAGAAAAGCGCAGCCATAACAAACCGTCTACTTCGCCCAAGGCAGCAACACCTGTACCATCACAACAACAGCAACCAGCGTCTTCCCGCACGAGCCGTCTTCTTGATCCTGATTTAGCGTCCGATTACATGCGTCTTCAGCAGGCATTGGCACGGCCAAACGGCAGCAATAATCAGCCTGAAGTCCGCTCTTCCTCTTCCTCCACAACGCGCTCTTCGCTCGACCGTCCACCCACCCCTACACGCTCTCGTAGCAGTTCTGTCGACGCTTTATCCAATAGCGCCGGCAAGTCTACAACTACTCGTCCAATGCCACCGTCTCGAAAGCCGCCTGCTACACCCCCACGCTCATCCTCATCCAACGCCAGCTCACCAGCCACCCCTATCAACAAAAAACGTCTATCATCCATACCCTCAGCCAACAACTCGGCCGACTCGCTCCCTGAAGTTACCCCAAGCGCCTCTTCCAACAACATATACCTCTTGAACGACGGCAGCGTTTCCAAGGGCAATCTATCTGTAGAAAGCACTTCGGCATTACCCAATGTGCCCTCCCTTAATCTAACATTCTTCGATAATGAGTCATCCGATTTACTTAATCTAACAAAAAGTCTTGGCGCCAACTTGACTGTGAGTTCAAGTCCCTCCTCGTCAGCCAGTACACATCAAAAGAAGCCGGCCAAACAAGGCGGGAAATCAGCAGTATCAAAACTCACCAAGGCAACCGAACTTTTGACTTCATCGCTGCGGCACTCACCACCTCTCACCTCATCCAAGTCTTCCTCAGCTTCATCTTCTGCCACGACATGGACGGATTTTCCACAGCCGCCTACCAACACCGTCAAACCAAGCGATAGTCTGTTATCTGTTTCATCCTTTGACCTGGACTCTGACCATATCCCAACGGATCGAGCTTCGGTGGAGAAGCTCAGGGCTGAGTTAAAGGCAGCTAACAGTAAAGTCGTTGAGCTTAACAACAACTTGAACAAAATTAAAGCAAGTCTATAATTTCCCGTGTAACAGCGTACAAAAAACACTAACCAGGAACGCAATTCCTAATAGGAAGCCAGCAAACGAGCGCTAGACGAGTTTGCACGTGCCAAGGACGATTTCAGCAAAGAAGCCAATGTACGCCAGCAGCACGAGTATACAATCATGCAGTTTAGACATCATGTCAACACCCTCCAACAACAGCAGCAGGTCCCCGGTGCAGCAACAGCAGCCCAATATGCACCATTGTCGAACGAAGAGATCGAACGCGCTGCTAGGGTACGCGTAGAATTAGAGCGGACCTGCAAGGAGCTAAAGATCTATCGTGATACTTTATCCGAGGGCATTGCTAATATGGCTGACAAGCAAGCTGGTCTTGCCGGAAGGTAAAATAAAGCTCACCGTGCGAATTCCAATGGGAATTAAGGGGGACGGGGTTAGGGAGAGGTAAATTTGACCGACATAATGTTTACTTACTATATTTAGCAGATCTATAGAAGAGCACCACAGAGCTCTAATAACGCAAGTTAAGTCTCTCACACGAGAACGCGATGCATTGAAACAGGAAACTGAAAACCTCAGTCGAGTGCGTGACGAGGTTATCAATGAAATGGTCATCCTCAACACACAGAATGCCGAGCTCAACAGTATGAATAACGATCTATCACGGCGGGTGACAGCTCGCGAACGAGAGGCTGCTGCAGTGATGGCCGGTACATCGTTTCTGTACCCAACCTCTTCTACATCCACCGAATCGCAATCGCCAGGTACCATGCAGCGCAAGTCCTCAGAAACTAGTGTGGACATCCCATCTATTGCGTCCCGTGATAGCTTTAATGGCACACAGGCACCCAAGTTGTTTAAAATGAAAAAAAGCCCGTTCAATCGCTTTGGCGGTGGCATGAAATCGAGCAAGACCGACCCAGCATTGTCGACATCCGCGGAGAGCAGCAGTGGACCATACAATCTTCCCAATGCCAGCGTAAGCAGCCAAAGTCTGGCTGATTATTCTCGACGAGAGGCACGACAAAATTCAAAGCAGTCGCAAACAAGTATGCAGGGAGCCCATTCGTTCCAGCCAACACCGTTCCTGAGACCTGTCAAGTGCAGTGTTTGCTATGAAAAGATGTGGGGTCTTTCGGAATATCGCTGTCAAGGATGTGGCATGGCTTCCCATGGTAAATGTCTGAGTCACGTGCCATCCATGTGTTTTGCTTCTACGGCCAGCTCGTTGGAGTTGACGAGCCCAATGGAAATGGAAACACCCAAAGCTTGTATGTGTTTATTCATGTGTGATAATGCTATATTCCATCTACAGCAAGCAAACTGACCGAGTGAACCTTTTATACTGTCTAGTGAGCATGTTTGGAGCCGATCTATGTTCACAGGCAGCGCAAGAAGGCCGAGACGTCCCGCTGGTCGTGGAAAAATGTATCGAGGCGGTCGAGAACAGAGGCATGGACTATGAAGGCGTTTACCGTAAATCAGGCGGTGCCGCACAAATGCGAGCCATCCAAGTTGCCTTTGATCAAGGCGATGCTATTGATCTAAACAACGAGGACAAATATAATGATATCTGCGCTGTAACAAGCGTGCTCAAACACTATTTCCGACAACTCCCTAATCCACTACTTACTTACGAACAATACATGAATTTCATTAATGCTGTCTGTAAGTATTGTGGAATGTGATTATATTGTATTCCTCGCGCAATTCAGCGAACGACAAACTCATACGATATATTCATTATTATAGCTCTACCACTTGGCCCTGAAAAAGCAGACAAGTTCATTGAGCTATTATCCCAGCTACCCAAGGCAAATTACGATACCCTTAAAATGTTAATGGAACATCTTCAACGGTAACTTATTTTTAGAAACGGAGATATTAATCCCCCCCCACCACCAACGTACAGCAATGGATAACTAAACTAGAAACATGTTGACCGCTCAATTATATAGTGTGAGTCGAAATAGCCTAGAAAATCGAATGACGGTGAAGAACCTGTCACTCGTCTTTGCGCCCACACTGATGCGTGATAGAGATTCAGCGCGTGATTTTATGGACATGAGCTATACCAACGCCACGATGGAATACTTGATCACATACGCTCATGAAGTGTTTATTGACGAAGGACGGTAGAAAACTCTCGTATCCTTTAATCTGTTCTATTACGCAAACTGTGTACTTTTGTATTTAGTTATACTTTTGTAATTACATTCTATTTATTTATTATTACACTAAAGATCTGCAAAAAACGCAGCTTTTCTGAGATTCTTCTTTGACATGTTTCCAGTTTTCCGCTTCTTTTTGGATGGCTTTGTCTTTTCTTCCTCATCGCTATCACTATCACTATCTTCTTCTTCATCATCATCGTCGTCAACCTCATTCCCATCCTTATCCTTATCCGCATCCTCAACTTGATCGTCTTCGCTGTCGCTTTCACTGTCATCACCTTGACCACTGTCATCATCCTCAGCATCTTTGCCAGCAACAACTTGGATTGCCTTTACATCCTCCTTTTCATCTTTGTCTTCTTCTTCATCGTCGTCGTCGTCATCTCCTGCATTCTCATCAAACAGGAACGCAACATCCCAGAATCGTAATGTGCTGTCATGCCCGCTGCTGATAAGATATTTTTTGTCATGGCATAACCGTATATGCTCAATTGGCATATCTTCGCCGTGATCACCGATCACACCATGGAACTGATTAGGTAACACAGACACGATTCTGAAAATAAATAACCACGGTGTTTATTAGCTTCCCCTCCTCTCTTTTGTTGAATTTTATATACTGGAAAGGAGGAGCTATCATTACGTACCGGATAATGCCATCGCTACTGCCCGTGCATATCGTATCTTCATCCAATTTACAGATCGTATCAATTGAGTTGGGATGACCAACAATGCGATCGTTGTAATCGCCCCAGTCGCCCCAAGACCATAAGCTCAAAATGCCTTCCTGTGATCCGACTACAGCCTTGCTACCATTCTAGGTGATTTTAAAGTTTGTGATAAGAGATAAGTTTTTATGTTGCGGTTTCCGTGCAAAAGGGAAAGGGTTTTACCTTGACCAGCGCGACTGATAACAATTCATCCTCCATATTGTCGGACATGGCTGAGACGTTTGGTTTTCGGATATCCCAAGTAGATAGATATCCATCTCCTCTATTGAACACATAAAGCAAGACGAACATGAGTACGTGTACAGTCGTCCAGATTTCTGACGATTCCTTACGACCCTTCCGCACACTAGCTTGTAACGAAAAAGAGGAAGAATCAAAGTTACCCAGCAGCCACCAGTGTCTTTTTATCGGCCCTGAAAACCATATCCGCAATGAAATCTTCATGCTCCTCGTACACCATGACAGCATCTTGTTTCCGTCTATCCCAAAGCTGGTTGTTTTTTTTTTGTTAGTAAGAGTTGTTAGTTATCCAATGGAAAAGCATAATTATCATCGAAGCAAGTGTACCTTGATAACACCTTGATCATCACCAGTGGCGAGTATGTTATCGTTCAAACACAAAAGGGCATTAAGCGGATTACTGTTAAAATATTCAACGCCAAATAAGAACCTAGACAGCCTTATGCACACACAATCTTTAGGAACACTTACTCATGGGATCTCTCTCTACTGCTCAAAATCTTCCCTGTCTCAGTATCCATAAGGCAGATCATTCTGTCCTTCGATATGCTGTAAAGGCCTGCATACACGGGTCATTTATTGTCCAAGATTTATTTTTTTTATGCTTCCTTACCTGCACCATCCAAAGTAAACTCTACACCACGACAGGATTTTTTGAAAGGGCGTTCCGTCCATAAATGTTCATGTTTATCAAGACCGTACTTGTGACTATATCCCGAGATCGATCAGAATTTTCATTGATCAAAGTAGCTGCATAAATCACAAATAGATTTAGAAGTCTAAATGTTCTTCTGTAATGTTCATACCAAAGGACTTTGCCGTTAATCAGGCCGGTTGCTACGAGATCGCGACTTGGATGCACAGCACAATCAAAGATGGTTTTCCCAAAGTCTAGTGGGCTGGGTGCCTTATCATTTGCCATTATAAGGTTCTTTCTGTGAGTGTGGGTGTTGTTCTCTGACAACAAAATAATGTGTCTCTTGTTACAAGTGAGTTCCAATTTTTTTCTTATTTCCTAATTAGGGGCACGCATATCTTCCTGGCTTGGATCCGCACCATCTGCTTTCCTTAATTTCTTATGTGCAACTGTTTCTTAGCAACGATTTTACAAAGCTGCATATTGTAAAATTCTTGGGGACGATGTGTCTTCATCCTATAATTTAAATATCGAGCTTGTATTCTTTCAGTCTTTGGCTACGTCTAAATAAATCATATTTGATGCTTAATCAAATCACACTCCTCTGATGGGCCGGACTAGTCCGTCTTGATTTGTGCTCCCCCACCTAACAGATTACTGCTATCTACCTTTCACCTTATCGTTATCATATTTGTAGACATTCTGATTGTCACATATGAGCTCCTTTTGGACACCTTTTACTCTAACTATACGTGTGAAGCGCGAAAATACCATGTGTCCTTTCAATTACTGGATAGACACTTTGACGTCTTTTTTGTTTTGTTTTTTCGAGTGTGAAATTTCATTGCTGCTAATTCCATTAGAAGTACACACGACAGTACGCAAACATTATATGCTCTCCTTGGTAATAAAGAATGGCAGCAGTGACACGGACAAGCACCAAAAGGCTAAATTGAGATAAATGACTCAAAAAGGAAGTTTTTATTTTATCATTATCGCTAGGATAGGGTATTGTTGCTCTTTGCGCAAGAGCAGTAAATAGCAGCAAGAATGCTGAGTCAGAAAAGACGGTGCGAATCTTAAATCATTGAGCACTGGTGAGAGACAGTAATGACGGTCTTAAACGCCGTGGGTGTTAGGAGAGTGTAAGGCGGGCTTAGACGCCGGGTAGTAACGTAGGATAAGTAAGTGTATGGCCTTGTGATAGGCTGCAAATCTAGAAACAGACGTGCCAGATCTCCCCGAAAACTCTGTTACACTGTACGATAAACCTAAAGTCGATAATTATTTGGTCTTTCCGAGTAATTGGTCGCATAAAGAGAAAGCCGTATGATCGCGTTTCTCATACACCCACACCCACACCCACACAAGACACTCACGCATTAGGTTCCCGTGGTACACCATCCTTTCGAAACGCGAGCGCAAGAGTGATAAGACAAGGAATAGAAAGAAGATCCCGAAACATGATGGTGATAAGTCATTGCTTACTAGATAAAAAACTATATAAACCAACTATCTTTTCCTTTCTAAACCGATCGCCAACCCTCGTCTTCTCATTGTCTTCTCTCTCTCTCTCTCTCTCTCTCTCTATCTATCTGACTAATCATGTCGGCTATCACTGCTGTCCTCCCTCATCCCTTGGATAACTTATCCGCCGACGAAATCCGCCGCGCCACCGCCATCATTCGCAAGGAACGCGAAAATGATACCTACATTGTAAATTCGATGTGCTTGAAGGAACCCTCCAAAGATCTGATGATGGCGTTCTTCGGCTGGGACAAGTCTGTTCCCCAGCCAACCAAGATCGACCGTGAAGCATTTGTTGTTCTCATTGACCGTCCATCCGGTTTGGTCCACGAAATTGTTGTTTCTCTGACCCAAAACAAGACCACCAGCTGGAAGAAGGTTCAAGGTGTCCAGCCCACTCTTCACGTTGGCGAAATGCTCGAGGCCGAACACGTTTTGCTCAATGATGAACTTGTTATTGCAGAGTGCCGCAAACTGGGTATTACTGATATGAAACAAGTCTTCATTGATCCCTGGGGCGTTGGTTACCACGAGTCAATCAAGGGCAAGCGTCTTATGCAAGCTTTGGTCTACATGCGCACCTCTGCCGACGACAACCAGTACGCTCATCCTTTGGATTTCAATCCTCTTTATGGTAACGTATCAATTATAACTTATTGCTTAAGCTCCCAAGTGTTCAGACCAATGTGTGTGTGTGTGTGTGTCTAGTACGAGGAGAAAGCGGAACTGACATGTGACATGTAAATTAATTATTATTCTGTATAGATGTCAACGAAAAGAAGGTTGTCGACATCATTGTTGCCAAGCGCCGCAACAGCAAGTTTGAGCGTCCTACTATTCCCCGAGCCAACCATCACTTCTTGCCCGAGCATATTGGTACAGAAAACTTGCGCAAGGACTTAAAACCAATCCAAATCACCCAGCCCGAAGGTGTCAGCTTCACGATCCGTGGCCAGCAGTTAGATTGGCAAAAATGGAATATGCACTTGTCGTTCAACTATCGTGAAGGTTTGGTTATCAACAACGTCAGCTACAAGGATATGGATGGTACTTTACGCCCCTTGTTCTACCGTGTCTCTTTGGCGGAAATGGTGGTCCCTTACGCCAATCCCTACAAACCCTATAACCATAAGATGGCTTTTGATGTTGGAGAGTACGGTTTGGGCAACTTGACGAATTCTTTGGAACTCGGCTGCGACTGTGTTGGTTCAATTTACTATATGGATGCTGTTTTGAGCGACATGAAGGGTGAGCCCTGGGTGATCCCAAAGGCTATCTGCATTCACGAAGAAGATACTGGTCTTTTGTTCAAGCACACTGATTACCGCACTGGCAAGGCCCACTCTGCTCGCTCGCGTCGCTTGGTCATCTCCCACATTGTTACTGGTACGTTTCAACTTCACATCAAAAATATATATAGACGCTACGTAATTTGACCAAAGAATCCAACAATTCTTTCTACTACCAGCTGCCAACTATGACTATGGTTTGTACTACTACTTTTACCAGGACGGTACCTTCCAATATGAAGTTAAGGCTACTGGTGAACTCAACACCCAAGTTCTTGCTGTCGACGAAGATGCTGCTCCATATGGTACCATTGTTGCACCCCAAATTGATGCTCAGCACCACCAGCATTTGTTCAGCATGCGCATTGACCCTATGATCGACGGTCGCAACAACTCTGTTGCCGAAACGGACGTCTTACCTTCAGTGCATCCTGTCGGACACCCCGATAACATAGTTGGCAATGCCTTCGGTCCTGTCAGCAAGATCTTTAGCAACACCGATGAAGCACAAACCGATGCCAGCCCCCAGACACATCGCTCATGGAAGGTTATCAACGAGAGCAAAATACATCCCTATGCCAAGCAGCCTGTCGGTTTCAAGGTTATTGCTCCCAACAGCCCTCCCCTTTTGGCCAAGCCTGGATCCATTGCTTACGAACGCGCCCGATTTGCTGCAAAAACCCTTTGGGTGACCCAATACCATCCTGATCAGCTCTTCCCTGGTGGTTTCTACTGCTACCAGAGCGAGCCCTCCGATAACCTTGGTCTCCCGCAATTTACTCGTGAGACCAAGAATGTTCGTAACGAAGATATCGTTCTCTGGTTGACCTTTGGTCTGACCCACATCCCTCGTGTTGAAGACTTCCCTATCATGCCTGTGGAAATGTGCGGTTTCCAACTCAAGCCAGCCAACTTCTTCTTGGGTAACCCGGGTATCGACCTCCCATCCTCTGACAAGAAGTCCACCAAGAGCGCCTATGCTCCCGCCGATGCCAAATCCTGCTGTGGCAATAACTCTTTATAAGCAGCCACCCTTCACCCTCCCTTCCACTATAGATTCCATTTCCTTCTATTTTTTCAACATGAAGTTTAAGCTGATGTACAGAAGCTATCTTTTTAATTGAATAAATTCTTAGTTGTACATACCTTACACAATCACATTATTGTATTGAAACTGGTCCCTTATCTTAAGCACAATATAATAATGTGCTGTGCACACTCCGTAAACGTTAGCGGTTTGATTCTGTGGCACGACGTGTAGTAATCTCGAAACGCCAACTGACTGGCTGTTATAATACCATTATTATACCACACAAGACACCGATCCTGTAGAGCACGTATATAGTCTAGAAATGGGTTTTTAGAAGATCAGATATTATATAACAGTGTACAGTACACTTGAAAGTTTCATCGAATGACTGCTTGTTCATGTACATGCACACAACAGCAATTATACGCAGTAACTATCATGATGTTCAAGATTATAAAATCAATTGTATTGTGGAAGTTGGAAAAAGAGCACAGCATACTGAATTTATGGAAAGCAGAAATAGTTTAGACAAGAGGATACAGACACATCAGTGGTATGGAATACTGTACAGTAAGTAGGTATGAGATGATGTTACTCCAGGAATCATATCAATACAAATGGAAGTGGTTCTTGTGTACATATGCCTAGTGATTTCATTTTGTAAAAGAAACCTTTAATAGGTAACGTTTTGATTATGTCAGCAATAGTTTATGGTTTACATCTAAGTAATACCCTGGAGAAATTTCTAATTTTTTTTTGAATTAAATAGTGTAATCTTTTCCCACACCATTCTCCTTACACCCTCTCCTTTTTGACCCAACACCATATAAAGGTACCATATTCATGGAGTTCAGCATTTTGCCAGCGATGTTTTCAAAACAAATCGCTGCGTACACACGACCAGTTTTAGATAGGCAATCAAATGTTTGCAATCATGTTTTTGTCACAATTGTTTGTATAGACCTCGCAAAGACAGATGTTTCATTACCACTGTTGTACCCTACATATGTACGGCCAATAAGAGCAGTTTGGAACCGATTACATTTTTGTTCGCTCAATAATTATAGGTTCATTGTCGAGTAGAGTGTTGCGCGAGTTTTCTGTTTTTACAAAGAGAAATAAGAATTTAGCTTGACAATGTATATCAAAACGCGCTTCTTTTCGGTTATATTTTATTGTATGATCCCGCATATACAACATATTTACCATCAAAGCGAATTACTTCCTGTGTTACGTTCTTGAAATTGAGTATCTGGAACTCAAGGAAGGTCGGAAGGTCGGCATAGTGGTTATTGCGGATGTGCTGGAATAGATGTTGGCGACAGGCGTGAGAAAAAGTGCATGCGTTGTACGGGCAAAAGTACTTGATTTTCATTTCTAGTATTATATTTTGAGGAAAACTGTAATGAAAATGTGGTTCTTATCCAGACAAGCAAGTTACAAAGCACTCACGTTCAGAATAAATTTCTTCGCCATCCACGACAGCACCGCGTGATTTTTCTGTGTGAGTGTAAAAACAGTGAGCGTTTCTCAAGTGGCTGTGTACATCAGCTGCTAGCAAGATAGACATACCTTTAAAGTCGATTATCTTGCCAGAGTTTGTCAGAAAAATGCAACGGATTGAGGGTTTGCACTCAGGAAACGCAGCATAGTGTTCCTTGCGAATATGCTTGAAGAGCCAGGCTCTAGCTTGATATGACTTTGTGCAAAACTTATACGGGCAGCAGTATACTGTTCTTTTCTTCGCTGGGTATAGCGCAGTAGTGGATGTCGGATCTTGTGTTAGAGGAAAGAGCCCGTCTTTACTGCTCTACTTTCTACAAACCTTTTTTTTGGAACGAGTCGTTGTACATCGCTGCTGCTATGTGTTGTTTCATCGGTGGTGGCTGAGGAACACTACAGCTGGTATCTAGAATAAAGACTGTGGTATCAGCATGTATGATTGCTTTTATCTGCCCAGGTACTAGGTGTGTGCTGCTGCTGAATCTGTACTACCTTTTGATGCGAGCAAGGCGGTGCTGCGCGTTCGGTTGAGCGGAATTTTGTGGTCGGTGCAGACAACTGGCTTCTTCGGGCCTGTCATTACTTCTGTCAAACTTTGGTCAGCGCAACAAGTACATGGAGATAGTCCTTGACTCCTTGCGAAACCTACAACGTCCGTTCCTATAACTCTTGAAACTATCACGATCCGTTTTACATACCAGGTGCGTGCTTGTCAGGAACAGCCCCTTTGACGATTTGTTGACAGCAGGAAGCTAAAGATGTCATTGTGCACACGGAGCTGGTCAGATTTTCTTGCTGCGCTTCTTGCACTCGCATTCGTTCTTCAACTCGTGCACTCAGACCCTTTACAATGACTATTAAGCATACATTGGCAACTTACATAAACTGTCTTCATTGTCAATCGGCTCAAGATTTAGATCCGGCAAAGGAGGTTCTTGCAGCATTGGTGGGGCCAATTCCGGTGTCAGTTCTTTGGTGGGAGTTTCTTCTTGCTTACGAATACTTTTCTCTTTATTAGACTTTCCGTAGATCGCTATCGTAATCGATTGCCTTATACGTGAAAACATGGATGATAGAAAGAGAAATAAATAAAATATGCGCATAACTGTAGCGCATATCATAGACGTTTCAGAACCCGAACCACGCGCTTTGAGCCCTTGATTTTCATGTATCATACAGCGAGGAGTAACCATAGCCCGATAGAAAGGAAAGTATTTGACGCTCAAACAGTGAGGAGCTGCTTAAGAGACGGCGATAGTCTGTCTAGCATGCTGTTACTCATGAGAGATGATGAATCAATTAACAGAATACAGTTACGTGTCTTTTGTCGATGGTGGTGAACAGCACAGTGCTGCTCTTTATTCTTTTTTTGTTACATTTAGTGATATGATGGTCACTTTGCATCTACTCAACAATCCATACGTTTAATTACTTGTATTATGTATGCATGTAAGTAAGTAAGATGTATGCATGGGTGATGGCTATGCGAGACGCCCTCGGGGTACTCTTGGCAGTCGGCTTCCAAAGATGGAAGGTTCACTCAATTCATACTATGAGCCAAATGATTTAGAACGGCTGATCACTACTGTTTGTGATATGATACAACTGGTATGCGACCATGCCCAGTATATGACCACTTTCTTCATGCAGCATATCCACGTGATACTTCTCGTATCAATGCTACATAAGTCACGGCACACTTTTCAAGTTCCTTTCTCTTTCGCTTGTTATTCTTTTTTCCTTTTTGCATATTTTTTTTTGCTTGTACAATATACAGGCTACCAGAACTTTGAATGGATAGTTCGCTTAATCGAAGGCTCGTTATACTCGGTGGGGGCGCAGCTGGCATTCTGCTTGCGATGAAGCTGGCATCGGACAAGCAGAAACTGGGCATTGATATTACTCTTATTGATTGCAAGGTGGTAGTCATTTTTTCATACAAAACAGATGCAAGAACTGATGGGCTTACAGATACACAACCTTTATAGCCGTTTTTTGAATACACGCCTAGTTTGATTTCAGTCCTTTACGAAGCATCCGACGAGCAATTTGAGCGCCATTTCTGCAATATCACTGCAGATTATGAAACGCTTCTGGGAGGGCTCGGCGTCAAGTTTGAGCTGGGCATAGTGCGCGATATGGACAATGAAAACGGTAAGCGAGTGTAAACCGTGCATCAGACTTGATATTGAAGAGTAGGAGAACCACCCGAAGAAAAATTTATAACAGGACACATGTTATGTGTTTCCATTGCATGTTTACACAGTGATTCTCGGCGACGGCAGCCAGAAAATCGCGTACGATATCCTAGTAATCTGTACAGGGTCATTCTATCACGATCCATGGAAAGTTCCCTGCCAGCAAGACCGGACCACGATGCAATGGCAAGATCGTTTGGATTACCTACGTACTCACCGTGACAAGTACAAATCCTCAGAAGACATTATGTGTATTGGCGGCGGGCCCGTGGGTGTCGAGGTTGCGAGCGAGATTGCGTGGCGGGCACCCTTGAAACACGTTACTCTAGTCAGTTCATCTGACACTGTTTTATCGGGTACGCCTGGAGGCGTCGCCGATGGCGCAGGTCGCATACTGAATCATCTCGATCCAATCAGGCTGCTGACAGGCGAAAAGGCTGAAAAGGTGGATGATGCGGATGATAGCACCTACAAGACAGATAAAACAAACACGGAAATCAAGACGGACCTAGTATACCTATGTACTGGCATTCGTCCCAACACCCAATTTCTTCAAAAATCTCATCCAAACTGGCTTGACGACAAAAAGCGCATACGTGTGAACGAGTACTTTCAAGTGCGTGGCGATGATAGCAGTGGTGGCGAAGGTAATACCAGCAACAACAGCAAGAGCGTTTTTGCTGTCGGTGACGTCAATGATGTCAACGAGCCAAAGTTGTGGTTTACGGCGCACATGCAAACAGTCCATCTGTATCACAACCTCAAACGATTTGTGGAAGGTAAAAACGACATGGTTCCTTACAGTGGTTCACAAATATCCATGGTCATATCGCTGGGTCCACATTATGCCGTTGGATCGTTCAATGGTTTCGTCTTGAACGGCTGGCCGTTTGGACGAAACAGCGGAAGTAAGCTGGCAGCAATCGCAAAACATACAGTCGAACGCGTCACGATGAACGACTTTCATAGCAAAAAGCTAGCAAACGACATACTATATCAAACACACGAAAAAGGCCACTTGTTCCAAAAGATAACCGGTACATGCCTGAGTCAACGGTGACCAACTACAGCGGATGAACAGTAATGCGGCAAGCGCGCATTGTGGGTTGCTCTTTGACTGGATGTAATAAAACGATATATTTACATAACTATTGCTTGTACAGAAATCTGTCTTTGATTTTTTTCTTGGATGATTATGATGAACGGTGAGGGATCGGGAGAGAGCGAGAACTTGGTATGATTTCAAAAGGATTTATACGTGTCTATATTACAAACCAACGACCATGTGAATACCGAATGTATATACCCCATCCTCGTTGAATCATGTTACTTACCGGAACACATCGCTTTGGATGAAGAAGCTTGTGGCCTGGCCTTCAACCGGCATCAGCGTAAACGTCTGCGAAAACGATTTTTTTCCAGGGCTGTCACCATACTTTACATCACCGTGTACGTTTATCAGAATTCCACATGCTCCTTGTGCGTTCATTGTTGCTATAGAAACAATCAATCTCTCTCGTCAGTTTGGTTCACGCTTTAGTTATACTTGTCGTTTTCAAGTACAAAGAACCTACCAGCGATCGGTTGGCAATCATAAGCAGCAACTTCGTGCTGTGAGGCTGGTAATCGACTCAAAAACTCGGAAAACTGTGATGCTCCGGCAATCGCATTGCCTATCCATGTGTTACTGCTTTTGTCAAGTAACCCGTACTCCACACCTTTTTTGGTGCTTACCGTTCCATACGATCGCTGAATCTTCTCGGTAAAGATTACCTAGTAGCTGGGAAAAATACAATAGACGGTTCTTTTTTTTTAGATCGCTAGGTCGTAGAATGCATTGGGGATTCAAATAAAATCACATACGTTACGCTGGTTGTCATAATTTTGATAGAATAGTTGAACAAATTGTGCGCTGCTGCTTTCTGCAATGTTCACGAGATCCATGTTTATCTTCTTTGAGGAGCAGAAATAAAAAAAAGTCGAATACAGTAGCACACACAACAAGCGGTCTTTATTTCTCGCTAGCCAATTTCGCTGCGGCTGCTTTTTTCCCTTTGCTCAACTTGACACAAAAGCGCCATGTCTATATTACAACAGTTCTGTTCAGAAGTCGTTCAAACATACAATGCACGTAACGGGAGACGATTCGGCGAGCTATTTACTCTGGAGGACAGTAACCCCGGTGTCATCTCCATTCGACGAGAATTGTCTACGGTATACATATAAAAAGAGGAATCTCTACGCGTTCGAACAACTTTAAATTCAACATTACAAGGCAAACTTAATGTTTATAAAAAATGAACAACTATTAGATGCATGAAACACAGTGTGAACAGATGATTAGCAACAACCTTGAAGATGTTTCCTACTCTCTGTCCGAGTTCGTCACTAATTATATCAAGCTGCTGAACAACTCCATAAATTATCCGCTTGCACACGTATATGACCAATTCCAAATATTCTTCAAGTATGTTTTCCCCCCCACGCAAAACCCAAAAGAGTTAACAACGACAACGTCAGAAGATTATTGATATTTATGTATGTGATTTCATGTCAAACTACATAGTGCGTTTATACCTGTATTTAGTAGCGCGGATTCAAACTATCTTTTGCCATTTCTAAAAAACCTATCGACGACACTTGTGGATTTCGCTTTCCATGTAATTATAAAGATCAAGATAGCAGTAGCAAGAATACATAGAATATGTCGATTGATGCGTCCCTTTTTTTTAATAGGTGGATAAAGTGGAGAATCTATCTGTCAAAAAAATGAAAGCCAACGGAGCCGCACGTTTGTTATCCAAAGTATTCAATATCATGCTCGCCGACAGGTAATTTTATTAAAAAGGAACCAATTCAGTACATGGCATCGATACAGTGCTAATATGGAAACCATGGTGATGAATCGATTTCACATATCAGAAATCCGTTACAAGAATCCAAACGCCTAGGCATTATACACATCACGAATTTGGCATTCAAAATATACACAAAGGTACGATGACAGTAGATTTAGGATTAGAGAAATTAGAAGATGGCGCTGTGGTCGTTGTTAACGTATTATGTCCACCCATATTAGCTGGATATCACGAATTTGTGCAGCACATTTATTACGAACCTCAAGACTGGTGGTGTGGAACTTAAAGACTTCCCAATTTCTCAGCAAGTTGCTCATCGTTACTACCTAGGACGATTCAGCTATTACAAACAGCAATTATTAAGGGTGAGTTTTAAGATCTCTGTACTATCAAATTGAAGGCGAGTAATCAACGATAGTTTGTGCTAAATATATATATATATATATATTGAAATGATTAGGCTGAAAAACACTTCCAGTTTGCATTCCAACATTGTCCTGCTAATAGCTGGCATAACAAACGGTAAGATAGATAAAAGAAAAAGATCCAGTGTTCATGGTCGTTATATAAAACGTTCTTTTGTTCGCTAACTCGATCGCAAAGCCTCATTTTGAAATTCCTGATACCCACTCGAATCATTATGGGCAAGCTACCGAGTATGGAATTACTTCAAAAATACAAACTAGAAAATCCATACGCTGACTTGAAGCAGACGATCCAGCGAGGCGATATTCGACGTTTCAATGCCATCCTTGAGCATAACTATGCCTTTTTCGCTCGCTCATGGTCATACCTTACTTTGAGAGCAAGATGTCCAGTTCTGTTATGGCGAAGTTGCCTACGACGAGTGTAAGTTTGGGATCCTGACGGACAATTAGAAAATACAATGATCGTGTCTGGAGGTTGGCTAAGTACAGAGGGAAAGAAAGGACAGATGGTGCGCCCCGGATTCCTCCTCGCTAACTCGGTCATCACTGTATAGATTTATATTGACCAGACAAAGTGACGAGGACCGAGTCATGTCGTTCAGGGTGTGCTATGATGGTCTTCTTGCTGCTGGCGAAGATCAGGACCTCGATTTTTACGACACCGAAAACATTCTTGTTTCTTTGATTAGTCAAGTAAGTAGTCGCTCTATAAAACATACAGCCGTTTTACTAATTTTAATCCCTACTCTCTTCGTCCTAGGGTTACATTCGTGGATACTTGCATCATCAGCTACAACAGGTTGTACTGAGCAAAGTAAACCCATTCCCACCCATCAGCCAAATCAGACCCTATGTCGAACGCTATAACGATGACGCCGTCGAGGAGCACCTCAAGACCAATCAACCCATGCTACCACACGACATACAAGCATTTATTGAAGAATCTGATGAGCCGCCGATGCAGTTTGGTGCTACGCTCGATGGATATGACGGTTTTGCCGATCAAACTTATGAGGAAGCAGCACAAGCAGGAGCAGGAGGATTTGGTATGATGGCGTCTATGGATGGAGGAGCAGGTGGATTCAATAGTGGAACCAATGAAAATAACTTGTATTTTCAACAAGCTATTTGATTGTCGCCTGATAAAATACTATGCACCATTAACGCCTAACCGAAACATACACTTAAACTCACACGATACCATTCAAATTAATGCATGTTTCTGAGAAATACAAGCATACACAATGTTCTACAATGCAACGTAGTGTGTTAGTGGTGGCATTGGCAGTATGATAATAGGATATTGTTGAAGAATATGTAGTAACATCATGATGTACAGGGCATATATACAGTGCTCTCGTAGATCGCTTTTTCTCTTATTAATTGTTACATAGCGAGAAATCCTACAATCGTTGGCTATTGGCCAAAAGACAGTATGTGGGAGCGATGTCCCTGAATCTCGATGTTTATGCCCGACACAAACATATAATGATCCGCTACGAACTTTTTCCTTCCCGAAAAAATCTATAAATCTGGGTACCTTTTCATAAAACGCGTAGAAAGTTGCAAACAGGTGGTGTAGGAACACTGCTCAGAGCTTATTTATTGCGGTGGTTTAGCAACGCGTACGTACATGAAGGGCACGCAGTAGCGCTTGCTTGGATAACTATTAATTCGCGGGGATTGATTTCCTGCTAGCTTTGGAGCTGTCGCCCTCTGCTTTTTTCGTACTCTCTGACTCGCCCTCTTTTTCTCCCCTTTCTTCTTCTTCTCTCTTTCCAATCCCCTTCACGCCCAAAGGCGATCCAAAGAAACACACAATGGAGATTGATCAAAGCACTTCCAATACCAACGACAACAACCAGGCCTCGTCAAAATCGCCAGAAAATCCGCCATCATCGGGATCCACTCCGCAATCGGGACAAGCAGCGACACCCGCGGTAGATGGACCTACAAACACGACGACAGCGACTACGACGACAACAGCTGATACACAACAACAGCAGGAACCAGGACGAGTCATTGTCGCCGAAACTGGAACTCTTGCGCCTAACGCTGGTACTGCTACTGCTGGTGCTACTGGTGGTGCTTCTAGTCCTGACGGCACGGGTGAAAGTGATACGCTTGATGATACCGTTCATAGAGCTTCGGCAACTACCGACGAACAAGAACTGTACCCTATTGCAGTTCTCGTGGATGAACTTAAAAATGAGGATGTGCAGCATCGCCTCAACGCCATTCAGAATTTGGGCACCATTGCCATGGCTTTGGGTCCACAGAGAGCTCGAGATGAACTTATTCCTTTTTTGAATGGTGAGGTTTTCTTTAATATTATCTCATAGAGTACATATAGTATAGCTACTCTTTATGCATATTATAACTGACGATAATTTTTTTCTTTCTCCCTTTTTCTTTTATCAGATTCGATTGATGATGAAGACGAAGTTCTTTTGGCAGTAGCAAACGAGCTTGCAGGATTCTCGGAATATGTTGGTGGTCCTAAATACGCGCATTATCTCTTGAATCCACTGGAGAATTTGGCAGCGGTAGAGGAAGTGTTGGTCAGAGATAAGGTATGTTTTACATTTGCGTACGATAGACTTACTTATCCCTGCTTTAAATATACGTCAACTAAATTTTTGTCACTGACGGGTCAAATGTGATGCAAAAACACCAAAAAAAGGCAGTAGAGTCTCTTTGCAAGATCGCTGCAGTGTTGAGCCCGAACCAAGTCGAGCACTATTACATCCCGCTAGTGAAGCGATTGACAAGCGGTGAATGGTTCACCAGTCGTATATCTGCCACGGGGCTCTATGCCGCATCCTATCCGAAATGCAGTAATGAGCAAAAGACCGAACTTAGGAGGTAAAATGCAAGTTCCTTTTGGGAAAGAAAGGTAGCCTTACTTTTGATTATTACTTTTATTTAATTATCAATCGACTCTCCTTCTTTCACTAGTCTTTATGCGCAGTTGATTCAGGATGACACGCCCATGGTCAGAAGAGCAGCTGCAAAGTCATTGGGAGTATGTATTTAAGATAACAGGAGGAAAATGAAAGAAACAGAGAGGGAAGAGACAAATAAGACGACGACGAAAATGGCGACAATGACTGATTATAGTTTTCCATGCTCTCTATGTAGGAATTCGCAAAGCAATTGGACAAGGACCACCTCACAGCCAACATCATGCCTTTGTTTACCAAACTCACGAATGACGATCAAGACACCGTGCGCTTGTTGACTGTAGAAGATTTGGTTCAAATATCGCGCATACTTTCGACCGAGGAAAACAAAACAATACTGCTGCCTATTCTGAAATCGCTGGGACAGGACAAGTCATGGAGAGTGCGATACATGGTTGCTTCCAACTTTGCTCAGGTAAATAGGGTTCTGGATGTGGCAAAAATATAAGCAAGTGATCAGAAATCACACGAGATACTGATGCGTAGGTATAACTGGCTTAAATAGTTGTCCGAATCATTCGGCGAAGCCATTACTAGAGAAGAGTTAGTCAACTTGTTCGTCAGTCTTATCAAGGATAGTGAAGGAGAAGTTAAGGTGGTTACAATCGGACAGGCTTCAGGTGAGTATGAAAGAAAGGCGAAAATAGAGGAGCGGTAAACGTAACCTTCTATGAATTGTGTATACGTTACTTACGCGCTTTATGTTGTCGCTATGCTCAGCCTTTGGAAAGATGATCGACGAACTGACCGTTCTCGATAAACTCCTTCCATGCGTAAAGGATCTTGTTATTGACACAAATCAACACGTCCGTGCTGCTGTGGCAACAAACATTAGCGGATTGGCTCCAATTCTTGGCAGAGACCTGTAATACTGCTCTTCCATTTGTTTCCTTGTTGTCTCCGCCTTTTGAATATCGTTCTAATCATAAAACCTCTTCTTCTTGACTAGTACCATCGAATACCTGCTGCCACTATTCCTTCAGCTTCTTAAAGACGATTGCCCTGATGTCCGGTTGAATATTATTTCCAAGTTGGAGAACGTAAATCAAGGTACGGTTTCTTGTTAATAAACAAACAAACAAACAAATAGAGCAAAAAACTTAAAGAAACCACAAAAAGAGGGATTGCATAACGTGGTGAAGAATGAAAGTCATACTCATCTTATCTTTGTGTGGGATAGTTATTGGCGTTGACAGACTTCCACAATCGCTTCTTCCAGCCATTGTCGACCTAGCAGAAGATAAACAGTGGCGTGTGCGACTTGCTATCATTGAATATATACCACTTTTGGCATCGCAGATGGGCATGGGTTTCTTTGACGTGAAGCTGCTCAACCTGTGCATGTCCTGGCTCGGTGACGCAGTGTTCTCTATCCGGGATGCAGCAACTACAAACTTACGGCAACTTGTTGAGATCTTTGGCTCTGAATGGGCCAAGGAAACCGTCATACCTCAAGTGATGAAGATGGCCCAGAACGAAAACTACTTGTATCGCATGACAACTCTTTTTGCTCTTACGGTAAATACTAAAAAAGAAAGAAAAATGCGAGGATACAGAGAATACTAAAGGTCATGTTCATGCATCTAGACAATGGCATCATCCCTCACACCTGAAATCGTCAAAGAAAGCGTATTGCCTACGGTGTTAGGGCTGAAGGACGATACCATCCCCAATGTCCGCTTCAATGTAGCCAAGTCTTTGGAAGTTCTTGCATCTATCCTGAAACACGACAAAGCAAGTGCCGAATTAATCGCATCTCAGGTCGCACCGGCGTTACAGAAGCTTAGTGATGATTCAGACGTCGATGTCAAGTGGTTTGCCAACAAAGCGCTTCTCTCAGGTACGAATACTGGTTCATTTTGTTATTACTTTTAATAGCAGTGCCAACGTCATATACTAATCCCGGTGTTATGATTCCCTCCATGCTAGTTCAATAAATTCTCCACCGACAACATATCCATCGAACATAAAAAAAACAGTTTCGTCTTTTATTAATGTACCTTACTCGGCTTTTCTCCCTCCCCATTTCTCACTCAATATCTCTCGTTAACCTCTCCAACATGGTGCTTCTACATAATGATTTGAGTGCTGTTGTTTTCCGCCTAGTAGTGATCATGCGCCATGCTTCAAATTCAAATTCAGAGTGCAGCACTTTTTATTTTCGGTGGATTGCTGCAAGTTGCCTGTTTCTTTCCCTTTTCTTAAACCAAGTCTTCAACAAGCCGTCTTTCTCGAATCGTTGAAAGATAAAACATGACGGGTGTGTCCGAAAGCGTACCTTCGAATGGGTAATGCATACACATAAGTTTATGTCTTTTTGAAGGGGGAGGAGCAGCAGAGTGGAGTGGGCTGAATGGGGGAAGCAACAGAGTTTCTTTTCTTCGTTCTTGTACGCAATCCACGTCGTTCTGTGGCATTACGTGTTTCTTCTTCTTTATATCTTACATTTTCTTTTTTGTGTTGAATTCCGGGATATTAGATACAACGAAAGTGTACCTTATTCGCCTGATACAAATTTCGGTACCTGTTCAGTTTTTTCTTTTGTTCTCATAGATATGTAGCCGATTGGTTGCTCTTCGTTACTAATGTCAGCACATACCCCAATGTCTTGTTTCTTATATTTAAACCAAAACAGACGTTTCTTTTGACGATGCGATGAGCAACACAATCACGATTTACAATATGGAGGACGATGAAGATATTGCTGATGATGTAAGACTACGAGGCGATCATGACGTCAAACCCACTTTTTTTTTTATTTGACACACTCAAAAGAACCAAACTACACCAGGGACAATATGATGCTGTTACCGAGGAAATGCATGCCAAAGGTGTTGATATGGTACGTGAGAGGGTGCGAGTATATGCGGTTATGGGGTGGTTGAGATGCCGGTGCTGAGTTTGGGCAAATGGTAACACTTACTACTGCTTCTGCATGAACGCGCGGGCTTTTCTTCTTTCCAAACATTTTGCTACAACACACTTTCAGCAAGGAATAGACTGGGAAAGTCGGCCTGTGACCCGGAAAATGTGGCGCGAAAAGAGGTTAGCAAGCTATTTATTATTTGCCGGATTGGGATTGTGGTTGGAAAAAAAAAACGAAAAGCCGGTCAGATCAGGTTGTTGAAGAAAAGGCAACCGGTCGGTGGATAGAATTGCGGAATATGATAATTACCTGAGCTTGGAGAATCCAGCTGATCCATTGCGAACAACGGTATGTGTTGCAGACTGGGAGATGGAAGAAGAGGAGGGCACTTGTTATTTCCAGGCGATGTGTAAAGCACGTATCCATGTTAACTGTGCCTTTAACTTTATCATAGGATATAAAGAAAATATCCAGTGATCAACAGTATTATTCGTTCAAATACGCCAAATTAAACGAACGCTGTAATATTGGCCATTTTCAACTGCGCAATTTACTTTGGGCAACAAGTAAAAATAACGTATATTACATGTGTAAGCTCTGAAGGGAGAGGGATGTCCTCCTGCGAAATTAAAGTATTCACGACAAATGGTCTGATCTACTATGTGTATGTAACGGCTTGTAGATGAAGATAGTGTTCGGCAATGGTCTCCTCAACTCTGTAGTAGTCGCGAAATATTAAATGTACGGACAGCCAACGCTCCACAGAGTCGCATTTTCACTATTAGCAGCATGGCGTGCGCTGAAAACATATTGTTTACTGGTGGATCTAAGGGTGAATTTGCATGTCGAAGGCTGGATGATATGACCGCCCCGGTCCACTATGGTATCACTACCGAGCATATTAATGGGATTTCAAACCACATCCATATCACTGAGAGTCTAATTGGAGGTATGTAATATACAGCTAGCAAGGGATCCGATCATTTATAAGATTGGAAGGAGCCATTTTTGCCGCATATTAAAAAACTCTAGATGCTGCGGCATTGCTTTGCTTATTTTTCAAGGAATTAAAGCGATTGTATCAAGCAATGATATGAAGACACGCTTTATAAACATGGATACGCTGGCAATAGAAAACACAATTTCGTTTCCGTTCCCGGTTAACGTAAATGCCTGTGACTTGAAAAACTGGTACCATGTCTTTTTGCTTAATATCCCTTTCTCTCTTTAGTGTTCGTCTCTATGTCCCGACAAACGTATCATGTGCGTCGTCGGAGACGCTACCGAAACAATGATTGTTGACTCTACTACTGGAGCAGGCATCCACTCAGTTGATGAACACAGCGACTTTTCATTTGCTTGTTGTTGGAGTCCAAATGGTATAATGTTTGCCACCGGGAACCAGGACAAGACAACGAGGTAAGGCTGAAGAAGCCTTGTACTATTAAAATTTGGTTGAAGAAAATAGATCCAAGTAAAATGTGTTATTCTTATTACAAGTTTTTCAACTAAAGAATATACGACATTCGATATCCATCGCATGCACTACATGTACTTGGAGGAAAAGCTGGTGCTATTCGCTCTCTACAGTTCTCTAATGACGGCAGATTCCTTGTTGCAGCAGGTATATACAATTTAAATTGCTATTATTACAGTCAGGATATGAAAACAGTTAAACTCCACGATATATTATAGAGCCTATTGATTTTGTCCACATTTACGACACAAAGCTATTTGAAAATAGTCAAGTTATTGACATGTTTGGTGAAATTACGGGTGTCGGTAAGTGGTAGTTCTAGTGGTAGTAGCTGATCGAGGATGTATAAGAGGAGCACTGAACCCGTCTTTTCAAATATATATACCACCATTGCAACTATTTTTGGAGTAGCTATTACGCCAGAAGATCAAGCATTATATATTGCTAATGCAGAAGAACGTATATTAATAGCAAATTCAGAGTATCGGATAGGGTAAGCTTGATATCAAAGGTGTTGTGTTTCACTATATAGGAGACTAATTAAGTTGCGCTTCCATTACAGTGGTATTTTTGAGTTTCAAAGGGATGAGGATTCACCGTCAGCTTTCTACTTCTGAGAGAAACTGTTTCTTCACCAACTCAATCATACAATTCCCTCCCTATAAATATGATACCTGCATATATGTAACATACACTTTTTTTCTTTTCTCCCATCCCACCTTATACAACTTCTCTATCATTCCAAATCGCACACTCACGCACACGACAACATGCACACAACATACCCTATAATACCCTCACTCCTCCCACAGACAGCAGTACTTTCTTTCATTTTCTTCTCGTAACCATTATATCTGTAAATCCATAGATCTGAAAACAAAGCTTTTCTGCTTTTCTAATTCTTTTCTTATCAATCGTGCTACGACTGGGAGAACAAAGAAGAAACACGAATTTATTTTATAGTGCTTCGGTTACAATAACTTCAAAAGTGCCATCCGGCAAAGTTACAACATCCACATCAGTCAAATAACGGACAACATATGTAGCATTGGCTTCCTTGAGCTGCTCAGCAGTATGTGTGGTTGTACATGCAATAGATTGCATTCCAGCAGCGGTAGCTGCTCGGACACCAGCAGGTGCGTCTTCAAAAACAATGCAATCCTTTGGATCAGCGCCTAAATTCACTGCAGCCGCAAGATATCCTTCAGGGTCTGGCTTGCCACGTGTAACCTGTGAATAAAATGGTCAGCAACAAGTTAGGTATGACAAGCACTATAAGCATAACCATCTTTTCCGCAAAACGCCGACACACTCTTATCATCTTTTTCTTGCATTCCTTTCTTCCTCAGCCGACCCAACTTGTAAAACTTACAGTATCGCCAGTCGACATTACAGTAGGGACGGCCATGCCACACTGACCCAGACGTGTTTCTGCCATAAACTTGTTTCCAGCAGTACATATTCCCATTCGACCCAATGGGATCTTCTCCAGAAGAGCAGTTACGCCGGGTAATACACTTAGACCTTCTGTTTTTTGTGCAAGCTTTCGTTCGTATTCCTCAGCGACTTCCAGCGTAGCCTTGTGTGGAACCCATGCGGCGATCGTCTCGATTGTTCGACGTCCATGACTGCTAGCCAAGATCTAATATTATTTTGGTCAATTCATTTCAAAGTAATCCAAAAGAGCTGACACTCTTTGCGAGTTATTGACAACTGGTTACAGCAAAAAGACGATTCAAACCTTTTCAGCATCAAGATCGTGTTCCAAAGCAAAGTCGCGCCAATGCTGCTCGACCAATGGGGTTGTGTCAATAAGTGTGCCGTCCAAATCAAAAACAAAGGCTTTGGCTCTTAAAACGTTCTTGGGCAGTAGACTCATTGCTTCTATGGTGTTAGAGAAATTGAAGAAACAAGTTGCTAAACGTTCCCCCAAAGTATATGAAGTGTTTGAACGCTAGAAACTAGCGGGAAAATGACGGGATCCCGAATCCGCAGGATTCCGCGGATAGTGATTTACCGGCAGAGCTTACCTAATTTTATCCCTGGATGAAGGGTTCTCTCCGACGTCAGCAGCGACAGCAGCGCTGATACACCTTGGTAATAATTTTTCAAGTGTCATAGTGTTGTAAATCCAATAACTCTTCTTTTAACAACGGCTCAACCGCCTATCACATACCTGACGCGCTATAGACTACAATTAAGACAATTAAAATACGTAAGTAGTTTGGATGGATATACGGCGTACTACTGTTGTGAATGGGTGTGAGAACAAATCAGAACTTCCATATTTTACAAACAGTTGTTCAATATTGAGTAAACAAGAATGATTGTATTGCTATCAGGTGTAAAGACGTTTATAGCTTAGGAGCAGAACAGGGAGGTCCTGAGCCACTTCCGTTTCCCAAAGGTTCCGCGGAACTGTGAATTGCCCAATTTGAGTTTCCGTACTTTATTGTTGAGTCTTAATATCCAAGACATGAAACAAAATATGGCTTTTGCATGAGTGTATATAACAAGGAGGAGAAATGTGCGTGGATTGGGAAATGAAGAGATAAAATTACAAGTTTTGGAGTGTACACAAGAATAAATGACGATAAAGAAAAGGGTGTGCGAAATAAGGAGAATGAGAGGGCAAGGAAAGGCCAACATACAGGAAAGAATAATTTAGTTGGTAGGCTAATAGACAATGTATACCGGTGGACAGTGTTAAAGAGACTCAAGATATACCTCACCAAGGATTGAGTAATGGAACAAAGGATGACCAGAAGTCGGGCAACATACATGATGATCCTTTTCTAGATAGTAATCATATCTTCAATACTACTTGATGACACATTATGGTGAAGAAGAGGCCACAAAGCATAGTAAAAAGAAAGGCGTACCACCTATAATGTAATATTAGCAGAGTGAACACACATGTCAGTATTATACTTACAAGATCCTTTCCCCCTTCTTTCAAGAGACACTCTTCCCTATAACCCTCGAAAACAAAAAGAAAAACTTACAGTTGGCGGGAATCCCACGCGGTACTACGCGACATGGGGGGCGACAGCCACAGCTGGACTACATAGAGCACCACACAACAACTATTAGGAAAGAATAATAACTCTGTATTTCCTGTAATGTGTGGTACCTCTCTCGTAACATAGAAAATGTGGAACGCATCATTTGAAGGGAGCTCGGTAATGCATTTCTGTCTTGTTCAGCTTGATCCGGACCCAATACGTGTGAGCATATGCCGCAGTACCGTCTTCCTGTGCTTAGCTGTTAGACCACAATGCACAATGGGATTAAATAGAGGGGTCACTGGATATAGGAACTATTTGGAGGTACTATACACCATAAAACCGCCAAGTTATCATAGCAAGTGATGAACATGATTAAAAGAGAAATTCAACAAGCAGCACTCGAAGTGTCATGCATTAAATGCTAGTAGTTGTTGTGTATATTAGATACTCTCAAATTCAATTTTTCTGCACGGTAGTACTTGCGCGAATCGATCAAGATAGCCAGGCCGTTTCCGGGGTATCACCGCAAGATAACGCATAAAGATGGCTTGTGTTGGCTCCGATACTCGATTGACTACGAAAACAATATATTGCTATAGATAAAACTGGGTTCAAGTCGTTGCTATGGTTTAATCATTAAATTAAATGCGGGTTGTCAAGGAGTATTATCATTTGCAATGGAAAACAGCGAAAACAGAGTCCTAGCAGGCGCTGGTATTTGAAGTGCTTGAGAAGAGTTAAGACTACAGTGACTTGCATAAATGTGGTGATAGATCCTGGAACAGACGGATGAGAACTTCGTTCAAATTTTCAAACCAAAACCGGTCTTTACATAGGCATACGATACTTAATAAACTTTTTACTGTCAAAAGTGCGCTAGTAACACCTATATCACCTTCAACGGTGTGCTACGCACAATTTATGCGTAAGTCAATTGTCTGCTACAGTCATAAACACATCTGGTATTAAACTATGCCCATCGAATCTACTCCCTGAGTCCACACGGGTCCAATCCTCTACAATACGATGATATTGCGTCGATGATATCATTTAGATGGTTCACTCAATGCTTTTTTATTTAAACATATATAGCGAGATGATGCTTAGAATCTCAGCTTGCTGAAGAACCACTTGTTCTTGCCGGTCTGATATCTTTCCTCGAAAAGCTTCTTGATGACCTGTTCGCGCAACGAAAACAAAGCAATTTCAGTATACTGCCACTCTTACACATTTCACCACTAACATCATCAGAAAAGAATGGAAACATTGTTTTACCTTCTTGGATTCAGTGCGCTGGGTGGCATCCTTGAAAGTCTCGGCGGAAACAGTGCCCTTGACCTGCTCCAAGTCCAAAGCATAGCTATAAAACGCAACAGCAAAAATAATCATATAAATATTTCATTTACACATGACGCTACTTTTCATGTCTCATAAGCGATAATTACCGGGTGGGCATCATGTGGTTGTAGTTCACAATCTTGACGAAAGGCTTGACCTTGGAACGCTTGGCAAGCTTCTTCTTGCCCATAGCCTTGGTCACCTTCAAGGGGTAGCGCTCAACACCGGCAACGACAGCATAACCATAGGGTCTGTCCTTGGTACCTTCGTCGTGGTCTAATGGTTTTTCCAATCGATTTAACTATTAATACACCATTTATAACCATATTTCTCCACTATCCCAAGGACAATAACTCTCTCTCCCAACCATCAGCTTCACTGGCGCGTAGATAGGTAGAAACTGTTATTTGTGACATTCTCTTCACTCCCATTAATCGTCCCAATGAAGTAACGAAAAAGTGAAAAATGATGCGTACTGCGAACGACAACGGCTTTCTTGCCGGCATAACGACCCTGCAAGATAACGACAACCTATCAAGAAGAGTAACGCAAAGATAAATTGTTAATAAATTTAGTTCTGACATTCCCACCGTAATTGGAACATTTTTGAACTTTTGCACTTTTTTCGTCGTGTCATATCCGGATATATTCGTCCATCCATCCATCCATGTATCAATCCGTATGGAGGGGAGATATATCCATCATTAACTGAATAGTGCTGTGTATATGGAATTCATTTACTATAACATACTTTGCCAGCCTTGATGAATTTCACCATCGCAAAGAGTGGATTTTAGAAGAGGGTGTGTACAGGACAGCGCTGCATCTGTCCTGATCATGGCGCTTCTGCCAATCAAATTCCGTCATTTTTGGGGCCTCATGCATTTTTTGATATTGCACCTCACTCAGCAGCTGTCAAATCAATGAAAGAAAAGGTATCACAATTCTTAACATTTGCTTTTATGATAGAAATATTGACAATGTAAGCGTATATACTGCATGCATATAGTTGCTTTTAGGAGATTTTACTTTGTCATATCCAGATAACAGTATCACGACAACCATATATGCCCTACACTTTTTCCTAGCTGTATGCTGCGATCAGTCTCTTATCTCAGTTTCACGAAAATAACAAGGTCAAAGGGTACCCAACTGGAAAATAAGGCTTGCTGATCCATTTGTACAATAGAAAGAGTTACTGTTCTCACTTTTATAGAAAAACCCCAATCAGGTGTTTCGTCCAGCATATCCCTGAGGAGTTAGATACTTCTCTCCCACCTCAAAGGCATGAGCATGCTTCTTTGAGTGTTAAGGTAATAGGTCATGCTACGCGATTCTGATACATGCTTGATATTTTCCATGAAAAGAGAAATGCGTGATTAAAAGTATTGTGTGGTTCCCATTTTCTGTTTGTAAATGACTTTCATCTACAGTTGTACCCCGGTTTTTGCAACCGAGGGTTTTCCGATTTTTTTTTGCAAAAAGTGAGGATTTGCAAGTAACGGGGTAAACAATTCTGCTTTAAGTATACACTGGATAAGTCATCCTATTAACACTAGCCCATTGTTTATCTGTCAGAGATGATGTACGATACGTTCTTTGGGAATATTCATACAGCTCTAGATGTTACTACTTGCATATATAAGACCGTTCTTTCATTGAAGCTGTCTAGTGGTTTGATAATTTTTAGCTATTTTAAGCATGACAAAATCGTTCCACAAGTTCACATCCAAGCAAGAGGATTGAACGTACGACGAGCACTTGAGCGGGCGGTGGACCAAAGCGCTGATTCGCCTATTCCAGGGCCAACGTCGAAGGAAAAACAGGTTGCAATTGCAGGAGTTTTGAGCTTTTTTGATAATATCGATAACTACGACTTAAAGAAGTCTTTGCGTAGGATTCCAGAGAGTCTCAGGCAGCAATCAATCTCCCGACAATCATCCCTTGATGACTTCTTCGATATGTAGTTAAAAGCTCCTTTGAGCAAACATTTTATTTCTATATCTATATGTAGTGTGTTCCCTTTTTCTTATACAGTATCTTCATCATTTCTTTTGTGGATTCAATCCAATCAGTGCTATATATGTGTCCCGATTCTACTGGCTCAACTACCAAATGATAATTTTTATGTATTTCGACAATAAATACATCTTCATATTTACATATTTATCTTGCAGTAACCGCATCATTTTATTCCTCATAATCCGCAACAGATCCTTCTTTCAGTTGATATTGCAAAAATTGAAGCTGTTTTCACCCCGATAACATGCAAATCGTATAAACTCATTTGCAAGTTGCAAATTTGCGAAACTACTAAGTTTTTTTTGGATTTTTCAAAAAAAGTTGCAGATATACGAGGAATTGCAAAACCAGGGGTTGCAAAAACCGGGGTACAACTGTATATATCATTTTTTGTTTATGCGAATAAATTAGCTTCTTCTCCTCGTTATGTATATGCTGTGACAATGATAAAACCACAAATCTGTCTGTTTGCCTGCAAACAGCAGTCGTGGATACATGGCAAACGACTGGGCAGTTTTGGTCATTCGCATTTTGACTCGAGAAGAGTGTACACGAGAAACCCACTGTTGATATACATGCAACTACGTTGCCCTGTGTGTGTTTTTGAAATGATGATTCGAGTTGATTCTCACTATCTTTAAGAGCTTTATAGCACAGCTCTTTAAACAATTTACTGTATCAGTAGAGAAATGGTGCTAGTTGACAACAGAGACAAAATCGATTGCACGTCTTCTGCCAACAATGCTGGAACAATGATTGCTCGATTGCATAGCAGTGCGCCAACTTAAAATCGACGGGATTAGAAAATGAGAGATCCACACGCGCCAAGGCCTTTTAACTTGTAGTCGCTCGCTTGCGTATTGCTTTCTTTTGCTTACGAACGCTAAACGTAATGGCTGACAAAAATGCTGCTGCTGAAGGCGTTAAAAACTCCAGTGGTGACAAACAAGTACATAGCTTTCTAAAAAAAAGAGGTGGCGTAGGATAGTAGCGTTGAAAAGAGAAACCAATTCACAAGTGATACATCTTTTTCTTTGATCTTGTAGGCTCCGTCTCGGAAAAGCAATGAGAATTCGGAAGAGAAAGTAGGAGCCGGAACTGCAGACGCTTCAAATAAAAGGGAGTCGTCTAGCAAAGATTCTCGACGGAGCTCCTGGAGACGTGGAGGCGGCGGAAGTGGTAATCGCGATGGTCATGGATTCCGTGGCGCACGAGGAGGAGGTCGTGGACGTGGACGTGGTCGTGGTCGCGGTCGCGGTGGCGATTCGTACCATCGCCGTCAAGGATCAATTGTTAGAGACAACACCAAAGAAGACATTGCTGAATACAACGACAACGCCGACGAGCAGCATGAGGCCGGCAAAGCTGGGAAGGTAGACAAGTCAAAGAATATTGCTACAACTGCGGTCGAAAGTGTTACACAGCCAGATGCAGGAGGAACCGCAGCAGCCGACATCACGCACGACGCAACAGAAGCACACAACGGCAACACTGCACAAAAGAAAAAGCATAAAAACAAGAGAAAAGACAAGAAGGAACAGCAGCAGCAAGAGCTAGAAGAGGAATCAAATGAGGCTGCTCCACTGACAAATGGACCCAACGCGCAAGCGACCACCGAGCAACCAAAAAAATCAAAAAAGAAGCAGAAGCAGCAGCAATCAAAGGATGCATCACCAGCGGATACTAAAGAGCACGTACGGGAATTTGGCGAGAAGCAAGTGTCTACAGATCGACTAAAGGTGGACGATGAAAAAGGAACTGCAAAGGAATCAATTCAGCAAGCATCAACAGATGAAAAGAAAAAGAAGAAAAGAAAGTCAAAGAAAGAGAAGGACGCATCTGTTGCAAAGACGACAAATGAACCGGTCGGACAAAGCGATGAAAACACTACACCTCGAGAGTTGGAAAACGCAGCAACAGAGAAAACTGCTGACAGCAAGACAGCAGCAGAAGGATCCGGCGAAAGGAAATCTAGAAAGAAAGGCCGTGATCGGTCCGAAAAGGAGAACAAGAAGCATCACCAGCAGCCACTGCCGACGGCAACTCGGCAACAGAAGTTTGGCGCGTCTCTGAGCAACCGGATGCGACATATGGCACGCGATCGCTCGATCCCAATTGAGATCAGCGAGTATTCACAGACTGGCCGAGGACGCCCCTACCGACCACCGTACGTGTCAAATCCAAGATCGATGATGCTGCACACAAACACCCGTAAGCAAGAAGAGGAGCCTCTCGTACTTCCGACCGATGACGGTGAGATTCAACAGTATCACTTTGCGTCAGATCCGTACGATTTTGAGCCGCAGTCAAATGAATCGGATGGTGACCGTGTGCTTTTGGAAACGGTTATTGAACGTCGGCCTCCCAAGAAAGAATTAGCACCTCGTAAAGGCAGTAAGTGGTTGGATTTATCGTAAAAGATTACCTAGCTGATGAGTAATAACATCGTCTTCTCATATCATGCAGAGACTGTTTCTAGACCGTACTTGCATCCTGATGACCGCAATCCGCACAACCGCAAGAACTTATTTTCATCATATCTGAATCCTGACACAATCCTGAAGGAAATCGAGGAAGGAAAGTTAATACGTGGAAATTTACGCATCAACAAACGCAACCGGTCCGATGCCTATGTTACATCTGACAGTCTTGACCATGATATCTTTATTTTTGGCCAACGCGATCGAAATCGTGCACTCGACGGTGACGTTGTTGCGGTTCGCTTGCTGGACGTGGAGAAGATCTGGGACTTGAAAAAGGACAAGATGCGTAAACGAGAGACTGAAAAAGCGGCTGAAAAAGCAGCAGCCAACAACCACAATGATGATGATGCCAACAAAACCGAGAAGAATAACCGAGAAAATAACATCGACGATAGTTACAATAAACATAACGATAGCAAAAAGACGGATGCAGCGGAGAACAACTCGACGACACCTTCTGCTGAAGACGATGTTGTACAAGAAGATGAACCAAATCTGGAAGAAACAGGGGAAGCAGAGGTGGATGGGCCCGATAGCTTTGATAAAGAAGCGGACAAAGCCAAACCGAAATATTGTGGCGAAATCGTTGGTATATTGGATCGACCTAAAAATCAAAAGTTTGCAGGGTACGTTTACCGTTCTCTATTTCATTAAATGATCCCTTAGTAGCACGAACCAGCACTATCAAGTTTGCATATATATATATCTGCTCGCTAATTAATGGTTACGAAACTAGAATCTTGTTCGTGGAACGGCCTCAAGGTAACCGTGAACAAAAAGAAAACAACAATGACAAAGTCAAGCAACAGCAGCAAACGAGACTCGTGTGGTTTAAACCTACCGATAAACGAACGCCTCTTCTTGCCATTCCGGTGGAACGTGCTCCTATGGATATTTTTGCCAACGCTGATAAATACGAAAACTATATTTTGACAGTATGTGTCCTACAGCTCTCCTAATCCGTCGTTTATCACCAAAAGTACTAACCTAAGGCGATCAATGTCAAAAAACTAGGCAACCATTACCAAGTGGCCGATCCATGAACAACATCCTTTCGGTGAGATCACTGGGTTCCTTGGTCCCGTGGGTGCTGTTGTGTCGGAAACACAAGCTATTCTCGCAGATAATCAAGTCAAGGATGTACCATTCTCAAATCATGCACTTGAAGGTCTGCCCAAAACGCCTTGGAAAATTCCTCAAATCGAATACAAGATCAGACGTGATTTGCGTGAGACCCGTATATTCACCATCGATCCTTCCACAGCCAAAGGTAATATGTTTTCTCTTTACTCATGCTTACTTTGACATAAATACAACAACCATTCCTTCTCGCGCACTAAATATCATGTCTTCTCATATAGATTTGGATGATGCTGTTCACGTCTTGCCACTGGATGATGGGAACATTGAAGTGGGTGTCCATATTGCAGACGTGTCTTATTTTATTCGCAAGTATAGCTCACTCGACAGTGAAGCACGCGAGCGTGGAACTAGTACATATCTCGTCGATCGAGTTATTCCTATGCTTCCAAGCTTTCTCTGTGAGGAATTATGCAGTCTGAATCCTGGCGTTGAGAGGTAGATGTGATAACCATTTACATGCATACATATAGTTGTTTTCTGATGACGACTTTTTTGTGCTCTGATAGACTCGCTTTCTCGGTGATATGGAAGATGGATGGTACTGGCAATATTTTGGATACTTGGTTTGGAAGAACCATCATCAAGTGAGTCTATGATCATATCTTTTCTAATTTGAATGATTGATATGGCAATGAACTCACTCTGTCCAACAATTCTCATCTTGTTCCACCAATCAGATCATGTGCTAAGCTAGCATATGATGATGCGCAGAGTGTCATTGATGGTAACGGACTCCCCAAAACAACTATTACAATGGGTCAATCTCGCCGCTCTATTGAAGAGGATATCATTTCTTTACACAAACTCTCAAAACACATGCGAAAGCGACGTTTTGAAAACGGTGCCTTGTCGATCAACTCGATCCGTCTTTGCTTCAAGCTTAGCCAAGACGGCGAACCCGAAGATGTCTGGGTTTATGAATTAAAGGAAGCGAATCGACTTATTGAAGAGTTTATGCTTTGTGCCAATATGAGTGTCGCTCAAAAGATTTGCAGCCATTTCCCTGACGAAGCTCTTTTACGTCGTCACGAGCCACCCATCGAAAGGCGACTGGTTCGTAATTTTCGTATGACTCTTTAATATTCCCTGTGTATGTAGCTTAGTCTTATTGATTGAGCTTTTGTATATTCTGTTTGCAGACTGAATTTTTAATGCTATCTGACGAACTGGGATATCACTTGGACGGATCAAGCGCTGGAAGTTTACAGGCATCCTTCAATGCTATTGAGGATGAAGATGTGCGATCAGTGCTTACTGTGATGGCGATCAAGCCTATGCAACGTGCCAAATACTTTTGCACAGGTACCTTGGATATATCAAAGTACACCCATTATGCACTTAACGTTCCGCTGTATACCCATTTCACGTCGCCCATTCGCCGGTATGCGGATGTTATCGTTCATCGACAACTGGATGCAGCGCTCCGAAATGCAGGTAAGTTTTTTAGGATTCACACAAAGTATAACGACGCATGATACACTAAACAAATTTCTCCCTGATTGGACTATTGTATCTTGTAGACTCGTGTGGATACAGCAAGAAGGACACACAGGCCATTGCCCTGCAGTGCAACCGGTGTCGCGACGGTGCCAAAAATGCACAAGATCAGAATATTGAACTTTATCTTGCGCGCCATCTACACACTTTGGAACAAACACGAGGACCTGTCATTCGCTCAGCTGTTGTTGTACAAGTTATAAGCGATGCTTTTGATATCATCGTTCCCGAATACGGCATTGAAAAACGAATTCATACAGATGCTCTGCCTCTACACCGTCACGCATTCGACGCGTCATCTCTGTCAATGGATGTCTTCTGGAAGAAGGGTGAACCTGTGATCAACATGGCAGAAGGAGGTGAGGAAGACATACCGCGTGACCGCGCTATGTCTGATGAAAAGGTCGATGGTCAGGACGCTATTGAGCAGCAATATGTCGAAGATGACGACGTTGACGATCCGCCGTGCCCTGGCATCCCTGTTGCAAAGCCTACTGTTGCCCAAGCGGTTCCGTGTGAAGATATTGATGCATCCTTGGGAATGCAGCGGTTTAAGGTCTTCACCACTTTCGATGTGCTGATACGAGTCAATTTGCAACGGTCTCCTCCGATCATCAATGTTTATCCTATCAATCCATTCGCAGAACGGCCGTGAAAAGGGCTCCAGTTGCGTCTGAATCTTGGTGTATCAGATGGGATTTTCATTTGCGAGCAGACACATTTGTGAGCCTATACTTGTATGAACCAAATTTGCCAAAAAACATCTTCTTTTGTTTGTTTGTTTTTTATCGATAATAAAAATCCAGGATGTACATTATTCTTATTAAAAAAAAAGTATTTACATGTTGAAAAGTACCAGCGAACACGTGTACAGTATGTGGTTGAGGAGAATAGCAGTAGTAGGTTTTGGATCTTTGATAATAATTTTATGTATTACGCCGAAAATGCAAGTTTATATGCTTCTGGAAGTCGGTTCCGTAAAAAGATATCCGTTTTGTTTTCGTGTTCACGATCTTCTGGAGAGAGCTTTACCTTGGTAGGGAAATCATCTGCCAGGTTTTCATAGATTAAATCCACAACCACAAAGCTGAAAGTCACACTGATGATTAATGCAACGAATAAACCCGTTTCCCCGACCTTAACGCTCTCAATCATCGTGGAACTTTACCTGTCGACACCGGTCTTTTGCACGATTGTGATGCTCTTTATTGACTCTTCGTGTGTCGTTACAGACGTTTGGGCATTTGTTTGACCACATAAAGCCTGCATCGCTTCATATTGTGCGCGTCGTCCCACGTAAGCAAGCAAAAAATCGTGAAGGACGCGGATAAAAGCCTAAATAACCAACAATAAGATTTTCAGGATCCACATATTGTTAGAAAGAAACAAGGCTACTGAAAGAAGAGCAAATATGAAGGGTTGAACTCTTACATTCATATCACGAGGAAAGAACGCTTTACTGATTTTTTCAACGGGGATAAAGTTGGGAATAGTGTGTTTAGATATCTCGAAACCTGAAAAGTCGGTCCTATCGGTTATCTGGCCTTTCATTATGGGTAGTAGTAGCAGGTAGTATGGCTCATAATAAGTCTCTGTAAATCGAGTTCCATAAAGCCTAGTTAGTATATTTCATCTTCTCTTCAAGCAAATAAAAAAGTAGAATGCAACTCACGCCCATAGAACGTCTCAAAGCGAATACCGCGATAGCGTTGGAATGTAAACAGCGTCTGACCAGCGAGCCGATAATATCCAATTAATTCTTGGACACATCGTGCTTTGACAGCCTCCATCAGTTGGCTCAAGATCTACATGTTTAAGGATAAGGGTAACATTAGGATAGGTAATACCGGGAAAATGGTTTCATTATATACCTCCTGTTGTTTATCAAGTAATTCTGATGCCTTATCTCGTGTTGTATCTTAACCGATAAGAAGCACGTTAGTATCGCGTCATTTTTTGGGCAAGGTTACTTGTTCTGCTCGTTTAACTGCTGCTGTACCTTTGATTTCTGAGGAAAGTTTAACTGTAGCGATATATGCAATATCTTCTTCCATGATCTCCCGCTTGAGCTTTTCTTTTTCTTCATTAGCTCGTGACACTTTAAATTGTACATTAATAAACGTGGATACATCAAGTGGAAAAGTTATTAGAACAGCAGTACTGAAAGGTGTTTGGGAGAATGAAGTGATTTATCGCGCCTAAATAACTTCAAAACTTACGTCGTTTCCGTAATTCGGCTAATTCAGCTTTTACTTGATCTTGTCGAGTAGGAAGGCTTTTGTAAAAGTTCAGCTTGAATGTAGAAAAATAATATCCTTTATTCGGTATAATAGTACACAACTTACAACAGGTTTGGATCCATTTTGGCGAAAACGAAGTTGGGAGGTGGGGTGAAGGGGTTTGAGAAAGGCAGCTGGTAGTTCCAAAAAGGAAGGAAACGGAAAGTGTAACGTCGCGCGTCCGGACGCGTTTTATATTTTTTTTAGCCTTTTCTCCCTGCGTACACTTTACGCATAAAAAATAATAATGACAGAAGTGAACTATGACTTGATTAAATCAGATCATTTTTACAGTACACTGAAGAGGCATGTCTGTTCCAATTTAGAAATACAGCTGATTGCATTATACCGAATTGTAGCCACCAAAACCTAACCATTTCCTGCGCCTATATGTGTATATAGCTCTATACGAGATGGCGATCCAAAGTATTTTATTATAAATTATATTACTGACTAATAAATTAAACGATAGCGGTGGACTCACTAATCATACGAATCTCACGTTCCTGTTCGGTATAAAGTGTTCTAACCGCACTCACGGTACGACGCGATCTCGAAGAACGCATAGTAAGTCTGTAGAGCTCTTTTATTGTTTATTTGCTTATGCGTAAACGCTAACATCTCGTGTGCATTTTTGTCTGTGTGTAACCTTACTTACTGCCAGGGTCTTGAAGAAGGTTCATTAAGCGAAAAACCTTGGAAGCAACTTGTCAACAAGCTAATTGACCAAGCATTGGTGAGTTAAACACATCACTGATTCTGTACGCGAAATTGTATGAGATATCGTTACTCAATATAATACGAATGCAACTGTCTATTAGGGCGAGGTACACGATGAGCAACAAGAAGAAGATGAAGAAAAGGAGCCAAAGCCGGAACCGATGAAGGAAGAGGATGATACAAGCAAAGATAAGGAGCAGCCTCATCCGGAGAGTCCGGGTACTGCCAAAATTAAACACGAGGAAAAGGACGAAAAAGAAGTACGGACTTCCACAGCAGAAAAGCAAGAGAGCGAAGAAAGTGATTCGTATGAGGAACCAGTAGTGATAAAGAAGGAAGCATTAACCCCCGAGAAGAAAAAGAAAAAACGTGCAAAGAAGAGTGATACTGCGGCGCCTTCAAAAACAAAGAAATCGTCCAAGACAACAAAAGCCGAAAAGTCACCAGAACCGGCAGCAACAACGTCTGGGCACAGTGGATCCGATAGTGACGATGATTTAGTAGTAGGATCGTCTGCAACAACAAAGTCGAAAGGAAAAGGCAAAAAAACAGAGGATTCTAAAGGGGTAATGACGCACTTACGCGTTGGATGGGCTTTGATATACCTGTCATGTGCTCTTATGCAGTGTATAGTATAAGCAGTAACACCTATTTCCTTACTTTCCTTACAGTCATCAGCAAGCGAAGAAAAGATTAAACGGTTGAAAATGTATATCAACAAATGTGGCGTCCGCAAAAAATGGTAAGACTGCTCAGAATAAGAGCTGATGGTGGGGGAGCCTTTCTGTGTGTTTGAGCTGTCATTGTTGGTAATCACGGATAACAAAACGCTTCCTAGGGTCACGGAACTTGCTGGAATGAGAGTGGGCCAACAAATTGATAAATTACAATCAATACTTCGGGAGCTTGGCGTTAAAGGTTTTGTATTCTTCCTTCAATGATCACAGGCTGGGTTAATATTAATCAAATAGAGATGTTGTGGTTGTTTGTATGGGGCTAACAGGGCGTCCGACGTTGGAAAAATGTCAAAAAGTCAAAGCGGAACGAGAGCTTAAGGCTGAAATAGCCAGCTTAAATGCAGAGAACATCCTCAATGAAGACGAGCAAGAAAGCGGCAGACGCACACGACAATCACAGCAGCCCACGAAAAGAAAACGACGAGTGATTTCATCTGATGAAGAAGACGAAGACGAGGAATCGAATGACCAGCCACCGTCTAAAGTAGGTTTATTTAGCTCTCTTTAATATGTTTGCCTCTATTTGATCGACGACTCACCAACCCATACACAATTCAAAACCTATAGACTGCAAAAGCGTCATCTCCTGGGCTGGACCTGTCATTTCTTGGCGATCAAAGTTCAGAAAGCGATTGATGTATAATCAAAAACTATTTACTATGTCACTACTCGGCACCGAATTACTTAGCTAATAACCTAAAGCTGAAAGATTGATAGCGGCTATAAATAAAGTAAATAGTGCTTTTTGTTCAGGGAGGTAGGGGAAACACAACTCAGGCTACATGGCGTGCTTAAAAGACGCAACAAAATGGATTTTGAGTAGAGAGTGTACGTGAAAACCGGCCTGAGCACTGAAAAAAAAACCGAGTTCTCAAATAATCAAAAGGGACGCGATTACTCATGCGTGTAGTAATAGATGCATGGGATTGAAGGGTCGTAGTAGTGTCTATAGCAAAGACTGTGAATTAAAAACGTGCTTTATTTCATTGTCGATATACAGTATGGCCGTGCGTGGTTGCATGTCAAATATGAATTGTGTTCCAACTGCTGGTCTGGTAAGGGGCTTGAGAGCTTGGGGGGTAATAGATCTCTGGACTATTTGCATGGTGTCATGTACATGAATTTACGAGAACAAAATCTTGTCGTTCCTTTGGTTCGCAACACTATCATACATAAATGTTACATGGTCTTCAACAAAAGTCCTTTGTTTTTCACGACTCCGTCTCTGTTCTCTTGTCTTTCCCGCTTTCCACTTCTTTTCTTTCTCCTCCTGTCTCCCAGCCTTTTTCAAGATATAAAATATAGTCAGCACCCTTTATTTCACATCCGTTAACTTCCAACCCTCAATGACTTACTGAAATCCTGGGAATGGTAAGAATAACATAATAAATATTCACCTCCCCGCATATTTCACTTTGAACAGATCATTCCGGGTTGAAACCTTATCGATTTGTATCTCTCTATCTATAAGAAATGACTTATCCTTGGCAACTATCATACCACAGCGTGTGCACTAAACTGGTGAATCGTTCTTGATGATTATATAGAGGAAAAGGTCAACCAGGTAAAAAAAATATAGATTATTTGATTTACAGTGGTTCCCCGTTTAATTTCAACCTCAAAGAGGTCTACAAAGTGCTGAAACTACTGAAGGTTGACACAAAACGTGCGTGATTCAAGCAGTGCTTTATGCTCAAAAGGGGTATATAAAGAAGTTGGAATAACTGAGGGTTTATTTTATTGAGAGTAAAATTAAACGGGGAACCATTGTATGTACGTGAGCCATATAGTGACAACTTCTTCCTGAAAACTGGTAATCCGTGTGCAGTACTGTATCACTAAGATGTGTCTGCATATTGCAATGTTCGCGCATGTGAGGCTATGAGGGAGATCACAGCAATCATTAATGACCGAACAAAATAGTATGATGTGTTATTTACTATGTTGGATACAACAGCTGCTGGAATCGGTACGCGCCTTTACTTTACACAATATGGAAAAGTAGCCACAGCTGTGTGTTGCTGTGCAATGGAGCATGTACAGTACGCTTGCTATAGATGGTATATATTTGCCCTGCACTATGTGTAGTTTGTCCTAGTGCTCGTTACTTTCACAATCCGTGTGAATTTAAAGGGAGTCCACTGTAGATAGTTAAGCTTGACTATAACATACTAATGTATCAAGGTTTTAGAGGAAGCAAATAAGCTGCGTTTAAAAAAAAGACATTTAACTCGTATCTTCTTTTATTCTTCCAAAGTTAATGCTCTCGCTTGCAATGGCGTTGTTAAACTATAGGTACCAGGTTCTCAGCTCAGTGTTATAATGAAACCGACCTGATTCGACATTTGTCTCGGTTCCTCGGTTCTCAAGAAGATCCTTGCATATAAATACATTTTAGCCTTTCTTTCTCGGCTTCTTTCTGCTGCAATACATGATGATAATGACGAATATTGATTCCCATCTATTGAATCCATTGACAGTAGATATGTAAGCTGCAGCGCGTCGCTGATATCATTTGCAAAGATCGTGGTTAATTATGTAACCCAGGCATTGATACTGTATTCCTTCGGCAAAAAGACACTCGTTGGTTAAAAGTGCTTACAACCCCCGCTGACTGGTGCTGTAAGAAAAGCAAACTGTAAAAAATTGCACCTTTTTTTATAATTAGTATCTCATACCGATAATATCGTACAGTGGCCGCTCGTTATAGTGATATGCCTGGTGAGACCCAAACCCCATCACTATATCGAATTATTACTTTATCGAATTGTAGTTCCGTCAAAGATATCCGGTACATAGATTACGCGGGGTATTTGGCGAGCTCTGCAGAAGAAGCTCTAGAATCACATCCTGTCAAAATTGATAGTATGCAACTCCTTAAAAATTTTAGTGTAGGAGAATAAGCTGAAAGGCTTCTATCTGATGAGCTTGGTGCTGGCTGCTGGGATTTTGGATACTCATGAGGAAACATGTGGCGTTGATGGTATTGATTTGATACTATATGAAAAATTAGAGGATACCTATGCACCAACTTCCTTCAACGACCTCATTAACGATGCTATGATTATCGATAGAAATTAAGGTACATTCATAAACGGCTGATGTAACTGCATATGTAAAAGTCACGGGCTTGTTTCTGATACAGACAGGTAGATGTTGATGAAGAAGAGAATAACTAGAGAAGACGAGATGAGGAAGGAAGCATTGAAGCCACTGCATAGTAAAGGAGAGAGGAAGCAGTATATGAGCGATTTATTGAAAACAATGGTGGTTGAAGACGACCTGCACGCTCAGTTATATAGGCTTATTAGAAAAAAGATGCATAGACTAGACTCTGAGATATTAACCAGCACAAAGCAAACTGATCTTTTTTCCTTTTCTGATAAATAAAATTATACTATTGGTCCGCTCGATATAATGATATTTCTGATGGTTGATATCACATATCACAATAGCGAATTAGTAATAATTCCCTGCTTAATTTGAGTTGGACCCAATAAACCCATCACTATATCGAAATATCACTATATCGAATATCACTATAACGAGCGGCCACTGTAATTTGTGTTTTACACTAGATACATGTGGCTATGTATGTGATAAATATAAGCTTCACCCAAGGGGCTTATAATGCAATGATATTATCTACCCAGCACACGACGTGCTTCTTCTCGTAGGGTGCACGCGGCGCTAAATCATTTCGGTAATATTGAAAATCGCTGCTTCAGTGTTTAGTACCCATTATTTCAGCGAGAGACGTTCTTTCTCTCATGGCTCGTCAAACGAGAATTAAAAGAACTCTTCAGTTGTTTCTGCGGAAAATTAGCTATTTGTTTAAGAGAAGTGCTACGCGTACGAGTTTTTTTTCTTATGCATACGAGTTTTTCTGAGCGGGTTTTTAAAGTGGTTGTGTTATAAAACCTTGTATAGCCAATCCAATTGCCAGTCTTACACGTACGAGTTTTTTGCTAAATGTACTGAACAGCATATGCGTACGAGGTTTTGTCTACCCATCAGTCTTCCCCTATTTAGATGGCCTTGTCAAAATAGCTAGCTATTGTCCTACTTCTTGATGTAGAACTGCTTGCTAAATGGGTGCAATGGGTTTAATTACGTTGTTCTTTTCGAGATCTTACAGGATTCTGTTCTGCCTCTATACAGTGATGGCATATATGAGTTTTGCATTCCTTCTTTTCTTTAAGTTCTTGGCCTTTTCCCAAAATTAGATGGAACACTAAGCTCGATATCAGGATCCTAATCAATCAAGCAATTCATTTGTTTGTGTGGAGGTAGTTTTCTACCGAGTCCACATAGGTAACAATCACTTATAAAAGAACTCTGGGCAGCGCTCTTTTACGCGTATGGATTTTTTTAACCTGGTTCCACGTAAATCATAAGTAGCGGGGACAAATTTTGACAGTTGTCTGCTTACACGTACGAGTTTTTTCTATGTAAATTATAACTAGCTGGGGTAAATTTTGACAGCTATCTGCTAACGCGTACGAGTTTTCTTAAGCCTGCTTGCAGTGAGTTATTTGTTAATCTGAAGACCGTTCAAACAGCTCCATAGGAAGTGGAAGTTTCATAGGAAACTTGCTCACTGTAATTTCGAGTACTATATGCGTTTCAAATGTAAAAAGACTATGATCTAACATATTAAGTAGAAATAATAGTGAGGATAAGTACTGGCTCCCTACTTCATAACAAGACCAAGACTACAACATTGAAAGATTGCGCCTTACATACATGTCTTACGTCCAAATGATCCTTGCACCAGAAACAGCCATTTTACTTATAGCTGAAGATCTGGAAGAAGGTAGAAGGAGCAAAAATCTAAATGAATGGGATCTAATGCAGATAGAAGGTGTTGAAGATCTCACATCTTATGCACGACTTCGCATGTGGAAAAGTGCACAGTTTGGTTCCAATGTATTTCCAGAAACGTATAAATAGTATCTGACAGCTTTCATTACCTTTTTTCCGATTTTTTCTTGTTGTAACAACCCATTTGTTTATCTCTCCTCCATTTCATTTCTATTTTTCTCTGTCAGACACAATTACTGTTATCCACCTTATATTTACTCTCACATGAATTAGCGTTTTAATTCTCTTATATTTTCTCTTGGATTTTACCTTTTTATACATAAACACTGACTTCTTATCACAGTAGCTTATGTTAAAGGGCTGTTTTACGCGTGGAACCACTATAAAAAAAAACTCGTACGCGTAAAAGAGCGCTGCCCAAAGTTCTTTTTTTATAAATGATTGCTAACTATATGGACTCGGTAGAAAACTCCTCCACATGAACAAGTGAATTGCTTGATTGATTAGAATCCTGATATCGCTTGGTGTGGCATCAAATATTGGGGAAAAGGCCAAGAACTTAAAGAAAAGAAGCGAATGCAAACTTATATATGCCATTACTGTATGGTGGCAGAACAGACGTGTAAGATCTCGAAAAGAACAGCGTAAATAAATCCATTGCGCCCATTTAATGAGCAGTTTGTACATCAAGAAGTATGACAATAGCTATTTATTTTGAGAAGGCCATTCAAAAAAACGGAAGATTGATGGATAGACAAAAACTCGTACGCATATGCTGTTCAGTTCCTTTAGCAAAAAACTCGTACGTGTAAGACCGGCAATTGGATTGGCTATACAAGGTTTCACAACACAACCACTTTAAAAACCCGCTCAGAAAAACTCGTACGCGTAAGAAAAAAAACTCGTACGCGTAGCACTTCTCTTTGTTTAATAATTCTACAGTATCGATATATATATATATAGGCCAGTAGAAAGAAAATAATATTACAATTGATGGAATAGTCATGATATCAAATGCTCATCTCTTTTTCTTTCCGAGTTTTAGTATGTAGGATAACACGATGGACATCATTAATGGAGCTGTGTACTTGGTTGTACCTTGGATATGCACTGCTTGTTTGGCGTCTGTTGTATTCATAAAAATTGCGTTATCACAATTGAGGCTGCCTATTGTATGGAACTCGTTGGGAGAGATGTAGAAGATGATCAATGGGACAGAGGGAGAAGAATGAAAGAATGGGTTTGAAAACCATCATGTTGAGTAATTAATAATTGACATGATGTACTATACAGTCAAGTTCTATATCATGTGAATACTCGTTCAAACTATCTACTGTTCTTTATATCATTTAAACCCCTTTATCATTCAACACTATATTATCAAGAATACATCTTTCTGATAAACGTGAAAGAAATAAATGTTACTCCTAACGCTTCCTATTTGTTTGCGAACAAAGGAGATCCTCGTTGTCGGTAAGATATATTTCATTCGCATTCTGGATCAATAAACACGGCTGCAACGAGATGTTGCAGCCGAGTCAATTTGGGCTCACTTCAACTGTACATAAACAGAAACAACGCAGCAAATTGGCCACAAAGTTTGATAAAAAGACTTGCTCGCCTTTATTGACTTGATGCCCAGCTGTTGATATAGGTCAGCATGGCCAATACGATTGCGCCGAGCAGATGCGATGTGTGTGACACTATTGCCTCCTTTTCAGGATTAGTACCGAGATATTTATACGAAAAAAAGATGAATGTGTTGCAATAAAGAGAGAGAGAGAGAGAGAGAGGAAACCGTGTAACTTGAGTAAAACGAAGGATGGAAAGAAAAAGGAGTTGTGGCGTGTGAAACGAGCCGAAATGAATGGGTTTGGGAAGATGGAAGCCTGCAAAAATGCAACAGAAGTCGTCGCTCTCACATGGTTCATGCAATAAATTTTGGTCTACGTGGCCGTATTTTAATTGCTCAAGTGCTGACGCCTACGGGAAGTTCTCGCATTTCCGCAACAGATGATGTCAAGGCTCACAGGTGGCAGATTAAAGTGGGAGTACCTTGAACGGGTCAGGTGGTGCATTACCGTCCCTTCTTCACTCAGACAGCCAAACCCACTTTCCAAAAAGGCAGGGACATATTGAACATCTGTATAAACTATTGAACGAAATATCGTCAGGTATATGATCGGTTAGCCACTTGTTTATGTTGTATAATACGGTGCTTGCTTTTGTGATGGTATGTAATTAAGGGAATGAGGCATCAGCCCTCACTTTGACAATCTTGCCTTCAAGGATACATTCCTTGGTAGCCACAACGACAACATGAACATGCGTATCCAGGATACAAAAGAATTGTTAGGAGCCGTTGATTTACGTATATCTGGTCACCCTGTATCAGTGTAACAGCACAAAAATTAATGAGCATTGACGGTGAATATGATGTGTAAGATGCAATACAGTAGTGGCCGAAAACATTGTTCCTGATGTGGTTAGAAGACCTTTAAAATCTCTTATGCAACCGCAATAGAATTAGTGGCATGTTTGACTTCGTCACTTACTTATTACAGATATCAGGCTTCGAATTATTACAACCCTTCGCTTTTAAGAGAGCTACATATTGCTGATGCTGCTTCGTCAAACGTTACACTGTGCATCAAGAGCCTGCAGTTGCGACGAGTAGAAAAGTACATAGCAACTGAAAAATCATAGAGCAACGTGGCCTATTAAGAGTAAGCTCTTTTGCTGAGGATCACAAAGTGTCTTGCTACTATCGATGCACTTGCATTGATTGAACAGAAAGAGGGATCATCCCCCGCAGCGGAGAGATAGTTTTCGCAATGAGGGGCTCAAGCGATCGGGCTCAGATCGAATGAGGGATTCTCTTTCCGCTTACCAAGCAAACCCTCCTGGAGTTCCACAACGTTTAAATTATTTTGCTGCGTCAACGAATCATGACAGCTGCAAAGCTTTGTGTATATACAGAATATACAGGTACTCAGAGAGAATAGTTACATGAGATGTTGTCAACTCCCAACGAGCCATCCATGTCAATTCATCTAGCAAGAAGTACGACGACAAGCATATCACAGCAGTAGGCGCTGATTGTACGAAATCGACGATGGCATATCTTACACTCCGACCAAACTAAACCAACGAACCTTTGTTCGATCGGTGTTCCCAAAGAACTTCAAACTCTTACACTAGCGTAAAAACCTTTTTGACGGCAAAACATCAACCTCAGCGCCACTGGAGCAAAAACAAACAAAGACAGAAAACAAATACACATTGCTTACGTACAAATAAGAATATAGGACTATAAGCATCAAAGTAAGACACTGGTATAATCAATTAGAGCAATATATGAAAAGGTATCGTGTTATTATAATTGGTGGATTTTATAAAGTAGCAATATTGCAACTACACAGTCTTAATGCATATAATCGAACAAGCGCTGCAATGGATCGTCGATCAGAAAACCCGTGAAACAATCCTGCTCCCCTCCCTTTCAGCAACACTTGTAAATACATTGAGGGTATGTCGCAGGCAAAAGCACGCGTGCGGCTGCAGCATATTTTGTTTGATTGATCAGCTGCGATCAAACGACATGATGCTTGATTTTCTGTCCATCCCCGTCATTGAAGGTGATGTTGTCATCCGCTGTTGTTTCTTCATTTGAGATTCGGTAAACTTGCATAATTGTCGTGCATATTCTTCTCGTGCCATATCCAAAAGTTTATCTCTGGTCGTCAAAGACATGGACCGTGCTGGCTTTGCCGTCGAACCGTTGCTCGTTGCTGCGCTAGTGGTGTTGGTATTTGAAGCTGAATGATGCTTTCCTCTGTTTTGAAAGGCGTTTTTTCCATGGACTTCGGTAGACATGTTATTATGCAGATTTTATTTTTGAAGAAAGGAAAAAGAAAGAACAAGAAAGAGGAAAGACAGAAAGAGGAAGATGTCGTTTTAAAACGACCAGACTCCTTTGATTTAAAGTTTCCCTCCTTCCATTTCGAGCTACTATGTCTTGCTGCATGGCATTAGAGAGATAAAGATGGAGAGAAAAGCCCTTAATTCGGGAGAGAGCAAATAAGAAACATAGTATGACATAACGATTTGACAGGAAGTACCAGCTGGATGTATACTTTCGGTGCTTTCCATACTGCAGCTAAAAGCCCATCGTTTGTACATTGATGGAAGGAAACAAGGTTTACTTTGTTGAATGATGCCAATGAAGAAACTCGAAGCGATAACGGTGCGCTTATTCACCTCTTAATTGAACTGAAAGAGATAGCCTCACAGTAATATCAGAAAAGGGGGTTATCGAACCCGCTAAGATGAAGATCTCTCAAATATATACGCGACGACACGTAGAACGTATAACTACTGTCGTACGTGTAGCTCTTTTAGTAAAACTATTAGGCAGAATACTCAATAAACTATGCAGAAGATAACGGATGGCACATTGCTTCGAATGGTCTACAGAGATGCAAGCAACTGTGCCTCTATAACTGGCGTAGCGACTTCCAACGATGATGTTGTTGATTCGGAGAATAAGAGCTACAGTGACACTTTTCATTATATAAGGGCTACAGTTTGATTGTATGACACTCAAACAAACCTGATTTGAAAGTATTACACTTAGGATACATCCAGCATTACGTCCTAGCAAATTTTTAACATTGAAGAGCTATTGCATAAAAAGGAAGTGTATTAATTATGAGCTGGCTATGATCATATTGAAAACTCCACCTCATCTAAGAGGCCCTCAATTCGTCATCTATAATGTGCTTCTTATAAAACAAAGAGTTTTTGCGAAAAGATCTTGAAAGAGAAATGTATACTACTGGCTACAAAAAGTGAAGTTAAAACTCATGCGACAAACGCCGCTTACCGAATTTCACATGCATAGTTGAAAAAGCTGGGGTAATAAGGGGAAAGCGAGCCAAGGAAAACTGCATATTGTTCTTCCTCTTTTACATAATTATATGTTTTCTGAAATGACCGCCGTACCAAAGCTTGAAACGATCGAGATTACTTTGTTCCCTTCGGGTGTTGCCGAGATTGCCTTTAATCGTCCGCAACGATACAATGCGCTCTCTCCTCAAGCATACAGGGTACAAAGAAGATTTTTTTTGACAGCTTCTATGTGTGCCCTGAAATGCATTTAACCCTTTCTCTCCATTTCTTTTTTTAGGATTGGCTTACTGCCTTCCAATGGGCTGCACAATGTGACGATGTCAAGGTAACTGTTCTTACAGGTCGTGGCAAATACTATACTTCGGGACAACAGCTTGAAATGCCAAACTTTGACGATGACGATCTCCCTGCTGAAATGGAAAGACGCCGCAACACTACAAAGTAAGAGAGTTAAATAGAGAACTTTACACCCTTCCATACATACGATTGGATCTAGTGCTCTTTTTGTCCACCGGATATTGACTCGACGAGTCTATGATTATTAAAGGAATGTGGTTTCGGAAATGATTCGTTTTCCAAAGGTTTTGATCGGTGCAGTCAATGGTGAGTTACACCAGCAAATGGTGAGGGAGTGTTGATACAGCGCACCCATCGTTTTCCGGAAATTTAACCGACCTTTTAACCGACTTACACGATAATAGGACCTGCTATTGGATTTGGAACCACCACATTGGCTCTTTGTGATGTAGTCTATGCAGTACCCGATGCTACTTTTAATACCCCTTTCATGAAGCTAGGTATGGATGCGTTGTCTGCAAAAACCATCGTTGGCATGACTACTGATTATTTGCTAACCTTTGTTGCCGTTATCATGCAGCTTTCTGTGCAGAGGGCTGCTCATCTGTCCTATTCCCACGGTATGTCGAAATTAGTCTTTAAAACATAAGAACAACACTCATTCGATGTATTTCTTGAATGTTTTAGCATTATGGGCTCTGCCAAGGCTAATGAAATGCTCGTAAGTTACTGTGGAGACCGGGATATAATTTACATTGGAAATGTGGTATTAACGTGGATATTTTTGCTATTCCGATATGATCATGTAGTTGCTGGGCAAGGTTTTCACGGCTGAGGAAATGGAAAGCTGCAACTTCCTCACACGGATACTCCCCAAGGAAAACTTCCGTGAGCAGGTTCTCGCTATTGCGGAAGAAACTGCCAAGTTCTCGGTGGAAGCCATGAAGGTGACAAAGGGCTTGGTTCGTGGAAACGATATCGAGTTTCTTGAAAACGTCAATAAGGTCGAGATGGAAGCCTTGGCTGAGCGAATGGCTAGTCCAGATTCGTTAGAAAGCATTTTACGCTTTGTTGGTATGTTTCATCCAAAGGATGGTGTGCGATGGGGGGTACGAATATTATGATTGAAAAGATACTAAGACATAAATCATACATAGAGGAATCCAAGAAGAAAAAGAGCAAGTTGTGAAGATAATGTGTTATTATCATAAGTTTCACAACACATATTTGTTATTGTCCTTAATAATCCTACAAATTTGAACCTGTTTTTGCTCGTTTTATGTGAGCTAATACTGATCAAATAATTAGAAGCAAGTGTTCTTCTTATACATATTGATTGATTCATGAAGAGTAATGGATGTTATGGTTCTGTAATTCAGCTTGAAAACTAGGGATGAGTGATGACTACTATCAAACTAATACATTGGTACACCAGCTATGAATGGATAATGTACTGTACATGCTAAAAATTGTCGACAGCTTTAATATAGAATTTACGTACGTAAAACGCTTTGGCCATGCGAAATTCATACAAGGGACCTACGCGTTGCTTTGCCAGCCTACAAATCTTGCGTTTATACAGGTACAGATATGATAGATAATGTGGCGTATAGTATTACGCAAAGATTTGTGTGTGAGCCTACCCCTTGCTACATTTGAGTGTTAGACACAGCCAACATTATAGCATCATTTCAAAAAGAGCAAGGCTCTAAATGAGCTTGGTCTTGTCAAAATTGATACGATGACATGTCGCACGAAATAATCGAGAGCGTGGAGCTTATATGTTTTATGACAAGCTGAGGCCAAAAATAAGGTTATGAAACATATGAACCTCAGTGTACAGTGTTTCCAACATGCAATGTCGCATCCAATCAAAATTGATGTCGCTGATCAGTCAAAATCAATGCCGCTGGCCAATCAACATCAATTTCGCATTTTCAGGAATGGAAGTCGTGTTTTCAAAAACAATGTCGCTTGCCTTTGAAAATGATGTCGTGTGACATTTTTTTCAGTATCCTAGTTGCTGCCAATTTGGCTGGTGCTCAGTATCCCATTTGTTTTTTTTTTCAGTCCAGCGCTCAAATCTCGTTTTTTTGTTGTTTTTTTTTCATTGATTTTGTTACTTTGGAACAAAGTTGAACCTGTTACTATGACGGCTTACCCTGCTGAATCCTCGACATCTCATGATGATTCCCATGCCACCATTGATGCAACTTTGACAGGGACCAACTTGGTGTAGGAAAATGTGTGACAGGTTTTGGGTTATTCTTGCACATTGTGCAACTCCTCCTTTGAAAACGCCTCTGCCCTTTCCACTCACAGAGGACGTGACCATATTACAAAGCACGCATTACTCTTAGCGACTGTAAGCGAACAATGTTCCCTATGCCTCAACACAATGTTCTTATTTTTTTCTGCAGTCCAAATCTCTTTCCCATTAATCTCTGGTTTCTTCAATTGTCCTATTGCTGCTTACCAATCCAAATATAATCATGTTGGTAATTTATCAAGGCACATGAAAGCACACCATGATGTTCGAGGCGTGGCTACTGTATACCAAACCGAAGATGGCATTCCTAACAAGAAGAGAAAGCTTTCATCCCCAGATTTCGACTTTCGAAGTAGCAGCCATCTGGCACTTGTATGTAATCAGAAATCAGTGTATCATCATGCCATGGCTATTGGGAGGACTAATCGGTTTGTTGCTATAAAGGTTGGTATCATTGGAATTTATTATTGCCAGAATTTTAGAAAATCGAAAAAATAAAAATTAGAAAACCAAAATTTGAATTTTTCTATATAAATAAAATAGATATATACAATAGTTTATCTTAACACTGTTTTGCCATTTAATCAAAATAATTTGAAGATTAATTTAAAAAATGATTTAATGGAGGGTAACCCTTAGTATTATGGTGTTAGTGAAATTATAAATATATAAAAAACTATAAATAGTATCATTTTAAATAAATTATAAATAATTATATTATTTTATTTATTAAATAAAAAAACAAATCCTCAAACCTTATAAAATTCTCAAACCTTATAAAATTCTCAACCACTAGAATTAATTTCAATCATTATGTTTGAGAAAAAACACTCTAAGTGGTGCAACGGTAGTGAGTAAATCCCTCCTTTAGGCAAGTAATACTTGGACGCAGCCTAACTTGACAGAATAATAAAATATCATAAATTTGTTATTTATAACAAAATTTATAGATATTGTTTGTTCTCCAATAGAACATCTAAAAATAGAATTAGATTTTTATATAGATATTAAAGTAATTTATTTTGTAACTAAAAAGATAGAAAAAAAATAGATAAATTATTTTCTTCTGATTTTTTTATTTATCAGAATTTAAATATTAATTTTTGTACATATAAACATAATAAAGGAAAAAACAAAGTTAATTTCTTCTGCAAAAATAAAACCAAAAATAGAAATAAGGATAAATTTATATGTACTAAACATAATCTAGATCATATTCCAACTAAAATGCTTGATAGAAATAAAGTTATTAGAAAGAATGAATTAAATATAATGAATAAAATTCAGGAAAAGGAGAATAGAATTTTTATTAATGATTCTAAATAAAAAATAAAGAAATAAATAAAAGAAAAAGAAATAAAAAAATCAACTTAGGTAATTGTTTTTACTTAAATTTAAATAAAAATTTAACTGAATTTAACAATATTATTTAAAATTAAACTTTTGATATCTTCCAATAAGGGGTACACTATGCCGTTTTTTTCTTTAATTCACATATAATATGTTTTTTATTTAGAGGATTCATCAATAACAAGAATATGATTATTTAAATGGGAGATGATAGAGAATCTATTATCCTATTGGAAATCTGCCAGTTCCGAAAATTAAAATTTTTTATGGAGATTTCTAACTAGCTACTTTCTCTAGAGAAAGTAACACAAAGAGTCGTGTCGCAAGTTGGAGCAACTTGTGACCTAATTTATTTGTATGAAAATGAACAATTTGTTTATTTTCTACTAGTTTTGTATACAAAACAGATTATATATGTGGTGAACCACATTAATACACTGCTTAAGATATCAACAATAAGATATTCGGTTAAACATTATAGCACACACGTATGAACACTACGGCATTTCGGCTAAACACTATTGAATAAAATCTCTCACTCAGATGATCCACCTTACGTGAACAGGACAATGAACCTATCAACAGGTACCTCAGCCATTACATCAGCTAACGCCGGTTTCAAAGATGTGCCCGATTAACATAGCGACTTCAATAGAAGTTCTGATACGTCCTTGATCCATCCTCTATCACATAGTTTATCCATTAGTCGGATGAATTGATATCGCCGTCTTAATAGCTAGAATATAAAAGAGCTTTATCTTTTGTTGAAATAAAACATCATCTCAAAGATACTTAATCTTGTCCCTTATTATCTTTATTAAAGCTCTATCATCACATTTTTATCTTTGAAAACCTTGTTTTTTCCTTATATCCTACATCATGTCCTCCGATAACAACCAAGCTACAAACATTAACGAAACCGTTGATCAAGCCAACGTGGTAACTCCAGGAACGGTCGAGGTCTCAAGCAACGATGTTGAAATGGTGGACTCAGAATCGGCGTCGAAAAATGGCACTGAAACTAGCACTGAAACTAGTACTGAAACCATGGCCAGGAACATAATTACACCGAGTACCTACCTGGAACAAAGGAAGCTGACACCGTCTAACATGGGAGCTGTCCTCAAGGCACGCTTAGCAAAAGCCACCGAAGAATATTTGCAGGCGCAAGATGCTTCACCGGATGACCTATCCCAGCTAAAACAGGCACACAAAGAAGCACTTGATGCATTCAACATCTACCAAGCTACTCAGCAAGCACTCAGCATGTCTGAACAGTTCGAAGATCGAAAGGCAAGCTGCGTGGTCCCAAAAAAACCCACCGATACTACAAGTACAAGGAGGCCCTGTCCGAGATCCGACGAAGCCAGTGCACAATTCCGTCTCTGCCTTTATTTCCGCCTTCGAAATCCAATTGCGCAGCCATAGCATTGACCTTGATGGCAATTGGGAACGTCTTTTCTGGTTATGTCTGGATGATAACCAAATGACTTGGTTCCGCCGAGATGTCGGTGACCGTCAATTAAAATGGAAACAAGCCTGTACCGAAATCAAGAAGGAATACGGCAATCCATTCCACACGTATCTCAAACGCCATGAGCTTTTTGTCGCTCGTCCCCAAGCCAATGAAGCGATCCGTGTCTATGCCGAACGATGGATGTCATTAGCACACGAGGCAGGAAGAGCCAGCGGTCGTGACTTGACGTTCGATTTCATTTCGTCGTTGCCACCTTCGATCCGCGAAAAGATCTACCCAGTACTAGCTAGACAGTATGGTGTAGATTGGCCATCTGAAGTCACTGAGGTCGTGCAACTCATAATTTCTACATTGGGTGAATTCGTTGACAAGTTTCAAGACAACGGTAGTTATGCGAGCATCCATGCACCAGGAAAGAAACGTCGCATGGGTAATGAACACCTGTCTTCGTCCTCCTCATCGCCAGCACCAGCTTCTCGCCGTCCTCGTCATTACGGTGATTGTCCTGTCCATCCAAAAGGAAATCACTCGGCGACGGATTGCCACGTTCTCCAGCGCCAGCGGGAAGCAGTACAACAACAAGTCCGCAATAACCGGCAATCAACAGGTTCAGACAACCTATGTCGTTATTGTAAAAAAGTTCCATATGTCTTAGGGCATCGCTGCCAAGAATATTTTGATGCAAAAGGAAAAAAGAAGTCAGGAACGTCGACAACAATGGTGAGCAATCGCTCTGTACACATTTCCTCGTCTCCTTCCTCGTCTTCTTCTACTACACCATCAAAGCGGGATGAAGAAACACTTAATCACATTTCATTGGACGGAATGGATATTACAGGTAATTACATCAACCGCACAACACAAATAAATAACACACTGCAAGCAACAGATGACATTGACTCACTCATTGTTCCTATCACTGTACAGACTAAGCAAATCTTCGGATTAGTCGACACAGGCGCCAACAAGTCTTTTATCACACCTACATGGTTACACAACATAGAGTCAACATCTGTACTTAAAGTCAATAAAAACGCAGTAAAAAATATATCCATTACTTTAGCAGCAAAGGATGTAACAGCCTACCTTTTAGGTTTACTTGAAAATGTTGAACTACAGTACAATGGGAAAACATTCAAACACAATTTTTACATCATGGAATTATCCGGAACAACACCAGTCACCATTGGTCTGGATTTGATGTTTAAACTCGGAATTGGTATTACTGGTTTAGCCACATCATGGGAGCCAC